CAGAACCTTCTTGTACCTTCGAGATGTCACGTGACCGCCTTGGTTTTGGAGTTGGCTTGAATCTTCTTCTCGTTACGACAGTTTTAAGAAGTTAAATGTTCCTCCTGTCTGACTCAAAAATACCAAGAAAGTGGTGACGCAAGCGGCTATTCCGATCCGGGTTTGTTTGTGTCCGTGCCGTTTCTATACTCTGGGTGTACGTAGTAAAGTGGTGAAGCACCCTCTGAGTAATGGCTGTTCTTGTTCTGGGTGTTGTAGCAGATGTTGGTGATGATTCTGGTGCGTTCGTGGTGAACATGTGGATCTAAGGACCAACAAGAATACTAACAAGCAAAACAATAAGCCATCTCTCATTTCATACAGGTTATGTATTTTCTCAACAGTGTTAATTCCCATTATTTTCTTATACTCTTTCTTATGTAAGCAAATCAAGACCTTTATTATCTTTACTTCCTTTTTTACCCGTTATCTGTCTGTACCTATCTATGTTCTTATCGTTGTATCTTAATACATTATATTTCTACTATCTAATTCCGTTGAATTGTATAAAAGCTGAATAAGCAAAACCTAATAAAATTATCGAACTTTTCTGAAAAGGATATTTTTGAAGGAGATTACCTGAAAATCTGGTGCTATTACATTCGAAGTAGGTTCTTTACAGTCTTTCCTTGGTGCTCGTGTGTAATAAGTGATTAATCGGCTATCTTACTTCTAGAATATCTGCTTCAATTCTTCTATAAACTCACATATCATCACTGTCAGTTTTGTCGTACCCAAACTTTGGTTCAAGCCCAATGTTAAGAAAGCGGCCAGAAGACACCAGCAGGTGCTCGAAGGTTCTGGAAATTATTAGTCAGATGTTTATCTGATTATCATTACCATATCTGGCATTTCCCTTATATGGCTACGACTTCAAATACTAGAAGCTTCCACTTGAGTCACAACTCAGACATTATAGATAGTATAAATATAAGTTGCATTCAATGAAATAAACATCATCTTTCAACACAAATACTAAGTATTAGTTACACTCTATAGTAAGTTTAGCTCTACAACTTATTATACGTATCTCCGGTTATACTTTACAAGTTTTATTGGCTTTGCTACTTATTGGATCTATCTACAAAGACGACAGTTTGACGTATGTTTATTTTGGTTGTGTCGCTTTTGGGTACTCTATTTTTCTGATTTTCTCAAGAGACTGCTATTCAAGATAAGTAATGGTGTATATGTTCTGTTGGTTGGTTTTGCTGGCTGTCGTTTGGTATTTGTTTGGTCGATATCCCTTAAGAATTGGTCGAGTTACAGTTGTTACAAGTTTAGTCCAATGGTAGTTCAAGATCTTCGGGCGAATCAGATTGCTTGTTGTGTTGGTGAGTTTTCGAAGAGTTTGGCGCAGGGTGTCTGTAGCAATGCTGGATGAATTTGTTTTTCCGCTCTATTGTGTTCTTTATTCATTTCATATTTTCTTTATACTCAATGGGTTATGCCATACAATTGTACTGTATGTGTTAGTTCCATTTCGTATTCTTTGTTTGACACTTATTTTTGTTTTGTTTTGATAGTCAATTGACTTTCTACTTTTTATATTTTCTTTATATTATTATTATTATTATTATTATTATTTCATTTCGTTTGGTATTTTCCTGTCTTTGATGTTAGCTATTTTGGTTTCTGTACTCAGTAGCGGACTTGTCAAGAATGGTACAAGATCAAGAAATTCCATTCGAATTATTGTTGAAATCACTAGGTGCATTGGTACTATTGGTGTTGTTGAAATTGTCTTATTTAAATCTCATTTGTAAAAAGGTTAAAAAGGAAGTGATTTACTTCAAATAAATTAAAATCGAATCTTTTCTTTCTGTTATCTTTTTATAACAACTTTATTTTTTTACTATCTTCAAATTCTGTCTTTGAAGCTTACTAGTACCTAAATCTTAAATCTATTCTTATTCCTCTTTGTTGTAATTGATATTCTTTACAGTCTTCTATCTCCCTTTGTCTTATTTGGTTCTACATATATTTCTAGTCAAAGGTAAACATACAGGAGGGATAAAGCGTTGTCAGGGTTTGTCGTCTTAATGTTGAAATAATTAATAGTATTCTTACAATAAAAATTAATTGTAAAGCGATAATTGATTTCCTTTATTTCATTGTATGTTATGTTTATATCTATACATTTTGTAAGGTACAATAGAAATGTCTAAGTAGAAAATAAGAAAGCTGTAGAAGGTTCAGGAACTATGATTACTAATCTCGGTGTAATGGCTGGAAATTCCGCCATTGATCAATAAGGAACTACCTAGAAAATACTAGAGTGGCGTAGCAACTCATTAGTAGCTGATATTCACTCGAACTTGCTAGAAATACTGCGGTTTACTATCTTTTAGAAAAGTATAAATAGGGTCGAGTTTAGTCATTTAGAAAATAGTTTTTTTGGAAAAAAAAATAAGAAAATAATAAAGTATATTTCACACTCCTAAATTAAATAAGCCTCAAATATTACACTCGGATTAGTAATCATGTGACTTTCTATGAGGAACCTTCTAGAGCCTTACCTTCTAGAACCTTCTTAGACATTCGAGATGTCATGTAACCTTCTTGGCTTTGGGTTCGGCTTGAACCTTCTTTTCGTTACGACAGGGTTGTGAAGTTAACAATTGAGTGTCCAAGTTTGACTTCAAAATATTTTTGGGTAACGTTGCAATTACTTTGATTGGTTCGTTGCTTGAAAACAATTTCTACTGCCAAGATATAAGCACTCAAGATCGCTCTGAAGCAACTCATACTATCTCTAAAAATGGAAGGCAACCTGAACACCAAAGAAGTTTCACAAATGTTTACATTTAAGCGAAAAAGATCACCTCACAATCGCAAATCTTCTCAAATCAATCATTTTCATCAATTCAATTTTTATCGAATGATACTCTAGAATAACAAAAATCATACGAAAAAGAGATACTGAAAACATATAAATATCGATATATTTCTTTTTAAAAATAAAAAAGAATAATCTTGGATCATCATCATCTTATAATGTTATAATAAAAAAAGACAGGTTATTTCTCTGACTACTTAATTGAAGAAGAAATCTGGAAAATCTTGGGAAGATTGAATCTGTCTGTCTGTCAATTGAAGTATACAAGAGAAAGGAAAGAAACAAATAAGCAAGAAGAAAGCTACTACACAATATTGTTAATTGGAGTCTGTCCTTGGTAAAACTCCTGTCTTAGTAACTGGTTGCTCTGGGAAAGAACACACTTGGTAGTTATCTGAAGAAGGATGCTTTTGGGAACATTTATTAACATTATCATGTACCTTAGTTATTTTTATCTTATATTCTATTTGTTTTGTTGTCAATTGTATTTTGAATTATTTGTACTGGATTTGTAAGTAAAAATCCATTGATGAGATCATGACCGTTTACATTCTGTAAATAAGCTTTTTTCTGTTGATCCGCGTTTAATTTAATAACACCAAAACTACTATAAAGAACACCCTCAACTTAGACTGAATACTCAACATTATACCGTGACATGGGTATGTGTAATTTAATCACTAATAAAATGGTTAAATCAATAAGTCGATTAGAACCAAAGACGGCCAAAAGAAGTTCTACTTTATCAAAGGTTATATTTTGTATTGTATTCATACTGTTTGTATGATAATTGATGATCCCTGATTTGGAACTAAGGGTGTATACACTATTTAAACGGCTGAATGGATTAAGGTACACAAGAACTGGGTACATGATCAGGGCACAGACCTCGTCTACCATTGTGATGTTTTGATAATAGAGTTATATAATAAGATGATATAGAGACAAAGGTAGATACTTTGAGACTGTTCTATACAATTTTATTGTTTTTTTTCTTGATTATAAATTATTCTAGCATATTTATACATGAAGAGATGTCGGAGTAAGTAGTAGTAGAGTTCATGCAAATGTCTAAGTCTCTATTATCATAGACTACTTTAAGTTAATTAAATAATGTAAATTATGGATTTCGGTTATACGTCTTGATCTATTAAAAGATACATTGTCTTACTCAGTACAAGAGGTTCTTTTATGTCTATTTCTGATGTAAATTGATTATGATATATTTTTAGTATGTAATTGAAGACTTATTTAATGTCAGATCATCACACGTATAATAGGTTGTAGAGTTTAGCTTACTATAGAGTGTAACTAATACTTAATACTTGTGTTGAAAGACAATGTTTATTGAATTGAATGCAACTTATATCTATACTATTTAGAATGTCTGAGTTGTGACTCAAGTGAAAGCTTCTAGCATTTGAAGTCGTAGCCAGATATGGTAACGATAATCAGATAAAAATCTGACTACTAATTTCCAGAACCTTCGAGCACCTACTGGTGTCTTCTGGCAGCTTTCTTCACATCGGATTTAGACTTAACTTTGGGTGCGACAGGTGAGACATGGCATGGAAAATAAAAAATTACATCATCTGGTTTTCTCGGACCACACGTGACTATTGGCTCCTCTGCGACTCGGACAATACCTCTTGTGCCGGATCTTCTCTGGTGTGTACTTAAGAAGGAGGTCTTATGCATTTTGTTCCTGCAATACTATAACAATAGCTTTTTGACCCGTTTTATTTTATTTTATATAATTTGACCTTGCTTTTGATGTTTGGAAACTGAATTGAATAAAGAGAAATTGAAGAACAAATCAAATAGAACAAGAATCGACAATTATATTCAATATCATAAACAGTCCTAAATCTCACACAACCACATCACACTAAGGCACTGCAAACGTATTATTGGAGGTCTCACCGAGACATATATTATAATTATCTGTTACTTATAATAACTGTCTAAAAACATCATATTTGCCTTGCCAACAAAAGTATAAGTCATCAGAAAAACAAAAAAAAACCTAGCAACAATTCGTCAACACAAGAAAAGAAACAACAAAGAGATTTTACCTGGTAAACTACAACAAAGCAGTACTATCAAAATAGAAAACAACAAAATGACACAACAGAGTGATGTATTCCTAAGATTTCTCCCACCTTTGGAGATATTCGAAGGAGCAGATGATTCAAGTAAAGCAGAAGAATGGATTAGATTAGTGAAAAGATTGAAGGAATTAGCCTCAATGAACGACAATGTAATTTTGGCTATCGCTTCCTCCAGTATGAAGAGCAAAGCAAGGACATGATGGTCAACAGTAGATGAAGAAATCAAAACTTGGAAGGAATTTGAAGACAAACTCACTGCGAAACTCATGAAGAACCGAGTGACTGAAGCTTGGGAAATGATCAAAACTATAAAACAAGGAGAGCATCAAGATTGTGCTGAAGTTGTCGACATTTTGAACCCATTGTTTAAAACGGTAAAACTCACAAATAATGATTTTAAAGTTTCCTTCTTCATAGCCTCAGTCAAACCAAACATAGCATATGAGTTAGCACGAGAAAAATCAGGACTCAAAACATATCAAAAAGTTACAGATAAAGCCATCGAAATCGAAAAGCTACAGAAAAAGTACAAACAAGGTAATTCACAGTCATCAGTAGTCCAAGAAAAAGAAAGTTCAATTTGATGTTGAACGTATCGACGTTCATCACGAGAACCAGAACACCAAAACAAACAATAATAGTCATAATGAATCAGACATTAGTGAGAGAAGAATATCAGCCGACTCGTTATCAGAACTCATTAATGCAGTGAACAAGCTCAATATTAATCTGGTGCAACATGGAAATAGAAATTATCAGCCTCACTGACTGAGTCTAGTCCCTGAGAAGAGACCACTTGTGCGTTGGAACTGCAACCAACCTAGTCATCCCAGTCGATTGTGTCCAGTTTCCCATGAACAGGGTAACCAAAACAATAATACATATCCTAACTCCAATTCTAATACTCGTGCAGACGGTATGGGAAAAGGGAGCGGGCATCAGTAAATTCAATGGATTACACTGATGCCCAAACGAGTACTCACAATTTTCATCCCCAAAACATAGTACAACACCCTCAGATCAACAACTCACAAGTAAATGCCGTAGAAGTGGTCAGCTCGTCTGTGACACCCAGACAAATCTACATCAGTCAACAACAAAACAACCCACCACAGAAAGAAGTAGATATCAATGCAGTAAAAACAAAAATCCAATCTGAAGAAACAACCTCATCACTAAAAAGAACTGGACAAGTACCTACAATGACATCAAGCACAATGGTACTGCCACCCTTATCAAATATACCAGTTAATGTACCACAAACGCAGCCTTACCGAAATCAGTATGTCACATTACCACCAGTACTTAAAGCACGGCAACCCCAATCAATGATGGGCCAATTTGATAGTGGAATGATGCCCATACGTAAGATAACAAAGAAAAATAAGGGTAAAAAGAAAAAAAGTCCACCTAGAAAATTAGAAGTGGAAGTACCTGTTGAAAAGACATGGGACAAATTGAGAAACACGCGTATATTTATTCCTTTAGCAGAATATCTAGCTACCAATAGAAAAGCAGCCCAAGTTGTAAAACTAGGAATAGCACATTTATACAGAAGAAAGAAGAAGAAGCAACCTGACGCAACAGAACCCATGATTATCAGTACCCTCAGAACGAACAAACTACTAGATGAACAAGCATACAAAAATCAACTCATTAATAACATACATATCACAGATGAAGATAGTGATTATGACACCGACTATGATAGTGCAGACGAAGAAAATAGCAGTAATAATAGCGATTTCTACGACTCTGACGAAGATAGTGACAGTCATGTTGATTATCCTTTTAATGCAGACGAAATGAGATACGCACAGCCATGTCGAGTATTAATTGTGATAAACAACCAACCTGTTGAAGCAATTCTGGATTCAGGTGCTGCTGTTTCAGTACTTAGTGCCAAACTAGCAAATAGATTGGGAATTACTCCAGACACAAGTGACTCTATACCGCTCAGTGGATTTGCTAGTCATAGCAGAGCCGTCAATTGTAAAGTAGCAACAGATGTTGAAGTCAGAATTGGTGGCAAGTTACGTCGGGAGCATTTTTGCATTGATGAATCTGAAAAAGAGAAGAACACTTGCTTACTAGGAAGACCATGGATCCGTCAACATGATATCAGACTGATCAACAGAGGAACAATGGCTGTAGTACTTACCAAAGGTGGATGTTGTGATGTAAGAGAGAAGATAAAAACAAAGAAGTCGATTAGAACTTGTATAGGTTTATTATCCAAAAATAAATATGTATCTATCTCTAGCTCTTCATTCTCTAGGTATTTATATATGAAGAGATGTCGGAGTAAGTAGTAGTAGAGTTCATGCAAATGACTGAGTCTCTATTATCATAGACTACTTTAAGTTAATTAAATAATGTAAATTATGGACTTCGGTTATACGTCTTGATCTATTAAAAGATACATTGTCTTATTCAGTACAAGAGGTTCTTTTATGTCTATTTCTGATGTAAATTGATTATGATATATTTTTAGTATGTAATTGAAGACTTATTTAATGTCAGATCATCATATGCATATAGATTCTATATGTTCACAACAGTGGACATGACAACATAGAAGTCCAGTGCTTGATAGATAATGAACATATTGGTAACAAAAATGAAGCACATGAAAATATACAAATATACTCCGTACAATTGTACAACACAAACATACAGACAAAAATAGATACAGGAAATAGGAGATTAGCTGATTTTACTACTTACCAAGAAGATGTGGTATCACAACCAGAATTCTTGAAAGAAGTGTTGCCAGAAGATAATCAAGAGTTATCAAAAGAAACAGCTGAACTGGTTAAAAGGTACAAAGATTGTTTTGTTGAATTCAATGGATTAGGAGTAGTAGAAAAAGTATATCATGAAATAAAAACAACCACAGAAGTACCAGTGAGATCAAAACCGTACCGTTTGACCTTGGATGAAGAAGAAAGCCTAAGAGAGGAGCTAGACAATTTACTCAAGCTAAATATTATTAAACCAAGCAAGAGAGAAAAGTATTGCGCTCCTATATTTTTTGTTCCAAAGAAAAATGGGAAGTTCAGAATTGTAGTGAACTATACTCAGCTCAACAAGATAACAGAAAAGCAATCATATCCTATACCACACATAGAGGAAGTACTTGATTCGTTAGGTGGAGCTACAATCTTCTCCACCTTAGACACCGCACAGGGATTCTGGCAAATTCAGATGCATCCAGATAGTGTTGAAAAAACAGGTTTTGTATCAAAGTTTGGATGTTTTGAATTCAATGTGATGCCGTTCGGGCTGACAGGTGCCCCTTCTACATACCAAAGAATGATGACAAATATACTTCAAGAGTATATAGGAAAGTTTTTATATGTTTTTATAGATGATGTTATCATATATTCTAGAAACAAAAAAGCACATTTAGAACACTTAGAATTGGTATTTTAAGCCTGTAGAAAAGCCAACCTGCGTTTGCGCCTCGAAAAGTGTAATTTGATGAAGAAAAGAGTGGTATACTTGGGGCACGAAGTAGGTGAAGGACTTCGCCCCGCAGAAGAAAATATCAAGAAGATTTTGAAATTGAAGGAGCCCAAGAACCTTGATGAAGTGAGATCCCTATTGGGAATGACAGGTTATTTTCGTAGATTTATAGAAGATTATAGTTCCAAGTGCCAACCATTAGTTAAGTTGATGAAGAAAAATGCACAATCTGAATGGACCCAGGAACAACAAGATTCATTTAATTACTTGATGAGCACCTTGATCTCACCACCAATATTATCATATCCGATCAGTGATCAAATCAAGATAAATACAACTGATGTAAGTTACAAGGGTTTAGGTGCAATTTTGTCTCAGTCTCCAGAGGGAAGTAATGAGAATGAAACAATAATTAGCTATGGATCGAAATCACTTGACAACACCCAACTCAATTACACAACATCTCATCTTGAAGCGTTATGTATCATCTGGGCTGTGAATAGATATACAGTGGTTACATTAAGTGTCCCATAAAACTCATTTGTAAGCATAAATTAATATATTTTCGTCGTATTGACCTTGTGTTAGTATCAGAAAAAGCACATTTTTCTGCTGGTTACTTCAATTTCTCTATTTAGTAAGGGATATCATTTTGGACAACTTAGGTAAAAAATGACGTAGCGTTTTCAAAAAAATTTCCTGCAAAACCTGAATACCTTATTTTCTTCGGCGAATAAGCATTCTCAATCGTGCGTTTTCCACATTCTTCGGCAGATTCTAGCACAACCTACCCAACTACATATAAATACGGCAAGCTTTTCAGAAAAAAAACTCTCTTTTCTTCATTCTATATAAATACCTTTTCTCCTTATTATCATGCCTTACAGCCTCCCGTACGATAAACGAAACAATGTCAAGTCTGCACTTTTATCTGGCAAATCGATTCGTCAGGTCTCAAAACTAACAGGTGTTACCAAATTAACAGTTTCTCGTATTAGAAAAGAGTTGCCAGAAATGAAGACTTGCACTGATACCGGTAGACCATCAAAAGTAGGTCATCTTACGGCTTGTTTGCTACGAGTGAAAGTCCGAACTGGAGCATTGAAGAATGTCAAAGAAGTCGAAACTTGACTGTCTGGACAGGGTATTGCTTTGACGTATAGTGGAACAGTCTCTCTGATGAAAAGGGTAGGACTATACTCAAAGCTTAAGCAGAAGAAAATTTTTCTGAGAGTTTCTCACCTTTCGAAGAAATACAAATGAGCCTTAAAATATTGTAACTGGTCCGCAAATGAGTGGAAGAGTGTCATTCTTACTGACAAGACGAAGGTCAATCTTTGGGGATCAGATGGTGCAACATACACTTGGCTACAGCAAGGGTTTAAAGCAAAGCCCAATAACTACAAGCTATTGCTCAAGTATGGAGGTGGCTCTCTGATGATATGGGGGTGCATGACATCTTCCGGAGTAGGATATGCCTCTCGAGTGCTTCAAAAGACAATGGATGCCGATTGCTATTTGGAGATTCTATTTGGAAATTCTAGGGTCGTCATACCTCGATACATTGGAGTATTATAGTATGGATCCATAAAAACCTATCTTTCAACAAGACAACGACCCAAAACAGAAAGCAAAGGCTACCATTTCTTGGCTCAAAGCCCACAAAGTCAACTTTATTGCTGACTGGCCACCTAACAGTTCCGACTTGAACCCAATAGAGCATCTTTGGAAACAGTCAAAGTGCAGGCTAGCTGGATATGATACAAAACCAAAAAATCTGGACGAATTTTGGTCAAGGGTCGAAAAAGAATGGTACAAATTTCGCAAAGGTGACATGGAGGCATACTATAGCAGCATGCCTCAACGTATAGAAGCATTCATCAAAGCAAAGGGCGGTTATACTAAATTTTGAGCATTTCAAATAAAGAGTAAATTTTGATGAAACACAAATTTTCTCTCTTTTAAAAATGAAGCACTGTTATCCTTACTGTCAATGCCTAATTGATCTATGTGCCAAGTCTCAGAAGGACCGACCGAGTTTTTGTAGAGAAGGGTAAAAAAACAGGTTTTATGGGACACTTAGTGTAACCACTGTATCTTCCCGGCACATCCGTGCATATTGACTTGAGCATATATTGAGGATTGAGTGAGACAGTTCCACAATGTTGAATCCATAAATCAGAGTTCGTCTGAAACTGCATATTTAATTGATTTATGATTTGAGCATTATTGGCATGTGTTTCTTGGAAAGCGATAATGTCAATGTCTAAGGAGCGAAGATATCGTATAAAAAGTTTTTATTGAGAGGGATTGGAGGTTTTTCGTAGGCTGCGACAGTTGAGTGTCGCAACTCTTATTTTACATGTGTTGGACATATTTAATGGATACTGTAGTTGTTTAGAGTTGGTCGCTAAGACCACCTTGTCCTAGTTCCATAGTCGGAGCTGAATTCATAACGGCTAATTGTACTTCTGGGAATTGAAAACCTGCATTGGTCATGGTTCTTTCACCTAACAAGCCAACCCACAAAATGACATCCTCCAAAGGGCGTCGTAACAACGATAATTTACCCAGAACTTGGTCGCAAGTAGCGGCTAGAACTATTGTGTCTGCTAACCAGTCGTCATCATTGGCTGCCATAGCTTCATCTGCACGCACTTCTGGTTCTTCCCAGTCGAAGTATGCTAGTACCAACACTCTTTCTTCAGGCACTATTACATCTTATATTGTCGGTTTAGAGAAAGATAGTGTATTGATTGATATCACCAACATTTATGATGTGAATGGCCTTAGACAGTTTCTTGGGTCACTTAATACCCATAAAGAGTATTATTTCTTTGACACTTTACTTTTTGAGCGCAAATATTTGCAGAGACGTTTTATTGAAACTTGCTGGGACATCAACTCAGAAGTATACAATAAGTTGATCAACACCGGTTTGCAGATGGAAGATAATAATATTATCAAAGGTTACCGCAGCTTGACCCAGAATGCGAAAATTGCTCGAGTTAAGGTTGAACGACTCCCTTTGATTCATCCTTCAACTCTCCGCGAACAAATAACCAAACGTTTTTCCCATTTTGGTGAAGTCCTAGATCTGGGATTTCATATGGACGGTGCTGTATTTTTCGGCCAGGGCTACGTCGTTCTTGACCTGAACAATCCTCACAAGTCTGAGCCTGAGCAACTTGGTCGAGTAGTGGATTGGCCCGAATTTGATCGTGAACTTCTGCTTACGTGGGATGAAATGCCCCAATTTTGTCGTTTTTGTCAAAAATCCGACCATTGTCGAGCAGATTGCATGGAACTCATTAATACTCGTCATTGTTATAACTGCAATGAGCGTGGCCATATCAGCCGTGATTGTCCTCGTCGTAGTCATGGATCAGGCCACCCTCCTAATAAGCGTATTGGGATCACAAAAGACAAGGCTAGTAGATCAGGATCCAACCTGCCCAATGAGCAACTGGTACAAAGTGCGAAGCCTAAGCAAATTGTCTCCTGCTGCATTGACTACCGTTCCTCGTAGTCAAATAGCAACCGAGACTATTCAAACATTTTCAAACGATATTACAGTAGTCGAGCATGAATTGATGGATCATGAAATGAAAGAGCAAGGAGATAGTGTAGTAGAAATCATTGACTCCGATGGAGAGGATGATGATGAATATCTTCAAAATATTTTAAGCAATAATCCAACCCAAGAAGCTTTGAACTTAGAAATGTTTATCCAGGAGCGTAAAAAGATCAAATTTAATCATGACGATGAGAGACATAGAGTGGTGCCTAATCATAATACAGGTGGATCTACAGGTACCTCTCCTGACTTTCAATAAGATAATCTATGCCTAAAAACTCTATGCAAATTGCCACCCTTAATTGTCGTGGCTTTACGAAAACTTCAGATCCTTACAAACAGTCCTTATTCATCCGCTTTCTACGTTCAACTAAATATGACATTCTATGCTTACAAGAAACACACGCATCTACACTTAATATACAGAAACAGCTCAACCTCAAGTTCCAGACTAAATCTAGTCTTTGGACAGAACACTGTGGCATTGTTTCCTTAAAATTTCAATTCTACCGATGGCCGCTTTCTCTTAGCGTCCGCCGTTCATGCCTCTGAACCCTCCATTCCTTTTATGTATATCCCCAATATTTATGCTCCTGCTCAGCGTAGTAGTCGATCCACATTCTTTCGCACGTTATCTTCCAATCAGCCATTAATGTCACATTTACAGTCAACGTCTTTGTCTATAATTATTGCTGGCGATTTCAACTATGACATTTACCGTAAATTCAATATTGATACGTGCTGGAATGATCTACTTCTTACTTCATTCCAAGATTGCTTTCAAAGTGATCCTCTTCCTACATTTGTTAGTACCACTGGTAGTCGCACACATATTGACTATATATTTTGCACTCTACCTCATGCTGACAATGTAATTTCTATGACTCAAAATTTTGTCAACTACAGTTGGACTGACCATGCCTTGCTTTCTATCAACTATCAACTGGTACACACTCCAGCTGGACCTGGTCCTTGGAAAGGTAATCCTAATCTTGCTCGACTATCTGCATATAGAAAAGGTTTGACAACACATATTGAGCAATACATGGATAACATCAACCGCTTGGATCCTGATTGCCCTTCAGCTCAAACTATTTGGAATGAATTGAAAGAACAAGTCAAAGTTTTTACTCGATCCTTCCAGATCGAGCGTAACAACTGGCAATCCAAATCTCTGAAAAAGCTTCAATCCAAACGCAAAAAATTTTACGAGATCATAAAAATACATCTATTTTATCATCTCTTTTACCAAAGGTAGAACAAATGATTACCATCTTGCAGGATGAATCGGCAGAAATAGAACATCTCAAAGCAGGCAAATTTTGGCAAAAAAAAGGTGAACGATCTCCTGGTCTTCTCAAAAAAACTTGCACAAGATAGGTCTACACAGCGAACAATACCAAAGCTCTTTGATCCCAATTCTAAACGATTGGTTACTAATACAGAAAGGAAGACAAAGGTGATGGTTGCCTTCTATAAGGCGCTATATCGTCCTGACAAGATCCAATCCTCTGATGTCAATACGCTTTTACAACGTACCAACAGCCAACGACTTACTAAAGAGCAAGTATCTACCCCTGAAAGTCCTATCACTTGGCTGGAGATATCGAAAGCAAGTAGACGCTCACCTCGTCAGAGTAGTCCTGGTAGCGATGGTTTGCCATACGAAATTCTAGGTATTTTACTTCGTGTTCCTTGTTTAAGGCAGCTGATTCTACAAGTATACAATGATGCCTTAGCTCATTCTTTATTCCCGAAATCATGGCTGCTATCACTTATGACTCTTTTGCCTAAGAAAAGTGATTTAACGCGGGCAGAGAACTATCGTCCTATCCAGTTGGTGAATACAGATAACAAGATCTTCACTCGGATAATCAACCACAGGATTATGACAGTAGCTACTACACTTATCAAAAGACATCAGCTAGGCTTTATGCCTGGTAGATATATTGCTGAGCATGGCTTGCTCACCCAAATAATAATGGAGAATGCAGCAGCAAACTACCGCCGACCAGACAAAGATCTTGGCATTCCTTTAGACCAAGAAAAGGCCTATGATTGTGTCAACCTTGGCTATCGCTTCAAGCATAATGATTTTAGTCAAGCTATCACCTTACCTGCTATCAAATTGCTTAGTTATGCTGATGACACTTTAGTTTTTATTCATAATATCCGTGACCTTCGCAGAATGCAGTTTTACTTGCAGACCTACAGTAAAGCATCCAATGCCAAGATTAACTACCATAAAGTGCGAGCAATCTCTCTCTCTGGCCATGTGATGATCTGACATTAAATAAGTCTTCAATTACATACTAAAATATATCATAATCAATTTACATCAGAAATAGACATAAAAGAACCTCTTGTACTGAATAAGACAAAGTATCTTTTAATAGATCAAGACTTATAACCGAAATCCATAATTTACATTATTTAATTAATTTAAAGTAGTCTATGATAATAGAGACTCAGTCATTTGCATGAACTCTACTACTACTTACTCCGACATCTCTTCATGTATAAATATGCTAGAATAATTTATAATCAAAAAGGAACAACAATAAAATTGTATAGAACAGTCTCAAAGTACCTACCTTTGTCATACAACTTTCTATTATCAGAATATCACACTATCCTTAATTGAGAAGTTAATTGGAGGACGATTACACCACTATCTCAACGAGAAATTAACTAACAAATAAGCCTTTCTATTGTATGAGATATAGCTATTTCAAAACTATTGTCAGTCATATAATGACCAAAAAGCCCAAGTATTATTCTTTAGAGTTTGGTGACCTAGGGCGTGGAGCGCAATTAGGTTGATAGGATTTATGGGGAGCAATGGCCTAATTTGGAGTATTTGGGAATAGGTTATGTAACCGCCGAGAACTATGCATTTTCATTGGCTCAAATTCTCCACCTACAACTGTATGGCCCCTGCCAACCAATAGACGCCAGTTTATACTTTATGCAAATAAATGATATCACTTTTCTTCATCTTTTAACATGAGCTTAACCGAAGACAATCCTCTTCCTTCAAGCGTCATTATAGTTAATGAGTCTACGCCACTTATTTCTCATGAGCAACAGTTAGCCGCCGGTCAATTGCATACAGATACTTCTTTCAGTCTCTCTCATTGCTTATCTTTTAGTCGAGACGAGCGTGCTCGAGAACAACAAATCATAGGACTTGGATCACTCGTCATGTCTTCGTTCTTGTTTGCAGGTGTATCTGTTATAGTCAAATGGCTAAATGCAGCTCATTATCCTAGCTTTCAAATTGTACTCGCACGTGCTTGTGTCCAGCTACCTTTAGGCTTGTTAGGTTGTCTTTTTACTTGGGTGAATCCATTTGGCAAGAAAGGAATACGACGATGGATCTTTTTTCGAGCATTGGCAAGTTCAGTTGCCTTGATTCTTTTTTTTCACAGTCTGACCCAGTTGCCTCTTCTTGATGCTACAGGTAAATAATGTTGAGATAGGACATGATACTTACTCAAATATAGTTATCTTCTTTGTTGGTCCAGTATTTAAAGTGATTATTGCTTGCATTGTTTTCAACGAGAGATTCTCAACCCTTGATGTGGTTTACATTCTTATATGCTTTGGAGGTCTTTTGTTAGTCGGCAAATCGAGTTCCATGACTAAGGCAGATGAATACGAGAGGTCATTTGCTGTTTCATGTGCATTAGCAGCGTCTTTGATGTCTGCTATGGCTTACATGACAGTCAAAAAAGTAGGCCAAGGAACGCATTTGATGGTGCATGTTGTGTATTTTGGATGGGTGACAATCTTGTTATGTTTGCCTGTAGTTTTGTTTGGATTACAAGACTTTAAAGCGCCTGTTCAGATTACTGGGCGTGAGTTTGTATGGATGGCAGGAATTGGTTTATTAGCTTTCTTTGGACAGTCTTTTATCAATATGGGGTAAGCAAATAGACTTTATAAATGGGAAAAGACAGTTGAATGTATTTCTATAGATTGAAAAAGGCGCCCATGGGACCAGGTATGTTTATTCAGTAAAAAGAGATCACTCATGTTTCGTTTAGTGACAGTCATGCGTACTGGTGATATCTTGTTTGCATTCTTATTTGGTGTTGGATTATTTAAAGAAATACCTGGAGTTTACACTATTCTTGGCACACTTATCATTGTCTGTATGACAACTTGCTTAAGCATGTATCGTTGGCATCGACAAGAACTAAAAGCAGCTGAAATTCGTCGGCGTAAATTAAGAGATAGACTTGTACAAAGACGCCAAGAAGAATAATACCCCCCCTATTACTTATATTTTTTATACATAAAGTTTTTTATTTTAATATACTGGGTTCACCAGGAATCCATTTACGAAGAGGTAAAGGCAAATTGACTGTACCATCAGGTGTTTGGTGTGTTTCCAAGAGAGCAATGATGGTACGAGGTACTGCCATAGCAGTGCCATTGAGTGTATGACAGTAATTCACCCAGTTCTCTTTAATATGCCAAGGCACGCGAGTATCTTTAGGACCTACGTTTTCTTTAAAGCCTTTTGACAAATATCGAACATCTAATCGACGTGTTTGATAGTCTGTACAATTTGAAGTAGAAGAAATCTAATTGAATGAGAAACATGACTGGGACTAATTATCCTGTTACCTCTCCCCAACCATTCTTTCCTGGCATCCAAGCTTCCATGTCATATTTTCTATAAGCACTAGCTCCTAATTCTTCTGTAGGCATATCTAGAATTCTAAAGCAGAGACCCAACTCGGTAAACATCTCCTCTTGTAAGGAGCGCATTTCTTCCATCATGGCCTCACTTTGTTCAGGTGTAGTGACAGCAAACAGCTCCACTTTAGAAAACTGGTGTACACGATACAACCCACGCTCTTCTGCTGATCCATGACCTGCTTCTGCTCTGAATGCATGGCTGAATCCCACAATGCGTCTAGGCAATTCATCTTCTTTAAACATTTTCTTTGCTGACAAGCCTGCTAATGGAATTTCGGCTGTACCTACAAGGCAAAGTGGAGGTGCAGTGGTGTTTGTTGTACTGGCTGTTGTCACATTGTAAATCTGAGAGGCTTCTTTCTTGCGTGGCTGGAACCCACATCCATAAGCAATGGAAGTACGGACCATATCAGGTGCCAACACAGGTGTAAATCCTTTGGACGCGGCTTTATGCATAGCGTACTGGATCAAGGCAAATTCAAGCCATGCACCGTAGTTTTTCAAGTAGTAAAATTTGCTACCAGTCACTAAAGCAGCTTGTTCAAAGTCGATCATGTCGAGTTTTTCTGCAATGTCAACATGGTCCATCAAAGGCGTTTGGAGCGTTGACATGCGTGGCTCACCTACTGTCTTGATGATCTTAGCGTTTGTCTCAGGGCCTAAGGGTGTATCCGCATGTGTATCGTTTGGAATTAGCAGAGCTTGTGCTGTCATGGCTTCTTCTACAGACACTAGTTTTTCTTCTACTTGACGGATCTGATCTTTCCATGCTTTGGCTTTACTGATGTGTTGATCTCGCTCTGCTTTTGTGGATGCTTCTCTGATCTGCGCATTGACTTGATCGCGTGCTTCTCTAAGCGTTTCAGAAGTTTGTTTGAGTTCCAGATGTTGTTGGTAAAGCTCTTTGAAGAGGAAAGCCGATTCAGGCTCATAGTTTCGAAGCTTCATGTTATTGGCTATAGTCTCTGTGTTATTGGCATAATATTGAAGGTTGAGTTGGGGTGGAATACGGTGGATATCAGTGTCTACTTTTGTAGAGGAAAAGCGAAGTCTAGGCAATAGAGTTCTGTTGATCTTGTTTTTAAGTTGGAGATGACAACACTGTCTTAACATGGTTTCATGTAAAAAGAAAAGGGGAGGAGGAGGGAGAGGGGGGGGGTACAGGGGATTAGCCTAAGAAAAAAAAAGTACCGGGCTGACTTGGGGCACAAAGAAAGGGGTTTTTTCTAACCGGACATGTATTTTGCCATAGCTTTGCATAGACGTACTTGACCAAGTCCACATGGACTAATTTATATGTTAATCCAATGTCTTTTTCAGTAAATCATTGTATCGATCCTTGGTTGGCAGAAGTCAGTTACAGCCTGGCTGATGGATATTGTCAGTTTATATATGCGTTAAAAGACAAGATTTTATTTGCTGTTGACTAACTTGGGGCCAGATAAACCGGATGTGATAAATGACACAGCATTAACTGTATAAAACAGCTGCTCAAATCAACCTTTGTTAATGAATGTTGTCTCGATCAACCCATGGACCAAACAAAAACGTAAAAAAGAAAAAACTCTTTCCTTTTAAACAAAGATACAGTTACATTCAAGTGACATTCAGATTTTGAAGCATAAATAAAAGAAATCTGTACTTGATAAAAGGCAAGTTTGCTAGCCAGTTTAAACAATTCCTTAAAGAAAACACTAATCATTTGAAGATACAGCCTATAGTAATAAACTAAAAGAAGAAGAAACGTTGAAGATAACTGAATGCAAAAGTTGAGTGGATACTGACAGTTTCTTAAAAGCAGAATTCTTTTTTCTTAGAAGCATACCATAGTAAAGCGTGGTACCACACTCATCTTTGCTCAGCTGTTATCGACTATGCATCCAAGAAAGTCAAGAATTATCCTACGAAATAGAACTAAGATATTCAATCTCTATGAAAAATTAGATACCACCTATTTTAATAAATAAAAGGACAAAAGTAAAGCTTTCGCTGCTTCTCCATTCGCTTTGATCACATCAATGTTTCGCAATGATAAAATATGTTTACTATGTCGATAGAAGACAACACATCTGTTTATCATTACTTACGCAAATGATAACAAGAGGCACTTTTACTCAAAATCCGTTTTTTCATGTTGTAGAAACATAGCCAATTTCGCTAAGAAAGTATGTTCCTTTGTTTCTTTCCTTACTTTACGTAGTATAAAGAATGTGTATGGCATTCCTCTTAGAAGCTAAGCTATTAAATAAAATAGTGCCGGAATTTCTATTTTGTAATGATGGACAATCGCAAAATGCACCCTTATTCCTAATGAATGCTTAAAAAGGTGTACGCAATATCCAGACTATAACAGTAAAAGAGAGAGAGAGAGAAAAAGGTGCCAATTTAGCCAATGGAGGTGAGGAAGTACGCGGGATTTGAACAGCTTGATGAATTAAACTAAAAAAGTCTCCTTTCTTTGTGTATCCAATGTATGCTTCTACAACACATACTTTTCACACGACCGAATACAGCTCTCATAACCCACCTTGGCAAAAACTGCTTTGGGTAAAACAAAACTATCCTGACAATTACGTTGATGACACATTCTTAGATGAGCTACAGAGAAACGGTATTGTACATCACTTTGTGATATGACTGACAAGTTCAAGTGAATGTAAGGACGTATGACTACTGGACGATGGTCTATGAATCAGGCATCATTACACAGCATATTAGCAGTGTTGTGATCTTTATAGCTGTTTTTATTTATTTACAAGATCACTCACTCTCTGGTAACCACTTGATCTGGACTGGATCCTTTTTGACAGGTGTTGGTTATATTTTTTGGGACTTGAGGATCAGAAACATGAACGAACTAAAGCGTAAATAGCTTTATTTTATATAGAGTGACTTATGATATTGAATAGGCCAGCGAGTTGTCAAAAGTGCATTTTTCTTCTTTATTACTTTGTTGGGTCTTTCGCCTATCTTGAAGACATTGACAAGTCAAATAAGTGATGATACCATTTATGCACTGACTGTGTGCTGCTTCCTTGCTAATATTTTATTTCACGACTATACGACTCAAGTCAAGTAATGTTGTTTTCATTCTTATGTAATTGAGACTGATGGATCCATAGAATACCTGGCTCATTGTCAACCAACGCAGCCATTTTTGCTTCTGTATTACTCGCTTCAAGATTAGATACGAATGTGGATGTGTTTGCGTTCCTGTCATTTGCAGTCGAATGGTTTTCTTTATTTCCAATCTTTCGAAGGCAATCCAAGGTACAGAGAACTAGCAATTGAACATTGCTGACAAGAGTGTAGGGTCTAGTTCAGATAAGCCTGACAGTGACAATGCTACTTGCCTGTGTCTTACTGTTCATTCGTATTTCAAAAGCCGTTGTGTTTCTGTACATGCTGGGCTTTTGCTTTCTCACTTTTGTTTGTCCTTACTGGCTAATTTTTATCCAGAAATATAAAAAGTAAGTCTATAGAAAGAAACACACAAGACTGACTTTTCAAGTGAAATCCATGGTCCTTGGGACGAAGCAAGGCCTCGCCTACAAAGACCAAGGCGTAACATGTATAGTAGAAAAAAAGTCAATGCATAAAGTTTATTTTAACCATGAAGCATCATCATCAGATAATCTTCTCGAAGGTTTTTTAGGTGTTACTTTTGGTTTTTCATACAAGTGACACTACCAAGCAATATTAGAGAAAGACTTTAGAAAATAAAACACGAACCTTATGAGCGTGGCGATACCATAACATGTAGTTGTTCTTCTTTTTTCCGTTACAGACGGGTACATAGTGACGACATTGGTGACAAAGGCCTTCAATCATGTCACCTTTGCCCATACGTTGGTCTAAAGGCTTCATGAATGGTTTGCCAGAGACAGAAGAAATTCCATGACAAAACTGCTTGTGGTACCTAGTGGCTATCAAGTTAATAAAGCAATCACAAATACCACGACTTACCAATAAGCACTGTTTTTGAGCTGTAGCCATTTTCCAGGATGACAACTATCACAGTAGCCTTCCTTGAGATGACCTGTATAGCGAACCCATTTAGGTGTGTAATAGTCTCCATCATAACGAAGCTTTTGACGACGTGGCATACCTATCAAAGAGAGTGAATACATTAGATTTTTGTAGCCACAATTACCATCTGATACAAAGTGACTATTGGGCAACATATAGGATTGCTTCTCTTCTGTTGCTGTGATGATGGATGGTGGTGTAGGCACCATGGGGGAACTAGTATAAGGTATGCTATCGTTCTCTTGAGTGGGAATATACGATGGATAGAGCATATGTGTGTTGCTGCCATGACTATCACAAGCAGTAAACCCATTGAGTTCACGAACAGACTTGGTTCGTTTACGATAGATACTTGATGGAGCCCAAGGATCTGTGCTGATTGGAATAGGTTCACTGAAACTAGGTACAATAGTAGGTGACACATCTTCTACACAGCGCTTTTTTGTTGCTTGACATATGGGCGTGTTGGAAGCATGAGAGACAAGCGTGTCTTTTGAAAATGTGTTTTGTTGCCAGCTGATTTGACATGGAGAGAACGATGTATCTGATGCTGGTAGGCTAAAATAAGTAAGGGTGGGCTGAACTTGATAAGGATGCATGGGAGGTGGTGGATGGTACCCGAGTCCAAACTGACTTGTGGTTTCTGACTCTAGTTCCAGTGAAGAATAGCGTCGAAAGGGGTGGTTGAAAAGTATCACATCCTCTGTCACAATAGAGGACGAGGGTGATTCTGGATCGATTGTTGTGGCTACGAAAGTATCTGAATACTTGCGTTCGACAGCCTTATTACTTGTGCTGCCTATGTCTTTATCTAATGTATACAAAACTACATAAGTTAGTATGACTAAAGGTATTTACACCAAGTCATACATTACAGCTCAAGTCTTGGTTGAATTCATTCCATGGTACATCTGTTGAGTTTGATTGGTTTTTATCTTCCAAATAAACTTTTTGCCAACAAGTAGCAGCAAACATGTCTTGATTATTAGAGTTCATTGTTGTTGTAAAAGGCATTTTCAAGAATGAATTAAAATAGGTCTATGTAAAAGTAAGAAAGAAAGAAAGAAAGAGAAAAGTTTGATTGAAGAAAGTGTAAGGATTATAAAAACCCGGCTAGTGTGACTATAGCATTGAGACACGAGAATAAGAAAAAAGTATAGATCAAAATCGTGTTATCCTCATTATTTTCAATGAAATTGTACCAGGGTCAGCTGGTTTGCAATGAAAAGACATATAGTTCAAATACAACTTTATTCTGGACAAATAAGTTAGATGGGTTCAATTGTTGAACAATGCGCTTTGCCGAAAACGGCTGTCAGATTACCGAAAATAAATATCCTCAAGCACATTTCAACTTGAATGTGAGTTATCTATTGTGTCCAGAAGGATATAAGCTACAGATGATAGACATTTAACTTTAGGGCCGGCAATTCATTCGGATGGCATATAATATATCTGTTTGTACATCCTCCCCTATATAGAACATTATTTCTGTACTATAACCCATTGTATGTTTCGTATGTTGCATAAAGTTACACATATGCAATTCTTAAATGTAAATTACTCACAAAACGAGATGAAACGATTTATTTTCATCCATTCAGTTTACTTTATTTTTGCGGTGTTTGCATCGGATTCTATTTTTTTTTATAAAAAAGGGGGTAAGGGAGAACAAAAGCAACGGAAACGTGTAAATCGCATGCAGGTAAAAGAAAAGGAGAGAAAAAAAGCAGAGAGAGAGAGAGAGAGAGAGAGAGAGAGAGAGAAAGAGAGAGAGACAAGTTGTGAAGAGAACAAAGTATATTTATTTGTGTAAATAGGATATTTAAAGCTAACTCAATCATCTCATTTCATTTTTATATATGCTTTAATAAAGAATGTTGATCTGCGCAGTCCATTTGACATGTCTAAAAACATAAACAATAATAAAATTGATTTGCAGTTATTTACTAAACTGTAGACGATTCTGGAGTGCAAAAAGATGTGAATAATGTCCTACAAAAATATCTCGGTTACACAAAAGCACAGACAAAAAAATTCCCTCTCCCCTCCTTTTGTAGAACCTAAGCATGCGTCTTTCAAATGGGCTGATAAACAGATGATACATATTTTTTCCAACAATGTCATAGCTGACAATCGAAAGACTTTTTGTCCTCGGTTCGAACCGCGTTATGGGTATACATGTTGAACCATACACTTGGTTAGATCGAGATTCGATCCTTTTTTAAAAGAAATGCGATTTATATAAAAATGCAAATGGAGGGGATATTTATAACAATGGATGTGTCATTACGTATATATTATATATAAATGCTGTGTGTGTATGTGTATATATATGTGAAATTATAAGAATTACTAAGAACAATATGGGTGCAAAGAAAAAAGGTAAAACTGTACAGAAAGGGAAATGATACGAAAGGTCGAGATCTTTTTTTTAGAGGCCAGAATCTTGAGTTATAAATCAAGGCACTTTGTATTCAATTCGTGAGCAAAGTCCATGATGAGTATTTTTCTATCTTGACTGGCACTACAATACACATGAGTATCTACACTATATAGAAGCCTGCTTACCTTATAATACGCTTCTTATCAAAATGAACGTCAAAGATCCAGCTTGAATGCCCACTTTGGAAATTCAAAAGACAGGCTCCTGAACTATTTTACAACATAAATCATGGGTTTGCTTGCTTCGTACGACTTACTTTGTATCCCAAACACGAATACTCTGATCATAACTAGCGCTTACGATCTTTTCGCCATCAAAACGAAGTGTTCGAACAAGCCCTGAATGTCCTTCAAAGACCATGGTGCATAAACCTGTCTAAAAAAATAAAATAAAATGTCAACTTGAGTTATTTTACATAGGCTATCGTACCTCCGCATCCCAAACACGAATTGTATGATCGTTGGATCCGCTCACGATTCTTTTACCATCAAATTCGACGCAAGCTAAACCATGTTTATGACCAGCAAATTCACGAATCAAGTTGCCTGTAGATACCTCCCAAAGTTTAATGACTGCGTCACTTGAGGCCGAAACGAGGTAATCACCCTTGAACTGAATAGCATTGACAGGACCATGGTGACCCATAATCATGCGAATGGGTTGGAAGGTACTGCTACTCCAAATACGAACAGAAGCGTCTTTTGATGAGCTAATAATATAACGATGATCAAATGAGACATCAGATACACCAGAAGAATGACCCTATGAGCTATTGGTGAATTGTTCCTAAAAAGTGACAAGTGGCTTACATGAAGTCTACCCCTGATACGTTTTGTTCTCATACTCCAAATGATAACAGTATGATCAGAAGAACCAGACACGATCACCTCATCATTATATTTCAAGCAAAGAACACTGCCTTGATGGCCTTCCAGTGTATCTGTGCACTGGTATTGGTGTAAATCCCATATCTTGATAGTACGATCTCGACTTCCAGTCACAATCTTTTCATCGTCAAACTGTAAGCAATAAACACTATCTAGATGACCAATTAAGTAATGAGAAGCCACTTTACCAATCTGCCAGCGTTTCTCAAGTTGGTAGCGCTGCTTAAACCAATAATACCAGCTTTGTTCTTCTTCTGTCAGATAGTCAATCGTGGGTGGAATTTTGAGCCGCCAATTGCTTTCTATCATGCGCAGTTTCCATAATTCGTCCACATAAAACAAGTTGGCCCATGCGCGGCTTACTTTAGGCACCACAAGCAATGTATTGAAATCGACAAGCGAGATGATATAGATGCAAAGTTCAGCTGGCAATTTCTGTGTAAAATCTATCAAGCGTGTTGGCCATTTTTTTTTTTTTTTTTTTTACTTGTTTTTTTTAAGTACCTATTCTTTTCTTGGGTGTCATATTTTGTTTCATTTCGGGTTTGTAACTATGGTAATACATGACACGCTTACAAGGCGAATGAGGTCGGTTTGAGTATTCTCTTTTAATATAAGGTGTAGGATAAGGTGCTGATGAGCGTTGGGTTCGATTGTATTGAGTGGTTTCAAGCGGTGGTGCTATTGGAATGCCGTAATTACTGTTCATGTTGTGATTGTGATGAGGTATAGAGTGGTTGATGCAATAGAATAAAATAGCCTAATGGCGTATTTTATAGATTGACAGAATCTACAACAAAGAAATATAGTTTGATATGCTGCAAAAGAAATAAGAAAAAAAAAAAGAATCTTTCTTCCCCTCAAGTGGTCAATAAAACAAGAAGGAAAGGAGAAAGGAAAAAAAAAAAAAAGATGTCATTCTTATACACTGCTATTCGAAAAAGAAAAGATGTTTTCTTCAAGTCCAAAATGGGTAATTTTTCAGAAGATAAAACGTCACGTGCAAGTAAGAAAAAGTAAACATGAACGGTTTACATACGCAATCGCCCTTTTGTTCGTATATTCCAATCCAAAGACTGGATGCTACACTGTAAAGTCTTTTTTTTGGATCAAAGTGGGCTCTCTAAGCCAAGAAAGAAGTAAAAGCAGGTGTAACTTTACAAAGCAAAATGTTGTAGTTTAAGCGCCATTTTTAAATACAAAAGGGTCGTCCTAACAAAGCATAATTTTACTGCTGGATTTGTGCAATGTTTTTATTGTCAATTGTAACCTTCCATTTCAAACAGAATCAAGAAAAACAACCATATTTGCTTTTATGAAAACATGTTTCCAGTATGAAAAAAAAGGGTAATTTCATCCTTAAAAAAAGCTAATTTTAAATGGTTGAAGCGTATAACTAATGCAATTTATTTTTGAGAGAGAACGCGAAGGCATCGGAACTGTTCTGAGAAAAAAGGGGTGCTATGACCAAATGTTAAGGAGGCAAAATCGGGCTTGTGCGCATTTATATTCCAGACTTGTTCTAAATTGGTTTAAAGAAGCAAGAAATATGTTATTATGATCTTGTTGTTGAATATCTTTTTAGTAAAACGCATTCTGTTTTACGGTAGCGCACAAGGACAAGATGCATCAGCATTTTTTTTAAGCAAGACGGAGATCAAGATTGTCATACTTTACTTTCGTCATCATTATTTACTCTTGTTCAAAAAAGAAATTCTCAAAAGGCGGTTTTTATTTTTTTCAAAGAGCGGTTTTTTTCTTTGACCTCCAGAATTTAACCACAAAGTTCAATTCAGAACTATCAATGGCTCTATCAAACAAGCTTGGATTGTATCAAATGATTGATAGGAATTGCATAACAAAGAAGATACAGAAGTTGATGTTGGTATATTTTGGCTGAACGCAGGGTTGTAGTGCTTTTCCAGTTTTTTAGCCTTTTTGTACATTTTCATCCAATTGATATCAAGCGTCTTGTTCTGTCGATATGCCTGAAATAGTGGCTGTAAGATAGATCTGATTTTATCATATCCAGTGGTATCTTATCCAACGGATCGGTATTGTTTTCTTGATTCAACCCATTTTTGATTTGTAAATAGCTTGGAAAATTAAAGCTAGCACCCAAAATGGAATTAAAACCTAAAGATATTACGCCTTTTTCATATATCTCTCAAGAATGATACCTTTCGCATTATTCAAGAGCCTTTCTTTCGACAACAGTAGCAACAGAACTATCTTCTTTTTTACATTTTGTTGTTCAGAGTCAGGAGCAGAGTCAGGAGTAGAACGAGCTACATCATTATTGAGCTTATCTAATTGATCTTTCATGTCCAGACATCTCAATTTTGAGTCATACTCAAACTGATAAGCAACGAACTGTCTGCCACAAGCTGCACCTCTTCTTATCGAATCTTATGCATCTCCTTCAAGTTGTTCAAGGTGGTTGTTTTCGTTTTTAGGTATAATTAAGTTCAAACAAGTTGTAACGCAAAAATAGAGTAAAATTGAATTGGAGGTATCGCACGTCTCTTAAAATATGAGTAGCAATCAATAAATTTGGCTTTTACACTCTTTTTTTTTTGTTACAAGGCTGCAAAGAACTTCATTATATCTCTTGGATATGCCATGAGTAGCATCTAAGCAAAAGGAATTGTTCAATACCATTTGTTCAATCCAATCAGGGGGATTGAAAACCCAAAATAAAAAGGTTGACAATGTTGTTGTATTCTTATGGTTTGCTGTTAAAAATGACATAATTTTTAGAAAATAAATGTGTCTCTAGCTAATTTATGAAAGAAACCATATCGTCCTAATCAAAACGATACAATCTTTTTTTTACCTAATGAAGTCGCATTATTCATTAAACTAGGGCATTGATAGTCTCATAAAACACACCTTTCTCAAACGATTGTAGGCATATTCAATGTTGGGCTTTCTAACACCATTACCCCACTCATTTACTTAACGCAAAACAGCTGTTCTAATATTTCTGCTGCTACCACCATCTCTTAAACCTTGTTCGATTATAAAAATTGTTTCTCTAGTCAAGGGTAAGTTCTAATATCGTCTTCTCTTCCAGGAACATGTATTATGTGTTTAGTCAAAAGTAGAGTTTGAACAACAGTACGATCATCCAAGCGGTTTTCTTATGCACCACACGCTTTCTTTCTTAAGAACCACTCTCTATCAGACATGTCCGCAGAGAAAAGGTAGCTAGAAAACACTTTATTCACTCCAAAAAGCAACCACTTTTGTATGAATATTCAAAATTATTTTCAATTGATCATTTTATAACAATCAACAGGTTTTGGTTTTTTTTTATCACAAAAAGACACCAGTAATTTATCAAATCAAAGATAAATGATTTATTTGTAAGAAAAAAGAACATTGCATAATAAAATGAAAACAATAGAAATACTAAAGAAAAAACTAATAGCAGCTATATTGTCAAAATGCTTCTTTTTGGACTAGGAACCGGAATGTTCGCCATTAATAAACGTATATTTATGCATTTAATATTTCTTTAAGACTGTCCCTTTTTAGCCACAGTTATATGAAACACCCCCTCTCTATATGGTACTCTGCGAATTTCAGTTTGAACATGTCCGGTAGGGGATGGTTCCTAAGAAAGAAAAGGGGTGGTTGTACATAAGAAGCCTGTCATCCAAATACTGAAAGATACTTAAAGTAGCCTGACATCCGGTTTTCTTGGGGTCTTTTTGACTTTATCTGACAGCTCTGAAGGGAGAGTATTTTTGGGCTCTATGAGATTCTCGAGTCTTGCCCATAACCAAATACATGGCTCTTCTCTTTCTTTTCTTGACCTACTTGCTCACACAAAGCTTACTAATGCAAGTAAGGCATTCCTCTCATTCATGAAAAGCGAGATAAACTGACGTATGAGTAATTTGATTGGTTGACATATTGATACTAAATAGGTAAACAAGAAAGCTTAATTTACTTTCAGGCAAAATAAGATAAAGTAAAAGCCATTAAAGGCAATTGTTAACCTGTCCACACTCAACCCTTCCTACCTCTATCGAATGAACTTTATCCGGTGACAGGAAATAAGTGGATTCAAGAAAAGTGTTAGAAACTGGAAAGTACCATGTTTTTCATATTGTCATCCGGAGACCCCAAAACGCTTTTGATCCAACTTTTTTTCATTCTCCACAAACCCTTGATGGGTTAAATAATGAGTTTTTTGCAGATGCCAAAACAATGGTACCTTTCAGTTACTGGACTCAAGAGAACATGTTTCAAACAAAATAAAAAAGGAGCCACTTTCATAATCTGGTTGTCGAGCAATGATCCAACAAAGAATGGTGCATTTGAGCTGTGTTTTGAGCATTTTTGCTCAAGACGCCATGTATATGTATTAGCAGTTAGTCTTTTTAAAGAATCCTATGCTATCTAGAGGGCCAAGGAATACAGAAAAGTGGAATCATAAGCATTTTTTAAGGTAAATATGGGTAAATGGGCATCAAACATTCAGAATAGTTTTGTTCGGAGATTGAAATAGAGCGATTCCAGTTATTCTTTTCGCTGTATCCGAAATCAAGTTTAACATGAGAACTGCATAAAGACGCAGTTTTATGGCTTTAGTGTAGTGGCAAAAGCTAAAGATCTTTTCCTTCAAGATCTACTAGTATAAAGAGAATAGTGACTCTATTAGTAAAGTATCGAGAAAATAAGCAAAAACGTTTACGAGATTTTTCGCTCATATCTCACTATTTTCATTAAAAAAAAACTTTCTTTTCTGAATCATTCGTTCCTCAAGAATTCTATACTATAAAACATGTGCAGTGGTTTATAGCAAAATGTACTAATTATATGAGCTTGTACTAGTGTCAAGTGCTTTTTTTTTCATTCTAAACATGAGTTATAACTATTTGATTTATCTTGCATTCAAAAAAAGGGGGGGGGAGCATTTATCTTATCGTTAAATATTAAAAGAAAATGTGTAATAATTTATTATGCATTAATTTAAAGAGCAGGAACAACACGGTCACAACCATAGGCACTACGACCAGCATTACAGTCACTGTAGGTCATACAACAACGAATACAGAAATCACCACTATCAGGTTCAATCAAATTGACGTAGTAACGGTAACCAGCACAGCTAGAACCAGGAGGAGAGCCAGAACCGTGGTTATCGTATTGACCTCCTTCATCCTTAGAACTCAAGTCGTACTTGGAGACATCAATGGTACCACGGACTTGAACGAAACCATCGTCCGTCTTGGTTTGGTAGCTAGCAGTTTGGATGAAACCGTCAGGGAAGAGACCGGCATTAGGAGCATTGACATTAGGCTTAGTACAGAAAGCAACAGCAGACTTTTCAGAATCAGCAATGGCATTAGTATCGACCTTACCATCGTTTTCGGCCTTGTTACCAGGAGAAGAAGGCAAGAACAAACAGAAGTCCTTGCTGGAACTGATTTGAACAACCTTACCAGTAGAAGAAGTACCAGAACCGCCACCAGAAGAGCCGGAAGAGCCACCGGGAGCAGTAGGACCGTTACAGACACCATTGATACAATCATCTTGACAGTCAGCTTGGTTCTTACAACAGTAACCACTGTAGCCATCACCATTGCCTAAACCATAAGATCCAGAAGTACAAGTGGTAGATGAACCGGAAGAACCGGAAGAACCGGAAGAGCCACCGGGAGCAGTAGGACCGTTACAGACACCACTGATACAATCATCTTGACAGTCAGCTTGGTTCTTACAACAGTAACCACTGTAGCCATCACCATTGCCTAAACCATAAGATCCAGAAGTACAAGTGGTAGATGAACCGGAAGAGCTGGAAGAACCGGAAGAGCTGGAAGAACCGGAAGAGCCACTAGGAGCAACGGGGCCGTTACAGACACCACTGATACAATCATCTAGACAGTCAGCTTGGTTCTTGCAACAGTAACCACTGTAGCCATCACCATTGCCTAGACCATAAGATCCAGAAGTACAAGAACTACCAGCACCAACAGGAACAGTGGTGCTCGATGTCTTAGGGGCACTATAGGACATGATTAGGTTAGCAACTATTTATCATTATATGATTATCTAATATACCTCAGACAGAGAATCTGATCAATGTATAAATTGGTACACTTGGAATTAACTAGAACATATTGTGAGTATATACATGCCAAGATGTCTCAAATAAACTTACTGGAAGGGTTCCATTTCTTGAGTTGGCTGGTGTAAATACCAAATTCACGAGCAATGACACTACACTATAAAAAGACAATGAGTTAGACACACACACACACATATAAAATATAAGTTTAGACTTACAGTATCACCTTGGAGAACAGTGTAAGTTTTATCACAAGAAACACTGTATGTCTTCATGGTGCTAGCAGCAGAAGCAGAGGAAACAAATGCCAATGCAGTACAGGCCAAGATTGAAAGGCGCATTTCGAACAAAGGAAAGGAAAGGAAAGGAAAATGAAAGAAAAAAAAGGTGTGATTGAATGATAAAAAACAAGATTACTTGTTTGTATTTATATCAAATCCTTGCAAAACAAAATGTTAATTTGACACGAGGTAAAATGTAACATCGAATTGAATAGGCTAAAAATGGTGCTGAAAAAGAAAAAAAATATCATATAGATAGATATAATTCATCACAATTTGTAGGTTTGCTATCATGACTATGCATTGTCGATTTTTTTTTTATTTTATCTCATTTTACCATTTCATTGTATCTGGGTGTTGTTTGAATTCTAAATAGTCTTTCAAGTCAAAGAAAGACAACTCAGTTTCGTTTTCTATATGGGGCAAAATGATGAACAAAAGCATTCTATTTTTGTAAAATCTTACCGATACCCTGCCATGCTAAGACAGCGGAATCGTCTGCCAAAATCAGCTTATCATCGTCTTCAACATTAATGATCAAGTTCATGGTCTATTAATAGCATTTTTAGTGGATTATGCTGAACAAATATATCAGTTTACCTTGTGTCCGTGGGCAACAGTGTAAACCTTAAGTGTATCTATTTTTAATCAATATTTCATACAAATTTAGACCCTCTCTTCTTATTTTGGGTTATTTTACCAAACTTGACGTTCAAATATGGCTTCCATCCAGGCTGTGAGTGAATTTCTAATAAACATGTGTTGGAGAATGTACAAGTAAGACTTACTTACTTTCTAAAACCATTTTTTTCAAGTCACCGACTGTACAAGTCTCGAGGTTAACGTGTTGCAAAACAAGGTTTTTACAGGTACGGTATTCAAAGTTCTTGATACAACGCACTGTTAAAGTGGCATCAGAAGAAGGCTTAGCGAGATTAGTGAGATCTTCAACGTTTGACATTGAGGGAATAAAGTAACAAAGACAAGAAAATCTTTTTTCTTCGAGAAAAAAAAGAAAGTTGGAAGATAATTCGACCAATCATTGGGTTCGGTAAAGGAAAGAATTCAGGCACTGAATTTCAAGTCACGTGAAAATTTTCGCGCGTAAATTCTTGTTCTTTCATCGCGCATTAATAAATTCCTTTTTCAACACACACATACACACACAAAATTTTTTTTTATTGCTTCCACTATGAGCTCGTCTCCTTCGATTGAACAAAAAATAGCAAGCCCCACTCGATACCATAATAGAAACAATGAACGATTCAAAGCCATTATGGCCGAAAGCCCACCTCGTGAGGTAACCAAAAGCAGTCCTTTACAACCATCTCGTCTATCGGAATACAAGGTATATGAGACTGAGAAATATGCAACATATGAAATACACAATGAAGATCGAGGTGCTTGGCGAGAGATAGATAGCCCCAAGCGAGACTCTATTGTCAGTCCTGTTCACAAAACTCAAGAGACAACAAAAGTTAAAGACAAGGTAGAACCAACCCGCATTTCACAACCAAGTACACCAGCACCGTCCTCACCACAACCATCCACTCAAAAAGAAGTGACGGAAAAGCGTCGCATACCTCATTATATGTTACCAACACGGGCTTCAGGAGAAAAGACAACCAAAGAAACAAAGACACTCGGTCGTCGCTCAAATGGTGGTATCACCGTAAGTATAATATGGATTATCTCTCAAGTATGTTAGTGACACTCCTCTATAGAAACGAGTGACAACATCCAAAATTCCTCGCTATCGATCTACAACAAGTATCAATGCTATCGAGGAGATTCAGAATGAGATGAAACCAGGTGATGCTTATGTTCCTATGGCTGCACGTATCCAACTGTATGAAAAGGGACTAGGCAATGCATCCAATAAGCATATGCCTATGGTAAGTGAACAAATAAATTGCCATTGTCGCTGAGACATTCTTTAGCCCAACAAGTATAATCAACCTTCCCCTCCTCCTTCTCGTTCGGGTTCTCGTCTATCAACACCTACTAGTAGCCAAAAAAGTCAGGATCGATCTGAACCACCTAGTTACCTTCGACCTACTTCATCCTCTGCTATTAAAAAACGAAAACCAAAGCAACGTACCAATGAAGCCAAGGTAAATGAATTTTGATTTCACCCCCAAATGTATTGAATCAGTTGATTAAAACGCTAGCCTTTTCGCTTCACTACATCTGATAATGCAACATTTAAAGAAAAACTAAGTTTATGGAGACAAAAAGAACATGAACAAGGAAAGAAAACTACAAAGCGAAAAGTAAGGTATCTAGGGATAATAGCTTATATTCATTCTTCGTAGGCTGATCATGATCTCAATGCATAATTTATTTCATTAAATAAGCCCCCTTTTGAAAAGTAAAAACAGTCTCGAGAAACAGCCACTTTTTTTTTTTATGATGGGTTGCATTTTTTAGAAAATTGAGGGTCAACAAAAACTTTTTTTTTCTTTTCTCTTATCGTTTCCAATAAACATCCATGGTAAACATCAGAACAACTTGTTTTAAATTTTAACTAATAACTCTCTTGCAGGCAAACTACGTTTTATTCGAAACAGCCTCAGGTTACGCTCTTTTCGAACGTCTCCAATCTGAAGAGATTGGTAGCAAGTTAGAGTCCGTCCAAGCCTCTATTGCTGATCTTTCCAAGTTCAGCAAGATGCTTAAGCTCAAGTCTTTTGCTCCTTTTAAAAACGCTGCTGATGCTTTAGAAAATGCCAACGATGTTTCTGAAGGTATTGTCAATCCTTCCTTGAAGGCCTTTTTGGAAATGAACCTTCCCAAGCCCGGCAAGAAATCCAAGGTCTGTCTTGGTGTTGGTGAAAAGAACTTGGCTGGTGCTATCAAGGCTGCATTGAGCGTAGATTGTGCTTCTGATGAATTGGTTCAAGATTTGATCCGTGGTGTTCGTAAATGGGCCGACAAGCTCTTGGGTCTCAAGAGTGGTGATTTGGAACGCGCCCAACTCGGTCTTGGTCACAGTTACTCTCGTGCCAAGGTCAAGTTCAACGTCAACCGTGCAGATAACATGGTTATTCAAGCCATTGCTACTCTTGACCAAATTGACAAGGATGTCAACTTGTTTGGTATGCGTCTCAGAGAATGGTACTCTTGGCATTTCCCTGAAATGGTCAAGATCATCAATGACAACTACAAATACGCCAAGTTGGTCAAGTTGATTGGTAACAAGGGTGAATTGACTGAAGACAAATTGGAAGCTATGACTGCTATTCTTGATGATGATGAAGCTCTTGCTAAGCAAATCTTGAGCGCTGCCCGTGCTAGTATGGGTGCTGATCTTTCTCCTGTTGATATGATCCAAATCCACACTTTTGCTAACCGTGTGATTTCCCTTGCTGAATACCGTCAATCCCTCCATGCTTATTTGGTCAACAAGATGAACCATGTTGCTCCTAACTTGGCTGCTCTTATTGGTGAAATTGTAGGTGCTCGTTTGATTTCTCAAGCTGGTTCTTTGACCAATTTGTCCAAATACCCTGCTTCTACTCTTCAAATCTTGGGTGCTGAAAAGGCCCTTTTCAGAGCTTTAAAGACAAAGGGTAACACACCCAAATATGGTTTGATCTACCATTCTTCTTTCATTGGCCGTGCTGGTCAAAAGAACAAGGGTCGCATCTCTCGTTACCTTGCCAACAAGTGTACTATTGCTGCCCGTATTGATTGTTTCTCTGACCATCCTACTGACAAGTTCGGTCAAGCCTTGAGAGAACAAGTAGATGAGCGTCTTAAATTCTTTGACAGTGGTGCCCTTCCTCAAAAGAACATTGATGTGATGAAGAAGGTGATGGACGCATTAGACGATGGAGAAGAAGAACCTGTTGTTGTTGGTAAGAAGAGAACTGCTGATGATGACAATGAAGAAGAAGAAAAGGTCAGCAAGAAGGCCAAGAAGGAGAAAAAAGAAAAGAAGGAAAAGAAAGAAAAGAAGAAGGAAAAGAAGGAGAAGAAATAGATTTGCTTTCGTTTTATATATATATTCACACCATCCCCATTATCAATTATTTTGTTTGCATGCTTCATATTTAAAATAATAAAAAGCGATCGCTAATTTTAAGTTTTGTACAGTATTTGAACCTTTGGACTCAAAATAAGGCAAATGTCTGTCTTGTAAAGTGAGGGCGGTTAAAATGCACCTAAAAGTAGAATATAACGAAAAATGGTATTTACACCATCGACAAAGGGGAACGCTGTTGCTGTTTATGTAAAATAGACTATATATTATGAAGCATAGGTTTATTTTAACCGAGAGAGTATGTGGAGGATTTCAATTCTCTCAATGAAGGAATTTCGGAGTTTGAATCAAATCAATTGCCTCCTCCCAAGCTATACTCTACGGCATTGTGTTGATTTGAGTTGAATCTTTCTCTTTATAACAACGTGTAAGCAACACCCATCCATCCATCCATTGATTCATCCATTCGCTGACATGTCTATAGTAGAAGATGCCTCCCAAGTTCGATCCTTCCGAGGTTAAGATTATCTACCTTCGTGCTACTGGGTAAGAAATAGAGTGATTAATGTCGATTAGTGATTAACATGGATTAGTGGTGAAGTCGGTGCTTCTTCTGCCCTTGCCCCCAAGATTGGTCCTCTTGGTTTGTCTCCCAAGAAGGTCGGTGAAGATATCGCCAAGGGTACCAAAGACTGGAAGGGTCTCCGTGTCACTGTCCAATTGACCATTCAAAACCGTCAAGCCCAAGTCTCTGTTGTTCCCTCTGCTTCTTCTTTGGTCATCAAGGCTCTTAAGGAACCTGTTCGTGACCGTAAGAAGGAAAAGAACATCAAGCACTCTGGTAACATCTCTCTTGATGATGTGATTGAAATTGCCCGTACTATGCGTTTCAAGTCTTTGGCTCGTGAACTCAAGGGTACTGTCAAGGAAATCCTCGGTACTGCTTTCTCTGTTGGTTGTACTGTTGATGGTCAAAACCCCAAGGACCTTGGTGATGCTATCGATGCTGGTGAAGTTGAAATTCCCGTAAGTTGATTTTGTTAAATTGTATGTCAAACTCATTATTGTGTTTTTGCAGGAAAAATAAATTGTTTCATGCGTGTTCAATAAACAATATTTTCAATATGTCGTACGTTTGGCAATTTTTTTTCTTGTAATGATCATGTAAAAGTGTCTACCAATGACGCCAACATGATAGCCGGGTATTGGGTAAACTAGACCGTTGTTCCCTTGAATCCGATTGGATTATCCTGCTTATAAATTATTAATTCAGGTTTCTCCATTGTGTTTTTTTTTTCTTTCTTCTTCTTTATAAACCATGTCAGACATTGAGTCAATTCCTCTTCTTGATAAAAGAAAGCCTTCTAAAAAGACCAAGCTTTTGCTCGGTTTAGGTGCTGCTGTCCTGATTATAGTAGGAACGATAGGCACAAGTCAATTGGCATTTCATAAGAAGAGTAAGGCACTTGAAATGACTATATTTATGTAGGCTTAACTTGTCCTTAGGTACTGTCCGCCAAAGCCCTGTTGATTTTAAGGGTCGACTTGTGAAAGGATCTAAGGCTGCTGTTGCTGTTGAAGCAGAAGAATGCTCTCAAATCGGTGTTAAAAGTAAGTGCAATGAGCTGATTTGACAAGTTTTCTTATATAAAAAAAAAATCAGTTTTAAAAGATGGTGGTAATGCTGTTGATGCTGCTATTGCTTCTACTTTGTGTATTGGTGTCATTGATAGTTTTGCTACAGGTAAGTCATCATTTTATTCACACAGATATATACTGACATAGAATGATAGGCATTGGAGGGTAGGACAGAAGAAAATAGGTATTGATTCTGATTTATTTTTTCATAGTGGTGGATTCATACTGATTCGATCCCCTAATGGTACTTTTGAATACATTGATTTCAGAGAGACTGCACCAGCTGCTGCTACACAAGACATGTTTGTTAAGAATCCTGAACTGGCTAAAACAGGTGGTTTATCAGTTGCCGTTCCGTATGTATCTATTTATCTGATGATAATGTGCTTATCTTTTTTTATTGATAGTGGCGAAATAAGAGGATTAGAATTAGCACATAAAAGGTAGTTTTATTGCAGGATGAGGTTACACACGACTCATTTGAAATAGGCATGGAAAGTTACCTTGGGAAGATTTGTTTGAACCTTCGATTCAAATGGCTCGACATGGATTTAAGGCAACTAAATTATTAGAGACACGCGTAGAGGTAAAGTGTGTGTGTGTATGCACAACTAAAAGATCGATTCATGGTTGTATAGAAAGATAAGGCATGGATGCAATACTTGAAGGAATGGTCAGAAGTGTATTTAGCGAATGGTACTCCTGTCAAAGAAGGTGACATTGTAAAGCGACCTTCTCTTGCCAATACACTTGAGACCATTGCTAAAGAAGGTGCAGATGCATTTTATACCGGTGAAATCGCCGCTTCTTTAGTGACAGCTATTCAGGCCAACGGAGGTGTTGTCACTCTGGACGACTTTAAATCCTATCGTCCTGTGATCCGACCTACCGTCAGTACTTTCTACAATGGTCGTAAAGTCACGACAACATCTGAACCCACTAGTGGCATTGTGCTCTTGAGTGTACTGAATCTGATTGAACGGTTTCAATTTAAAGTGGAGGGATTGACTGGTCTGAATGTACATCGACTTGTAGAAGCATTCAAGTTTGGCTATGCTTTTAGAACAGAAATGGGTGATCCTGGATTTATCGAAAATGGCGAGAGAATGCAAGAAGTAATGAATAAGGATTTCGCTGCCGGTGTTCGTCAAAACATCACTGTAAGTTTAACTTTATTTTTATTTTTTTAGGCCGTGTCTTATTTTGATCTTTTAGGATGACATGACGCATGATCCATTGTACTACGGCCCTAAATTTGATCACATTGAATCGCATGGCACAATGCATCTTTCTGTGGTGGATGAGAATAACAGTGCTGTTGCGCTTACGTCTACAGTCAATTTAGCCTTTGGTTCGCACATTATGGATCCAATCACAGGTGTTGTATTGAATGATGAAATGGATGATTTCTCTATTCCTGGGTAAGGAACGAATTCTGTTGATAGAAAACTCATTGACCATAGTGTTCCTAATCAATTCGGCCTTTACCCAAGCGAATTCAATTATGTGAGTCCTGGTAAGAGACCGTTATCGTCTATTACACCTACTATTATTGAAAGAGATGCTCAATTTGAAATGGCCGTTGGAGGATCGGGTGGTTCTCTTATACCCACTGCTACTTTAAATGTAAGCTCTATTAGCACTTGAGTAGTGATTAATGATTTGATAGGCTATTGTAAACACATTGGATTACAGTAAAGATTTATATCAAGCCATTGCTTCCCCACGTGTCCATCACCAATTGTTACCTAATGTTGTCGTGACTGAAAACGGCTTTTCTCGTCAACTTGAAAAGGAGCTGATGGCTAAAAATCATCGAGTTATGCAAATACCTGCAGAGATGTGCTTTTCAGCCGTACAAGCCGTTCGACGACTATCTGATGGTACAGTCGAGGCTGCCAGTGATCCAAGAAAGATGGGCATAGCAGCTGCTTACTAGTCCTTTTCCAAGCCAAACCTTCGTTTGCAGTATATTAAATAAAATATAGTTTATTGACGATAATATGGGTTTTGTAAATGATAGTTTTGTACCATGGAAGCACTCATGGTCTCACTTGCTCCATCATTGGACATGGTAGGACCATATCGCATACGATGATAGTCTTGTGCCACAGACTGTGGATGTATGATTGAATGGACAGGACTAGCTGTGTATCTCGAATAGCCACTGATAGAATGAGGTGCACCATAGACAGAGGAAGGATATGTACCCTGAGAGAGTCGATCACTACGATTTTCGGCCATCATTTGCTTCTCATACTCAGACCACCGTATTAAAGGAATGGATTTAGGATTGAATTCATCTTCATCGCCCACGATTGTCTTTTTTCCTTTGTCTCCTACCACTATACGCGTATTGCCCCACGAGAAATCATCAAAGTGCCAGTAAGCATATAAAGGGATATAGAACGAAAATACAGGCAGAGCCAGAATAGAGATAAAGAACCAGGCAATATACTCCCATCTTTTGTGAATAATAAAGATAAAGATCTGCAGACCATAAGTACAGCCTAGTGTGATAATGGTAATATAAGGAATTCCATTCGTAGCAGTAGCCAGCTTCCAAATGAGTACACCTAAATAGGCCAGCAATGCAGGTTGAATAAGTGTACTGAATAAATCCAGCATAACAATGAAACGCATAGAGAAACAACAGAAACCACACAGTTGATTCAAGAAGACTAATTCACCTAGATTATGGACAGTAGAGTTGATCCAACGACGACGTTGAGATACAAGTACACTCCATGTATCAGGCGCGTTCGTCTTGCATTGTGCGCCAGGATTAAATTTGGTCTTGAAGTTAGGAAAATGCTTTAACAAAAGAGTCGTTAAATACCGATCTTCACCAAGGTAGAGCAAGTTCTTTTTGTGCAATGTATCAACTACATTGACAGAATAATCTTCAATAATCTCATTGGATACAAACAAAGGGCGTTTTCTGTCAACGGTTCTTATACGATACATAGTAAAACAACCAGGTAGACAGCTCACAGACGAGAAAAGGGATTCAAACGATTTGATCATATAATGCGAAATAAAGTATTCATACACTTGGATCATAGTCACCCAAGAGTCTTTTTCGTTAGCCAAAGTTGTTTCACCACAAAGACCAATGATTTTGGTATCATGCGACATACTAGCTACAAGGTGACTCATGCCCATCGGCATGACTTCTGTATCTGCATCCACCATCAAAACATAATCATAAAGCTCGGGGCTCACACCAATAATGTTGCGCATTTGATGATACATTTCCAACTGCATTGGGTTCATAGGAGCATCAAAATGAACCTTATTTAGAAACTGCATCAAGACCAATTGAGAGTCGCGTTTACCTCGATTGCCTGGCTTTTGTCGTTCCTGTGGTGTACCTACTTTAGCCACAACAAGGTAAGGCACAACATGACCCCTGATTTCATACAGTCCGGAATAAAGTTTGGCTCGGTTATGTTGCTTCATGCCTTCGCCTACCGAGACAAACGAGACTGGCTCAGGGTCAATACGAGGATTCACACCGAAAATATCAAGCACAATACGAGGTGTAGGTCGGTCATTGCCAGAACCGATAATCATACCATCGCAAATGACGAGAATCAGTTTACGTTTATCATCATACCGCAAACAAGCAATGGAATCAATTGTTTTGCGAAGAGAGTCTTCGTCTTCAGTATAGCAAGTAATTTGACAAATCACGAGTTTCTCAGATTCTTCAGGCGTTTGCCCAGAACCGAACCGAAGTGCAGCCGCAAACTTAAAGAACACAACAGCACACAAACAAACCGTAATGACCAATAGAAAGTAAGTGGTAAATTGACATTTGATCGAGTTACGTATGTCAAGTAGACCTACATAATATAGGTTTCTTAAACACGCTAGTTCACGCTCTTTTTGAGTATCCGTAAGGGACAGATTGTTGAACTTGGAAGTGATGTCTGTACCCGAGTTCTCCCAGAAAAGACTTACTAGTGTAGTGTCCAAAAAATCGGTGCTTACATTAGCAGGTGCTGTTTTATTTGAGGGTGCAGTGATATATCTTCCGCCCATAATATATGTTGTCAAATCATAGATATGACTATCAATCACAGCCCAATTGCGATTAACGGATTCACCATTCAAGGTATAAGAACCTTCTGCTTCATCTTTCAAGCCTTTAGAATCATAGCCCATATTGCCAACTTTGTAGTTTTCGCGAAGCATGGTCATTTGATCATAATACCAGTTTTTACGATAGTCATCTGTATTGTATCGAAAATCATGATACTGTGAGTTATTGTCTGAGTAGGTATGAGAATAATCAAGCGATACATAAGGTGAGACGCCTTTGCAGAGATCAGAAACTTGGATAGGAAATAAGTCAGTGACATCGGTGCCTACATATTCTAGTATAGCACTCGTAGAGACCACACCAGGATAATGGTGTGCTGCAAAATCACTTAGTTTAAAAACTTCGCCTCGAATAGCAACATAGCCATCTGTATCTGAATTATGTTCAGCGAGCTCGCTGGTGGTATATACATTTTGACTCGGACAAATAAGGTCAGAAAAGAACACAAGGAACCAGATAATAAAGCCACATGCGAGTACAATGAAGCCACACAGAGTCACTTTTTCACGCCAGGCAATACGGACATCTTTACGCTTCATACGACCACATTTAATAAGACAAAAATCAGGCATCCAAAACGTAACTAGCCATACAAAATACAACCATCGTCTTCTTCCTGAAGTCATAGAACTTGTTTTTTCTTCTGTGGTATCTGTCTCTTGGGAGAGTGATTTGGGCTCTTGTTTGTCATGTTCAGATACTTCAAATTTTGATTCTGCATATTGGCTGTTAAATAAAGATTCAGTGACGGGTGGGTTTTCGTCTTCAGAAAAATACTCCTTTGTTTGTGCTTGAGAAAAATCAGCTAAAGAAGGCAAAGGATCTAATGGTGTGCCTGTGCGTATAAAGCCATCCGAATCTCTTGTATCAAGAGATAGGTAATTATCAACTTGATTGTCTCTTAATTTTTGGACCTTTTGTTCTTGTTTCTCCAAGGCTCGTAATTTCTCTTCAAGCATACTCCATATCGAATAACTCAAAAATACCTAGATAAAGGCATGTTATTTCTTTTTGTCTGCGATTCCATTTTCTATACCTTTGTAATGCCAATAGCCATATCGTAATCAGACCAGTTGTTTTGTAGTTTCACTGATTCGCATTGTTCTTTTTCAGACATAGTTGATTCAGATGGATAAAGTTGATATCTTGTAAGAAATTCAGCATGGGGCAGTGATGCAATATAGAACTGCTTTAGTTTTACTGCAAATTGCTCAAGATTCAAAGCTTTGATTTGAGTTTCTACAAGAGCACTGTCAAACTGTGTCGAGCTTGAAGTTACATTGGGTCGTATGCAAAAGACATTCCATATATTTGCTTCTTGAAAAGAATTGACAAGGTCATCAAGAGAGGAAGCAATTTGAGACAAAACTGTCTTTTTTCCTAGGCTGGATTCATTTGGTTGCCTTTCTTTGAATGTTTTTCTTTTACTTTGTTTCATAGAAGGTTGTCGAGCTGGCTTTGCTGATTGTTGGGCTGAGAGAAGAGCTGGCATAGTATGGAGTGTCTGGTTTTCCAGAGCAAGGTTTTCATCTGAGAATAAATCAAGTACAAAACCATTCCAGGAAGCAGGTGTATCAGCTGTGCCCCTAAATAGCGGAATAAAGTCACCTAAAGACTCATCCATGTTTTTGCTAAGAAAATCGTGAGGATCATAATTGACTTGGCCGGCAAAATGTTGGACTACGAATTGACGTGCACCCGTGTCTGATTGCCGAAATGAAAGTGCTGGGTTCTGGGCATTATATTTTTGAATTTTATCCAGTATGACTGTTCCTGTCAGTGATATGTTGCCGTTCACTTGTTTTTCTGTCAAATTGCTGATCACATCACATAAGCCTTTCTTAGGTCTTGTAAACAGATCTAGGCATGCAGTATTGATAACCGTTGGTTCAGATACCTGAATACCGCCTGTTTGTAGCTCTATCTGATCAACTTCAAAAATACTGTTTGCCAAGAAACAATTTATGCGCTCATTAGCATAATTAATACAAAACTGTTCAAAGCCAACAGCGCCAAATCCAGTCGTCTGTGTGCCTGGAAAGTCAAGGACTCCCACAAAGGTATTGAATTGATCGGTATATGTCTTTTGATTGATACGCTCCACAAGCCAGGAAAACAAAAGCGAGTAAAGAACGTGTGCCAACAAGTCTCGCTGAGCAGCTGCTTGTTCTGCATTCAAAATAAGCGTTGTCACATCCTTTCCAATGATTGTTGTCTTAAACTGAAAGACGGATGCTAGCACTTCAACCTCTAGCCCCAAAAAATCAGCTACAATAGCAATGGTATCAGGATTGTTGATCGTCACTGCTTCTTCTGCACCGACACCTAGTGTTTCCGTGAACTGAATGGTGCCTAAGTGCAAAATAGCAGCCAAGAGCTGAATGATGCGATTTGTCTGGTCTCTTCGAATACCTGCTGCTCGCATGAGGACTCGGAGTTCTTTGTAATTATCTTGATCCGTCTCGAGTAATCCGCGCCCATATTTGGCAAGATAAGGGTAGTCCTTAGGGCTATCTTTTAACTGTAACACCTGTTTTTCATCGGGACTAGTCCCAGATAAAAGCCAATAAAAGATGTTAAAATTGCCTTCGCTTGGCTTGTTACTTGTAGCAACCACGCGCGACTTTTCGAGAAAATAGTACAATGTCTTGGCACCGATTAATCTACCCCGTTCATTAAAATGAATTTCTGTATAGGCTCCGTAACGCGATGCTCCTGATTCATTATGAGCTGTTTTTGCAAGACCAAAAGCGTCTATGACCTTTTGACTACTCAAAATTGCTTGGTGAAGTTTGGATTGTTTTTTAGTGTTGCTGAGACGGATCAAATGTTGAATAATTAGATGTCGGATCTCTGTCTTTCCACTCCCCGACGCACCACTATAGAACCGGAAATTAAGCTTAAAAAAATCATTATGCTTTTTTTTTTTTTTTTTTACCTAAGAATGATCACTTGGTCCTTCCCTGTTCTTCGCATACAAAAAAAGGAACGATTGGTAAGCCCGAAAACATGAGGATTTAGCTTTTTAGTCATGACTTCATCCACTGTGTTCTTATACGATGCTACATAGTCTTGACTGGTCTGCGCATCGTTTTGAGCGAATTTTTTAAAGGGGTTAATGGCAATCATGCTGCATGCACTCAAGTCTGTGTAGTTGTTGTAATAAGAAAACCTTGATCGAAGAACATGTACCATTTGGTTCTTTGGATCGTCTAAACTACACATGTCGACGAGTGTTTCGACTGGCTGTGAAGACTTTCTGTCTGTCATGTTGAGTGAAAGAAAGAAGAAGAGAAGAAAAATGGGTTGACATGATAAGTACTTGACAGCTTTGTTTATTTAAAACACCGTGTTCTTTTTTTTTAACTTAAAATAGATTTTGTGAAGACGGCCAAGCATCATTTAAAATGTATAGTAACCTTTAATATGCGTTGTTTTTATTAAAGGTCATGTTGATCATAGCTAGACAGTCTTGTCTAGCGATTTTTCTTGGTACCATAATAAAAAACTTAGAGTTAAAAGAAAGCTACGTAATGTCAAAGAGGTTTTCGTTGTGCAAAGTTTACCTTATTTTATTTTCTCTTGCGCATAAAAAAGTTTTACAATTTTCGACTTCGTTTTTTTAGTGAGAGATATTGCATGGCTTTTACATGTTGAAAAAAGAAAAAAGAAAAGTATAATATGTGTATGTACTATAATAGAGAAAACCGAATTTGTCATATTCTGTAGAATCATAATGACGAATAGACATGATGTGATGTTTGACAAGATATCTCATGAGCCTCGGTCAGCTTTACTAATCATTCTATCGTAAAAGCAAGTAGTTTTTTTGGCTCTTGTCTAAGAAAAAAGTTTTACTGTGTGTATTTATTCCTTTGTATAAACAGTGCTAATCATGATTAAGCATCATTTGATTATCCTCATTATGGACTATGGTTGTTAAAGCGATTAATGAAAAGACGCTTTCTTCTCAACATAAAGGCAGACCTTCTCAAGCACTGCTATTATCCCTTGGGATATGGATAAATCCTTACATGGACTTCACAAATGGAATGCATTTGCGCAACCTGCTTTGTTCACAGATGGAATAGTTTGTGTAACTCACAATGCTTTCTTAGGATAGTTGTGATACAAGCAAAAAGATCCGAATATATGGTTTTATTGTTACCAGATTAAGCCGCCCATGAAATATTAACAAACCGATAGTTTGAATGCTCAATAAACTGATCAATACGTTGCTTTATCATGGCAAATTCTGATTGACAATGCGAGACATGATCTTCTAAATTATCTGGCACCTTTTCCCTTGCTTGTGGATAATCAAACAGTTGAGAAAGATAGCATAATTGATTATATAAACTTCTATCAGAAATCTGTATAGGCGTTAACAAACACAATAATTTTATCCATAGACTCATTTACCTCAGGAACCAAGTTTCCATTGCAGTTAGGTACCAAACAATGAGTTTCACTTTCATTTCGAGTATAAAAATCGCATGACTTATTACTGCAGACTAATATTCTATTGTAGCATTTTTCCACAAGAGATTCTATTTTCAGTCGAACTTGACACCAGATACTAGCAGCGTTCATCACAGAATGGCAAGATGAACATGTTAATCCAGAAACCATGTGTCCGTTTTCTACTTGAATAGGTCCTGTATAAATGCTGAGATGGCTACATGCAAAGCATTCAAAGGTAGGAGGCTCAATATGGCTGTAACGGTTAATATCATTTAACAAGATGAAGTCAGGATCTTCTTCTTTCTCTAATTTCTCCAGTTGCATAGTTTCCATTTCTTGTACCAAATCCTTCATATCCAAACCAAGTTGTGCTGTTAACTGTTGTATGTCAGTACCTTGTATAGGTTGACACAATCTATAAACAGGAGGCAAAATTTGCTTTTTCAAGTACCATTCAATATCTGTCTGATGTTAATTCTTACACATATATCTTTGTATAGACTTGCCTATTTCCGCTCTTTTCTCAAGAACATCGTCAATCATACGAGCCACTGGAGGAGAAGATTTGGAATCCTGTTTGCACATCACATAGGAAATAGTGTCGCCCACCCGTACCATCCGACCAGCACGACGCATTTCTTTAGCAACCATAACATGAGGATTGGATCTAGAGCCACTATACTCCTCAAGCGATTTCGTGAGTTGTTTTCGAATGATGTAGTCATGAATGGCATATTCTCCTGCTTTGGCCTTTTGAGCTACTGTCTTGAGATATTGATGAATAGTATCCACCGTTGTCTTTTGATCTGGTTCAAAGAAAATAGTCTTAAGAACATATTCAGATACATCGTGTGATAGACTACACCAATCTCTTCGCACTAAATCAAATCCTTTCACCTGCATGGATTCTTGCCAATGGCCGTCTCGAGATTGAGTAACGACTAGAGAAGCATATTTCTTTTTACGAGAGAGAAGTGTGCGTCTAAATACCCCATCAATGCCAATCTCAAGTAATCGATGATGACGATTGACTCTGCGCTTAAAGAGTTCACCCATAGCTTTTGCTACAGCAAGTTTCTTTTGATGAGTATTGATCATGACAGAGTCTGTATCACCATAAATCACATCCAATCCCATTTCTTTTGCTAAATCCACAGTACTTTGAAGAATTTCTCGACCCTTTTCTGTAATAAACATAGCAAGTGACTTGGCTTGAAAACGAGAAACGGATGAACCTAGAGAACCATACATACTGTTGGCAGTTAACTTGAGAGCCATTTGTTCAATTTCATAGCGTGATTGGTGAGCTTTGCCCACACCAGGCGCCTTCATCAATTGCTTGATCTTTTTTCTTCGTTCGATAAACATACTGACAAGTTCTGGCAAGACACCCATGGATTCATTGCTAAAAAATACGCGATCTTGATCAGATCTCATACTTGTAAAACACACATTGAATTCTTGCATAATAGTAGGGTATAAACTGTTGAAATCCAATAGCAAGACATAATCATCATACAGACCCACTTTAGGGTCAAGTACTAGACCACCAACAAACGAGTTTGATTCTGAATTGGTTGTTTCTTTCTTTTTGTGCGCTTCAAATTCTATGTAAAAAAAAAAAAAAAAAAAAAAATGAGACACAGAACTCCATGTCACTCGTTGCTTACCTAAATCTTGATCTAGCAACTGTAGCTGTCGTTTTTCTCTAAATGTCTTGTCTGGGCATATGTAATTCTTGCGATAAAACGTATGAAGTAAAAGATACTCATTACGTTCTAAACGCGCGCCATAAAGAGTATGCGACCATAAATTACCTGATAGATTTGTGAGCTGCTTTGTGAGTGGCAAGACGTTCATTTTAGTCATCAATCGATAGGAGAGATAGGCGTCATACAAACAATGCTTGACAAACAAAAGTAGCCCTTCTCCAGTTTCATAATGCTTTTCAAGATCATCAGGTTTGATATCCTCACGCACAATATGGAGTTGCGAAGAAGCCAGTTGTGTTAAATCATAAGATTTGCTCTTGATAAGATCTTTAGACGTAACAAACGTATCGCACACAATTCTTCCGCTCATTAGACGACGTTCTTGTAAACTGGAAACATCACTACCAAAACCAGAGGACAACTTGGGCCATTTGCAAGTTCGAAGTCTACCTATTTTGTGCCAATAATCAATGTTGTAGTGTTTCATTCGATGCAACAATATGTTTAGGCTGATGCCAAGAAAGTTATGACCAACAATGATATCTGGGTCAATACGATGGATCATGCTGAGTAAGCCATTCAAAAGAGCTTCTTCTGAGTTTTCAAAATAGACATGATGGTTTGTGCTTTGACTGTCTTGCTGAATGGCATCGGGTATATAACGTGTGTTGGGCAGTAAGCGTAGAAATGTAAAACAAGAAGCATTTACGGGTAATTTATCCTCTTGTTGAATGCTTACTAAGACAGATAAGCAAAGAGCCCAATTATAAAAAACTTACCATTCTTGCGAACAAATCCACTTGCAGCAATAATCTCATTCGACTTTATGCTTCTGTTCATTCTTGTTTTTAAGTTTAAAGACAATACTGTTAAGGGTGGCATTTCCTCTCCTTGATCAGCTACAGAGCAATTGTCCATCAAACTAACACCGTTCAAAGCACACCATGATTGAGTAGTGTCCGTCAATCTGACATTCTGAATATCTAGCCAGCAAGGACCCATCACATCCTTTTTGATAATAAAATGTTCAAGTGGACCTGTACTTGCACCAAAAATATGACTAAACGTATTTCCACTCAATGTATTGGGTAATTCATAATCTTTGTAACTGTAACATAATTTGATATAAATGGCTTCAGATGGAATATCAGGTGTGCCAAAAGCATATTTGCGCTTGCATTCTGTCAACGTATAGTCGAAAATACCTTTTCGTTTTAATAGTTCGTTTAATTCTGCTTTTAAATCGTTTAAAGTTACTTTTTCTGCCATCCCTTCTCCGGCATCTAATGATTGAGAGTAAGAATCTCTTTTACGCTTTTTCTCTCTCTTTACCATTCACTTTGTACTGCCTCGGAAGAATATAAATTTCTCTTGAAATACCTTGTAGTAAAATACAACAACTTTCATATTTGTTTTTAGGTTCATTGAACGTCTAAAAGAAAAGTAGTAAGCAAGTATATATCAAGCGTTTTTTTTTTTTTTTTTACCTTTCCGAAAATATAAACGGATCCTTTGTAAAACTGTTCATAAGCATCATACCACCACATTTTTAGCCTGACAGATTCGCTAAAAGCTTGTCTTGATTTAAATTGAACAGGCTCTACCAAGTGTTCTGATGAAGATCCAATTGATTTAGGCATATCATCTAGCCAATGCGTAGGCGTATATTGTGTGCTGGCATGAAATACAGGAGGTGTTTCTGGTTGAGAATTCTCATCAAGTGATATATCAGAGTCGTTGATTTCCATGAGTGATGATAGCTCATTATTTTTTCTAGATACGTCTTCCTGTGGTTGATCTATAGAAACAGATTGACTATTCGACTGTTCCTGTTGTTCTGAAGGCAAATTGGCATGGACTTCAATAGGTAAATCGCTATTTGTTTCTATAGGTAAATCACTATCCGCTTCCATAGGTAAATCGCTATTGGTCTCCATAAGCAAATTACTGTTGGATTCTGTAGTCTTGTTTGGATCATCTTCGAGGCCATCTTCCTCCTCATCAGAAGAAATCAAAATTGTTGTACTAAAAAGCATCTCCATCACAGGTTGAGTCAATAATTCTTCTACTTCTGCTTTTGCTGTAGCTGGTGCATTCTCCACTGAGAAACAGAGATGGGATTGTGTGTTTTCCTCTCTTGAATTGCTTGCTTGTTGAGTATCGGTTTCAAAAGTAGTATTATCCGCATCATAAAAAACTTCCTCATCCTCCTCTGAAGTCAATGCTGGATCTAACATGTTATTTCCTTGTGATTCAATGTTGTTTTCAGGCCTAAACGGACTGCTCTCAGGCAGCACTGGGCTGCTGTTGATGCTGAAAGACACACTTGAGCTTGAGCTCTCTACATAGGTTGCTAAAATGGTCCTTGTGTGTTCTTTTTCAATTGAGGTGATCTGGGTATTAAGCACTGCTTCGTCTTCGCTTTCGAGTTCATCGAATTCCTCTCCTGTATCTTCAGCCATCTCATCAGATTCATCTTGATTGTCAGAACTGCTTTTTATTTCTTCTGTCTCGTCTCTTTCTTCTCTTTCTTTTAAAATAGAGTCGCTTGTGATCGAGAGAGGATCTTGAATGTGGGTATCAATCAATTCCGTTAAATTATTCTGATTTAAAATAGCTTGTTTAGATGTCGTTGAGGATATATCAAGCTTGTTTAATTCTATACCGAGTTCTTTGTCAAGCTGATCAAATCCATTCTCGAGTCTGTCTTCAAGTTCTCTATCTCCAAAGTGAAACGCTCCTTTTGAAATGCCTATTTTTATCTCATATAAGACCTCCAAATTGTGCATAAGAAAAAATCCTTGCCTGACCAAAGACTACAAAAGAACAAATCCCCATAATCGGTATTGTCTGTTTCCACTTCTTCTGTTTGCTAAACAGCGAAAAAAAAAGTTAACTTCGAGAGACTAAGGAATACAAACATACATCTGGTGTATTTGTTTTATGTTTCTTGCTTGAGCTTTCCTCAGAGGGAAGGTCTTGGTTTGATCGCTTCGAGCTCATGAACAATCAAGCCACTAATCTATCAAGGAACACGGAAAGAAAGGGAAAAGGTTAAATAATGCACGCGAGACAAACGCGCGCGCGATTGATCTGTGACCGTATTTTGGCTGTCTTGGATTACCGCAAGAAAGCTTTTTCCAGTTTTGTATGTTTTTTAAGGTGTTGCTAGAATAGACTATAATTTGGCCCTAGGCCTACCTTTGTAGCGTGCGGTACACTTATTAAGTGAGCTCTAGCTGCTAAACTCTTAGTAGTCTCTTTTAGCTTCTCTATTTTTCGTTGCATATGCTATCCAACGCATGAAAACAGGTTCAAGAAATGGGGAATAAGAGCTCTGTGAAATCTCCCTTTGGCATATTGTTGTCTGCTGCGGTCTATTTAAACTAACCTGCATGAGATGATTTTGAAGTTTTACAATGTAGATCATTTAAAGTATTTATTTCCTGAGCAAGTCTAATTAGGAGGAAGCGTTCATTGGTTACTTTCACAAAGAAGGATTTGTTACACCGTACTACTTAATGTGAGACATGGTTTTCCACATCATTCAAAGCATCTTAGTCATAACAATAAAAATAAATCGAATTCTTGGGGAAAATGGATTTATTGGATTTTTTTTTTTGATCTAAACCCCATGTGAAAACCATTGCACTTAATACTAGTTTGTGAGTTTATGAGCACTAGAGTCAATATATATTTAGCTGCCACTAAGTAAATACTCGTCAATTCTAAAGAAAATAATACTTTTCAAAATAAGCTTGTTTATATGTATGTATGTATGACAGTTGTTTATTTTGTAAATAAGAATATTGTAAGACGCTTTGATAACCTATTGTACTAAATCTTAGTTGGAAATAGGTAAATCACATCGTGCTCTATATTCAGTTTTGTTTGTTTGTACCTTTTCTTATTGGCACCAGGTCAACAGTAACACAATTAATATTACAGTAATACCTGATCCCTTCTGTCTAATACGAATATGATTTCCCACTCTTTCTTTTTGTCTTTTTTTTATTTTTATATACAATGCGATTATCTGAAAAAACAAGATGTTTCGTTGTCTGTATTCTAGTTTTCTTGGTGACTATCAATAATGCACAAATCTTGATTTCGGATGATCCTGTCATTCCATCCACAACAACAACAACAACAACACTTAGAACTATGACCACTACAAAAGCTTCAGTCATAACCACTACAACAGAGGCATCCATAATTACTACTACCACAACCGTTGCACCTCCACCTCAAGTATCATCCACAACCACTATTGCTTCAACTACGTTATCTACACTCAGGCCTTCTTCTTCGTCCATCGCTTTGCCTTCATCTTCAGCTATCATTCCCTCCTCAAGCACATCATCTAGTATTGCTCCCATTACAACTTCTGCTATAACTTCGTCTAGTTCCATTGTACCTAGTTTGACATCTTCTTTGACATCTGCTACTTCCTCATCCTCGACTAGTCCTAGTCCTACGATGCCTGCTAAAAGTAACGATACAAATAATACACCTATTATTATAGGCTCTGTGGTTGGTGGTGTTGGTAAGTGTAACATGTTATGATGCTGTTCTCATTTTCTATAGTGGGCCTCGCTTTAATTGGAGGTTTGATTGCTTGTATCAATCGTCGTGGTGGATGTACTAAACGTACGGAGAAAAAGAATGATCTTGAAGATTACGGTCTTGGCGATTTCCCTCATCAACGCACATCTGGCCCTGCTCCTCCTATGGTCATGAACAATAACAAGCCTGTATCTCCTACTCTTCCTCGCCTAAACGAGCAAGGCAACTACTATCAAGACGATGCTTATGGCTATAGTAACCATCATGGTGTTCATTATGTGGATAACAATATGGACTATGGTATGCAGCCTCAACAACAACATTACTACTATCCTCAGCAGGAGTATTATGATGATGGTGGATATTACTATGATAGTAATACTTCAGGTACTGCCTATTCTCCTCAAGCACCAATGCAGCACAATAGTTCTCCTATGCATTCTGGTGTTGTTGCTGGACAACAATACATGATGAACAATTCCAATGTTCCTACGCTACCACAACATAATGTTTATAAACCAGATGAGGCTGGAAAAGCTTTACATTAGAAAAAAAAATATACATAATTTAATAAACAATAATTATAATAATAGTAGTAAAATAGTTTAAGCATAAGTTATCATAAAAGGGAAAGGAAGGGCGAATAATACAAGCATATAAATATAAATACAAACAAAAATACAATGCTCTATTGAGCTAAATAAATCTATAAAGTTACTTTAAAAGCTTTCGTTCTTCAGAATAATCAGACTTGAAGCCCATGACACTACGTTGTGTTTCTACAGCTTGTTTACGAGCATCAAGAGCAAGTGCTTTGTATCTTGAGGATTCTTCAGCATCGATTTTCTGACCCAAAAGGCCCTTTTCAAAACAGGTAGCAATAAATTCTAACGCTTCTGAATCATTCAAGAGTTCAGCATTACGCCAGTAACTAAATGCTTTTTGAAAATTGCCTAAAGTTTCATGGTATCTTGCCAACTCTTTCATGGCCAGAACATTGCCATTGTTGTTTTCTTCTTGAAGAATAGAGAGACCACGTTGAGTATCTTGCTCCAATGTTGTTTGAATGATCCAACCATGAAGCAAATAACTGCCAATCTTGAAATTAGCCAACTTGTTCTTAGCTTCTAAAGCTCTAGAGAACCAGTCAAAGGCAGTTTTGCGCTGTTGTTGAGTGGGTGTGGACCAAATCATCTCTTCAAGACAACCCAAAGCGTATTCTGCAGCGCCTTCAGGACATGTGTTGGACTGTAATGCTTTCATGTACCATGATTTTGCTTGATCCAAATTGATTTCACCTAAAGCTCCTGTTTCATATAATGTTCCAATACGAATCATGGCCAACGTAAAGCCATGATCCATAGCACGCGTGTAGTACTTGTAAGACTTCTCATAGTTTTGCATCATACGGAATGTCACTTTATCAGAAATCACACCTGTAAAGCCTGTACGATACAACTCGCCTAATTCGAAACTAGCAGCGCCACAGCCCAAGAAATCAGCTTCTTTCAAATCTTCTACACCCTCTTCATATAGGCCAGCTGCTATTTCTAGTTTACCAAGTTCATAAAAGGAAGGACCATGGTTCTTGGCAGCAGCCATGCGCAAATAGCTAACGGCTTTTTTGGATTTCACAGCAGCATTCAAAGGCGAGGTTTGCTGGATTTGATGAATACGATACTTGGCATAGTAGTAACATGACTGAGCATGACCTGCTTGGGCTGCCTTCAAGTACTGATCAGCTGCTTTCTTACAAGGCACATCAGGGTCATCTGTAGGTTCCTTGGCATGGTAGTATTGGCCTAATCTAAACATAGCACTGGTATCGTTACGAGCAGCATTGTAGAGCGTAGGAAACAAGTCCATGGTGGATCCACTCTTGTCTGAAATATCGGCGAGCTTTTCATAAGTTTCGTTGTTTTGTAAAAAGGCACAAGCTTTGTTGTAAAAGTCAAGAACTTTGTTGTTGTCGATCGAGACACCATGGCCATGCTCATAACATTGACCAAGACGGAATTGACCATAACTGAGTGCCATACGACCATAGTAGTCCAGCAAGAGCGTGGCTTCAAAGGGACTCATCAAATCAGAAAGACGCTTGATGTTTGCTGGTGTACGTTGCTCTGGTTCTTGCATTTTGTAATACAATATCATGATTTGAGCTAATGGTTCATCCGAAATTTCTTGGAACCAGTCAAGAGCTTGACGCTTCATGTTGTAATAGCTATAAGTAATACCGGCAGCAAGCTTCATCTTGTTGATTTCTACCAAATAATCATTGGAAGTTTTGATTTTCTCCACACGCACTTGGACCATGGATTCAGTAATGCGGTTCTTGAAAGAAATAGTGGTGGCTTTACTGCTCTCTACTTTTTGGAAGCATTCGTCTGCAGCTTCTTCTTTATATTCCATGGTACCGTAAAGATAACCTAATTCTAGACATGCCAAGATATGGCCTAATTGTTCAGCCTTGCTCAGATAGTACATAGCCTTTTTACGATAATTAAAGATAGTGCCGTTATGTAAGGCCAATAAACCTTAAAATGCGGATTAATAATGTCTTGAGAAAAAAAAAAGATAACTTACCTCGATAGTAGTACACGTCTGCTGATCTGAGCTTCTTTTCTGTGGCATCTACAAGTGATTCTAAAATAGGCTCAACCATATCAAGTTGTTCTTGAAGGAGCGTGTTCTTGTTGGATTGATAGTATGTTTCAATCAACTTCATTCTAGCTTGAACCTCAAGTGAGATATCTGTTGACTTGCATTGTAAACCATATTCGTAAAAAGAGCTGGCTAAAGGTTTTCTACAATGGGCACAGATTTCATCATCATGGCATTTAGCTACAATCGTTTAGTGAAACCATTGTGTACAAAAATAACTTACCTAGTAAAATAAAAGGTACAAATAAATTCTTGCCATTGTATTTCACCATCTCATTTAACCAAGAGAATACCAAAGTCTTGCTACGTGCTTTGCCTTCACCTTCAAGTACAATCAATTTAGCAGCTTCGAGTCGTGCATTCCAACCAATACTGTTCGTCATATCATTGTACGACGCAACCTCAATAAACTTGGTCAATGCACTGGATCTATTTTTAGCCTTCTTCAAGAATTGGGCATAAGCAATACTCAATCTAAAGTAAAAAAAAAAAAAAAATTACTATTTATGGATTCAACATGTTACTTACTTGTCTGGAACCCGCGTCTCCACTTTTTCAAACGTTTCGATGGTCTTGATGATATCATCTTGGCTCATCTTGGAGTAAAAGTTACACAAGTGTTGACCAGAACTGTGATCTTTAAGTTCAATGGCTTTCCACAAACAATGTAATGTGAAACGAAACTTGATGTCACTCTTATCTATCGCTTCTGATTTGGCTTCGCGGTAAAGAGCAAGTAAATCATCATAGACAACATGGTTAGTGTGTTGGTTGAGATCAGGTTCATACGTCTCACAAGGGTCGATGCCACTGTTGACTACGAGTGCCAACATACGATAGGCAATAGGGTCTTGGTCAGCACCTGCAGCACGATTGAGTTCTGTGTAGATATGGTAGCGGTTGATAGGCCCATTGGCTGTATTCTTGATCATGTAGTCAGCCAAGTACTGGATCGCAAGAGGATCATTGTGTTTAGCAGCAGCAGAGAAATAAGTGAATGCCTTGTTGAGATCACGTCCGCCTTCTAAACCAAGGCCACTAAAGTAATAGACACCTACTTGAGTTAAGGCAGGAGCATAGTTGAGTTCAGCAGCTTCCAAAAAGAAAGAAAAAGCATGCTTTTTCTGATAACGTTGGTTACTGTAGCCTTCTTTCAACATGAGACCCAGACGGTATTGACAATCAGATTTATTCTGACGGGCGCCTTTCAACAAACATTCAAATCCTATATCGAGGTTCTTGGCTACGATCTCAGTGCCATCGTCTAATTTGACGCCGTCCAGATACGCCCATGCCAGCCAGTAATGTGCGCCACTATAGTTGCATTCTTCAGACAACCGCTTGAGTGTTTGAAACGCTCTTGCGGGGTTCTTTTCTGCACCGCCAATACCATTGTATTCCCAAATAGCAATACGCACACTGGCTTCGTACTTGATAGCGAGTAAATTCCAATGTTGTTCATCAAAGGGAGTCGATTGGTACCTCAAGACCTCAATGAATTCACGATACGCATGCTGAGGATTTTCTTGCATAATCAACAGACCCCTTGACAGTTTGGCTGCAATGTTATCTTGGTAATTGGTAAATATTTGCATGGCACGGGACCGATCGACTGGACAACCAAGGCCCATTAAATACATTTGGCCCAATAAGATGTTTGCTGGTTCATCACCATATTTGGCAGCTTCTTGAATAAAACTAAATGCGGCAGAAGGATGCTTGGGGGTGCCAATACCTAATAGAGACAAAACACCTAATTTACGTAATGCTGGTGTAAACTTGTTGGACAGATACGTGGCTTTAGCAGCTGCAGCCATGTAGCGAAAAGCGATTTCTGCAAAGGCTCGTCCAGCCTTCAAGTAAATGATGGCAATTTGATAGCTACTGACACAAAAGATTGGACTGGTAGGTGAGATGTGAATATGCTTGCAGTAGTTGAGGGCGATCTCTATTTGGTTTGTTTTTTCGTAGTACAGAGCTAGGGAAAGAGAAGCAATAGAATGTCCCTGTTACATTGGTGAGTTACAATCACTATAAATATGTGTGTTACCTGAATGGAAGCCTCGTCTAGCATTTGAATCGCATCTTGTGTTTGAAAACCAGGCACGGTTTTCTTGAACAGAATGGTATTTCCAAAAGATACTTTAGCAGGTAAAACGCCAGCAACAGCTGCCTGATGATACAGGTGACAAGCATGATCTATATCGCCACGTCGCTCAGCATAATAGCCCAAAATAAATGTGGCACGAGCATTGCCATTTTTAGACGATTCGAGCAAATAACCAAGGCCTTCTTCCATGCTATCGTCTAGTTCGCAGAGCATACGCCCTGCTCGATACTGAGCAAAGGAGACAAGTTGTTGTGTTCGACTGTTTATTTTATTGTAAACTTGACGGCCATGACGCGCAATAAATTCAAACAGTTGAAATGCTTGGGTTGCATTAAGTTTGGATAAACAACGTAATGCGTCCATGTAAGTATCGCAAAAACATTTCTCGTAATAGAGCTCTTCGTCATTGTGTGATGTATCTGATAATGAGTCCATGTAGCTGTTTAGACTGGAGGCCACCGAATACGGTCGTTCGTTAAAGATGGACCCCACTGTTTGTCGAGTTGCTATTTTAGGGAAATCTGAATATTGGGATACTTCTGACTGAGAATCAGACGTAGACAGGTGTGAAAATAATGCGTCCTGTAGCGATAGTTTCGAAGACGCTGCTGACGAAATAGTGGTATATTCATCATTTGACTGGTTTATTTCGTATGTTACTCGATCTGAAAGTTGATCCAGGTTTTTCATGTACAGGCCAATATCATTCTTTTCTGTTGTGCTGATAAATTCATTCATGTCTGTCATTTTATCTTTGTCTATATAGTCTTCATATTTATCCATACTATTCGTTTGTTGTAATGGAGGTCGTTCTGGTTCTTTTGCTGGTGGTAATGGTGGTGGTGGTGTATGTTTAGTATCAATTGATTTAGATACTGAAGGGGTATGTTTCTTTTTGTTGTTGGTTTTAGATAATCCACCAAATAAGCGAGCAATAATTCCTTTCGCCATTGTTATAAAAAAATAAATAAAGAGAAAGTGAAAAAAAAAGAGGGAAAAAGCGGATTTTTATGGCCACTTGTTCTTTTTACTGCGTACACGCAAATTCATGACTTATTCCACGCATGCTTACAAAAAGTAAAAAATCGACGCAAGAATAAACAAATGTAGTATCTAGTCAGCTGAGGCACTTTCAAACACCGTATGATATCCACGACCAATTCAGGACACAAGGCCTCTATGCTTTATCAATGTTTGGGGGCAACACAAACCTCTTTTGAACATGAAACACTCAAATGATGCTATACGACGCTATTCTTGTGTTTACACTCGTTCCAAATAAAGAAACTGAGTTGTTGAACACAATTACCAAAAGCAGAACCTCATTGTCATTGTGGCAAAGTGGCACTGACAGGTGTACTGCGCTTTCTGTGTATAAAACATTGCTGCAGCCCTTTTTTTTTTATTGATTTATTTATTTAGTAATGATTCTAGCTTTGCAATGACCTATGCAAAAAAAAAACAATTAGAAAAATATGGCATATCATATGACAGCTTACTTGGTTGATGTCAGGTCTATCTTTAGGATCATTGACCAGTAAGAACCGAATGAAGTTTTTGAATTCGTCACTATAGGGGTCATCTTGTTCTTTGTCAGTTGGAAATTTGTAATTACTATTCAAAATAGCCAAGGCAAGTGAGCCACCCATTTCATTGACACTTGCCTCAAATGGGTTTTGGCCATACGCTGCTGCATACACAGTACATCCTAGACTCTATACTCAAGTAAACAACCATTCAAGAATTATGATTTCTTACCCAAATATCTACTTTTTCATCCAATGTGGTTCCTGTCTGCACATCAAATAGTTCGGGTGCTCGGTAGGGAATGGTTGAATTCTCGGCTGCAATGTCCTATAAATAACATGAATGACCATGCGTACAGACATACGCATCATGTCTTACTTGTTGTAATAACGCATCTTGCCTTGAATGGATAGGAATGCGTGCTTTTGAAACTGACCCGAAATCCATCAAAATCGGTGTTTTGCCATCATCCGATATAAGAATATTCCCCGGTTTTAAATCACGATGAGCTTACAGATTGAGTTAAAGTAGAAAGAGTCATGCACTTACCATAGGGCATACAATCACTGGTGTTGTCTGCTGAAGGCATTAGCGTATGTAGTACTTTTAGTGCAAAACACACTTTGAGAAAGAATTCAAGCAAGTCTCTTTCAGGGAAAAATGATTTGTTGACATTGTTTGCATTAATATTGTCTTGAAGGTTGCCTCTTTTATAATAAGGTAGAAAGATATAGACAGTCTTTGTCCCATCTGAGTCTGTAACTATACTTGTATCCTAACAATACAATATCAGCATGTCTTTCTTTCTTTCTTTCTTTTGCTTACAACAAGTTGAATAGTATATTCACTTTTAAACTTCTTGTACATGTCAATCTCATGCATAACATCAGTTAATGTTCTATCTCCAACTGGACAGCGAATCTTCTTTAAAGCATAGAGTTGTCGACTCGATTCATCTTGTACTAAATACACAAAAGAATACCCACTTAAAAAAACATTAGTACAAAAAAAAGGGAATGCCAAGAAACATACCCTTCTCCAAGTAGATTGATGACTTTATAATTCTTTTTATTGATTCGGATAGTGGGATTAGGAAAACAGCACGATGTTAAAGCATAGATTGTGTCGCGAGCAGAGGTAAATAAAAACATCATGAACAACAAAAGAGAGAGTGGATAAGAAAAGCTCGTCTGTTTCTGTACTCCCAAGTGTTGGTGTGACTCCTTTCTCTCTCTCTCTCTTTTGGAATTTGGTCAAGTTATGCAGGTGCCAAAAGGGGGAGTGCATAGTTTAACAGAAAATACTAGCAACTTTGAATAGGAGAAAGCAACAGTATTTGAAAATAGCTTGAACGATTAACTTCTATCTTAAAATTCAGAAGGAAACCTCCCAATTCAACAGTTACTGACAGTCTTAGTGTAAAGAAAAACATGCTGTAACATTCTCGATGTTCAATGTTATTGTATTCTGCGTGCATGATAATTTAACACACCAAAAGCAATCAAAGTCAAAAAGATAGCGGGCAAGCGTACGCAGGATTGTAAAAAAAAAAAAAAAAAAAAAAAAAAGACAGCAATATTACAAGAATTATGCGCAAAAGCTTGATGAGTTCATGTAACACGGCTGAACACAACTTCTTTCTGTTCATTTGTTCCATATTTGCATTGCAAATGGATCATCTTTTGACTGTCTTTGTGATTCTTGGCACTCCCAATAACATTTTATCCTTTGCAAGAGTCCGTAGCTATCAAATTATGTGCTATTTTGAGCAAAAACGCTCAGAACAGGGCTTAAATGCAACATTCTTTGATGTGCCATTGCTCGACAACCAGACTATCAAAACAGCTTGTTTTTTGATTTGAGACATGTTGTTTCGAGCCCAACAGTTGGTTAGTGCCATTGGTTTAGCACTTGAACGAAATTTATTTTTTTGACCCATGGAGGGCTGAGACCTCAGGACGGCAAATTCAGAAATATTCCAAAAGGATTGCGAAAAGTGTATTTCTGGGCACTTTTGATGAAAAGAAAGCGAGCTTACTAAGATGAGAAAGTCGACTCCATTTGAGCATTGTCCTCAAACTTGCGTTCAAAGTTCATTGTACACTATGAGTAACAGAAAAGAGACTATTTTCTATAGACGCTGAATAGTACAAGAACACTAATACTTACACCTTTGGACGCAAAATTTAGTCGAATAATACAATAGTTTTCGCCTCCAAGAAGAGGCCAAAATGGCAAATGAAGGCATTTTAGATCATGTTTCATACTAGTAGAGCAAGTTCCTTGCTTTTCTTAAATATGGATAGTTCCTGACCGTTTTGCACTCTTTGAAAAAAACAATTCGTTAGGATTTTTGGCCATTTTGCTCCACTGAAATTCACTGCCACTGTATCACCCATGTTTTACCTTCGTTTATTTTACCCTCATATCAAGAGCTTGACTCTTTGTCATTTTTTTTTCTAACGTTCACTATGTAGAGATTATTTGAAGTAGACTTTGTTCAAAACTTTATTTCTTTTTATTAGCGAGTATGTTTACACTGATAAGTGAAATTCTAAGATTATAAGAAATTGAGATGTGAGAAGTGCTATTTTGATGGCGATTAATAATAGCAGGTTTACGCACAAAAGACAATTGAGACATTTTACCCACCTTTTCAATGAAAATAGAATAATCAAGCATCTTCATTTTTTGCCATGAACCTTCTAGACTAATTTTTTATTCTTTCAACTAAACGTGCGCCTTTACATAAAAGATGGGTAGCCAAATAGAACTATGCTTTCAGTACAGACGGGGCTCAGGACCGAGTCCGATAATTGCTTGTCCATCCATAGACTCTGACTCACGTAGTTCTATCAATACAGCAGCTCAGGACAGAGTCCGTAATTGCGGCTGCATTGGGCTAGATTGTTAAGACAAAGAGAAAAAAAGAAAAAAAGGTTTAACCATTACGTACTTCAAACCCCGAGATCACCATGTATTGTTTCACCAACACCCATATATACCGAGTTTGAATAAATAGGAATCAGCCATTGAGATTTCACACTTTTTGATGGAGTATGGCGTGCCAAACCAGTGTATGCTTTCCACCCTAAGCTACAAGAGAAATTAGAGACGACTATACAACATCTGGTTCAAGGATTCAATGAAAACATATTGTCCCAAGAATAATGGGATGAAGTAAAACACAAAGCCAAGTCAATCTTAGAGAATATTCAGTGGATTACATTGATTGGCATATTAAGAGAATTCGTACTTTAGAAAAGAAACGCAATCGTTTACTACGCACAAAGCCTCCTCCAGACGTTCAGCGCTTGGTAATTCCACCTATTGGCAATGAGCTACAGATACTACAACAAGAGCTGGCTGAAATAGCTATTCTAAAGGCTGGTCTTCGCTGGCAAGAGAATGGTGAGTGAAATGCTGGGTACTTGAAAAAAAAACATCAGAGTCGAACAGTCCAACAATATATGTCTGGCTTCAAGGATAGCGATTCTGAAACACCAACAATTGTACATACCATCAAATCGACAATGCAGAATATTGTACAACGGTTTTATAAAGACCTATATGCGATTGATGCAGTACCTATGAATCAAATACAAGAGTATTTAGGTAATATTCACTTTCCAAGTAAAGTTAATCAGGATGAAGCAAATCTGCTCCAAATGGAATTTGATTGGGAGGATATTGTCAGAATGACAAAGCGTAGCCCAAAACAAAGTAGCCCAGGTAGTGATGGACTAGGGTATATATACCTTCAACTCTTATTTGGTTTTCCTTGTTTGAATCCACTAATACTCCAGGTATACAATGATGCCATGATAAAAGGAATTTTCCCTCAGTCATGGAAGGAAATCAGAGTGCGCTTAATACCCAAGAAAGAATTAAAAAATTGGAGACCAATTTCATTGATCAACTGTGATGGTAAAATTTTCACAAGGCTCATTACCCAACGTCTAGCTCCTATAATGAATCGAATTATCAACCCGCCTCAAAAGGGCTTCATCCAAGGACGTTTTATTGGCGAAAATGGGATGTACGTCCACTTGGTTCTACAACAAGCAAGATATGAACATCATCAAGGTGTAGGTTTGCTTCTCGACCCGGAGAAAGCCTATGATCGAGTATTACCAACATATCTTCAACAAGCCCTTGTGTCCCTAGGTTCTCCTACCTTATTTATACAGAGTATTTATAAATTGTTCTTTGATAACTCAATAGCAATCAATGTCAACGAATCCTTTACGGATCCAATACATCAGCAACGTGGGTTAAGGCAGGGCGATCCTTTGTCCCCTTTATTGTTCAACATCGCTTTGGAACCGCTGATTCTTTCAATCCAGCAAGACCCTACATACCAAGGATATGTCCCGACAATAAGTACTACATTTCAACAGATAAAGTGCATCGCATATGCTGATGATATCTGTGTGTTTGTCAAGGATACCACTGATTTTATGCGTCTCCAACATCACTTGACTAAGTGTAATACTGCATCAAATGCAAGATTTAACAAGAACAAGACGGAAGCTTTCTCATTGAGTGGTGTCAAGTCAGAATCTTGGGAATCATTGCTTTTGAGTCATGATATCGAAACATACTACCACCATCATTCCCCTTCTGCTTTTCGATACCTTGGCTCTTATATGCCATACACAAATTCTCAACCGAATCGTGTCCAGGATATGCTATTGGAAAAAATGCGTACACGGGTTCATGGTTACTCTCAGCGTCATCTCTCGCTTCAAGGAAGAGCTACCGTTGCCAACACTTTGATTTTATCCAAAATTTGGTACTGCTTGCGGTTGTTTGCGCCTACTAAGCGATTTCTGAATGAACTTCGTTCGATTATCTATGCTTACGTGTGTCAAAAGAAGTTTTCTTATGTTTCTTTTGACCAGTTATGTCTCTTTAAGGATCAAGATAGTTTAGGAGCTCTCAACCCTATCACACAATACTTGGTGCTGCAGATGAGATGGGTCTTCACTCTGCTTAGTTCGTCTAATCTAACAACTCAGCTCCGAGTGCTTATGAAAGAACACTTTGGCATCATGTCTCCAGATGCTGACCATACATTGCTACCCTTTTTCTCTAGAACTCTTCGCCGTCATGACCTTTGTCATCCCACTTCAGTTGTCAATGGTATTTATGCTGCCTTTGATCACTTTGGTATCAACTTCAAACTTGATAATGTGCCTCTTGCCAACTTGCTTTACTTTCCGCTAATTAACATGTTTCAAGAGGTACCTCAGAACCACTGGCTTCATCGACATTCAAAAGTATCAGCATCTCTCTTCTTACTCTTTGACGAACAGAGTAACCGGTTACGCCTGAAGGTTCGCCATGAATATGGGACATTGCCAGGATTGTGCCATCAGCTCTTTATAGACGTTCTTTGCAAACAAACAGTAGAACTTCAACCTTTCCTGTGGCAATATATTACACAAGATGCGATACCATCTACTGTCTCTGTCTATGATGCTTTGACTAAGCAATTGACTGATACAAGATTGTGGCGCTCTTTCTCTTCTAGGGATTTCTGCCTGCATCCTTATGAAGACAAAGCTAAATCCCGAATAAAGGCTTCTCGTACTTCGCTCTCTCTGTATTGGAGGACTTCAATGCTCTCTCAGGCTAGAACACTGTGGTATCGTGTGCTTCACAAGAAACTGCCCACTGCGTCCGAACTTTTCAAGATTGATACTGTCTCTACTCCTGTCTGTCGGCTGTGCAAATCACAACCCAAATCGTATGATCATTTCATAGCCCACTGCTCTACCAAGTGGAGTGTTTGGTTGGAAATACTGAACTGCTACTACCCTCTGGTATACTTTACTCCTTCCTCCCTCCACAAGATCCTCACTCTTCAAGCCTTTTCCCCTAGCCATTACAAACCGCCCCAAGCTTGTATCCATCATTACAATAGCTCAATGGAATATCTAGAAATCCTATTGTAACCTAATTCTCAACCAGGTTGCTTTTGAACATTCTTGTATCATTTCAGATACAATTTATCAGGTAGCCTTAGCTACAAAAAATCACTCCTTGCTAAAATAACTCTGATCATTGTATGATCTTTAATTTGTTATTCCTTACCCCTGTTTTTCTATGTCCCACCTCTCTGCGATGTGTGACTAAATAATTTTGTAAATAAAATCCAACTACAAAAAAAAACTTTCTGATCCCTCTGCCCCATATTCTCTTTGGAATAATATAAGGAACATCCTTAAAATTTTTTAGGGGAAATTTCTGACGTAAGCAAGCAGGCTGGACAGTAGAGGTTCTAATATGGGGGTGATGAAGGTGGCGAGAACGTTAAGTGATATCCATAGTTTTATTCTATATATAAAAAAAAAGTAATTCAACCTTTTAGTCATCGATAATTATGATTTCGGAAGGAACTTTGTTTGTAATTTTTTGGGAATTGGCCTTATCTGTTCTAGTATTTCTTGAAAGCGTTTTCATTGTCTTGGTAATAGAAATACAATGGATTGGTTTTTGCAGCTGATATGAAAGCAGCTGAACTTCAATGCGCACTAATGAATATCATTGACAAGTTGGAAATGGATTGGTGAGGGCTTTTGGGTTTGGTTTCTGGGTAGATTCAAGGGAAGAAAACTAAAGAGGATACTACCAGAGGAAGGATTCTCAGCAGAAGTATAAATGCAAACTGGTGAACAGTAAGCATCAGCTAATGCTTTCATGACTTTGGAGGTAATCATTAAGTCTTTCAAAAGCAAGCATCAATGATTGAGCTGCATTCATACCCCGTTCCAAAGCACCATGGCCTCCCTCAGCTCTGTGTGTTATCTTACAACCGTAATGCTGTAGTTAGTCGACAAATACACCAGCTCATTTGTGGAAAGTGAGCTTCCATTCACATTCATAGTAATCTCGAAAATTTATTCTGGCGTTAGTTTCTTAAAATTTTCTGTTAGCATCTAAAAACCTAGTTACCTCATGCGAGACAATGTTGTATTCTAAGTAACTCTTTGAGTAGAGTAATTTCTTGACCAGTGCTTTAGAGGTTTCAATTGCATCTTCGTAATTGAAAATTACTAAACTACATTTGGCATCTAAGTTGTTTAGCATGTGCCAACTACGCAAGACTTTTTTTTGGATTGAGGAAACAAGGCATCAAGAGCATCCTTCAATGCTTTGCACTTGTTGGTAACCAAAATAGTTCTTTCTGAGAGTGCTGGAAAGGCCTTTAAGGTTTTGTAAGAACCAAAGATATGTTTCTGTGTTTTGATTGCTGAACAAAGCAAAGGCAATAGGAAAGGTAACGAGGTTTGGGCGACTAACATCACTTACTCCATAAGCACAAATGAGAGGCATTTTTAGATTGTCAGTGCCATAAGTTGCATCAATGATCACGACTTCAGAAAATCTTGCTGTTCTTTCTGTCATCAAGTCATTGACTAAAAATACATGCTAAAGAAATCGAGCTTTGTTACATCTATATGAGACAGTGTAGCCCTTGTTTTCCATTGCTTTAATGACCTCAGTCGTAGCCTTTTCAGGAGCCATGAGACTACTTTGTTTTCTCTATTATGTACCACTCCACCACCTTCATCAGCATCGCGTCACCCCTTCAGATTAAGACACTTCCTATCCGGCCCGCTTGCTTACGTCAGGGGTGTTCCCTAAGAAAATCTATGGGCGTTCCTTAATATACTTGTTTATACATCTTCTGTTTCTCACTATAAAATTTGTAACTCAAAATGTCCACTGATTGCGCCATAAATGCAGTTGAACGTGCTGCCAACGAAGCAGTCATTTTCCAAGCTGAGCAGCAAATTGAAGTAATCAATCAAGCCAGAAAGAGAAAGAGGGTAGTAGAATGTATGCATTAGTACTATCTTACGCTTTTTGCTAAAGTCGATGTCTTTATAGAAGCAGAAGAAAATGAAGATGAAGCTCGCGTAAAAAATTTGTATTATATGAAATATAGAAACATATAACTGACATATCTGTTTCATGCTTAGAAAGAAGTTGATGATAGTGACGGAATAAGCGTCATTGGACACAACAAATCTCTAATGTCTCTGGTTCGATCACATGGCCTGAAAATTTGTTCTAAAAACCTGAAGGATTGCAATGCAACCGAAAAGTATTATGGCAGGTAAGCACGATGGCTTGTATGTATATATATTTACTCCTTATTCAGACTATGCTTGAATTCAATTGTAGTGCTCGAAGATGAAAAATATATGAAGATGCTGGACATTAGTAACGAAGCAGCTACTGAATTGAGCAAGCATTTTGTAGTTCCTACTGTTGAAATACCAGAATTGAAAGATAATCTAAAAAATGTATTTGACAGGTCTATTAGTGTAAGACATCAATTAATACAGTTTTTATTTATTTACTTATTCTTCAATACTTATACATGTAACAATGACTTTTAGATGGAATGCAAGCAAAAATATAAATTTTTAGCAATCAAGTCATTCAGTTTTTCTGGCGATGATTCCAAGAAACTTTCCATTATGGCCAACATGTAATTACATGAATTACCATAGCCTGTTGAGTCTTTTGCTTATTTTTTATAGTTACAAACTAATAAGTCAAGAAAAAAGTATTTTGGATCACTGGCAAAGCTCTTCAGAATGGACAATAATCATCAAAATATGGGCAAACGTATTTGAGACTTTGTTTGAGGATACAATGATTGAACTGATATGGTAGCGTAAAGTTTGTTATTAGTATGATTGTGTCTAACTTCATCTCGGATAAATAGGGGAGACACTAAGAATGATCCATTCAAAATAGACCTTCGTTTGTGTGTTGTTGTGGACAAGAAAAAACATGATGTTTCAAATACTGAATTCAAGAAAAATGGTAATAGATCCGAAAGAAAAAAGGATACCGCCAAGCTAATGGCTGAAGGAAAGCAAATCCTGAATGAGCTTATCAAGTTACACAATCTTGACCTTGAAGAGTCAAAGAAAAAAAGATCAATGGTTGTTCAAGTTTGTGGTAATTTTTTTTCTTTAATATGATCAATGGTAATGTCATTAACTAAAATCTTTTAGGCCTAAAGGCTTTAATAACTGAAGTAAGGCTTGTAGCCCCTGGCTGTTATATGCCAAACCAATTTGGGAAAACATTGAAATATCCCTATGACCTCAAAAGCGCCAAGTTGTTCCTGGAGCAAAGTTTGCAGCAACTTTTTGCCTACAAGGTTTGCCTAACTGTTCCTTTAGCTGATATTTGACCTAACAATAAAAAAAATGGTAGGATTATGTTATTGAAGAAGCTCGATCAATAAGAGGTGCTTTAAAAAAAGATACATCGAGCTTAGGCTCAACAACAGCTACCAAAGACCAGTACTTCATCAAACAAGTATACCATGTGCAAGATAGCATGAAGACATGGCCGAAAATGAATAATGATATTTTTAAGCAATAAAAAGTTTATAAAATATATCAAAGAAAAAGCTACTAAGCAGATTTATGTAACAGTAAAAAGAAGATCAAAGACTTGTTATTGAATGTAGAGAAAAAAGACAAAAAAAAACGTATACTCACTTTCTCGCAATAGTGTACAGTTCTCACATATTTTTTGCAGAACAAACCCTTTGGCTGTATCTCATAACGATGGATAAGCATTTTTGATTATGCATTGGTCTTGTAAAAGCTGATTGTGTTTATGTCAAATGGCAACGTTATGGCTTTGAGTGAGATAGTCCAATGACCATTGTAGGACTTCTCAAAATGCACAAAGATAAGGAGATAGCAAGCAAGTCTACTAGTGGAAAACTGAAGACACAATACAGAAATACTTAAAGACAGTTAAAAGATGATCCATTTGCAATGCAAATATGGAACAAATGAACAGAAAGAAGTTGTGTTCAGCCGTGTTACATGAACTCATCAAGCTTTTGCGCATAATTCTTGTAATATTGCTATCACTTTTTCATGTCTTTAAGTATTTCTGTATTGTGTCTTCAGTTTTCCACTAGTATACTTGCTTGCTATCTCCTTGTCTTTGTGCATTTTGAGAGTATCAAGGTATCATGCGCATACAGTCTGCTATTGTCGGAGATCGGAATAGGTGAAGATGAATTTCCCAGAAAGTCCTTGAGGGGCAATACGGCCCTTCTAGTCAAAATCACAACCTTGTCACTTACTATGATCATGCATTGCAAAAAAAAAAAAGATGCTCTCAAAGTGGTATAGAGTACACTCAAAATATTTGTTTTGCAAAAGTCACATAAAAAGTGTGCGCTATCACTTGAAAACGATGATATGCTTTTTGCCTTTTTCTTAGTATTTAATAGTGAATATATCATGTTATTTGTATCGTTCAATGCGGCACTTGAAGCTCTACAGATTTACTTGATTGATTTCCTTACCATTTCTGATGATTTTGTCTATTTAAAATCGTGTTTGTATTATAGATGCATTTTTTTCTCGCTTTCAGATACCAAAACAAAATAAGAAACACTCGTCTATCTCTATGAGATGACCAGTTTATTGGTTCCCTGACTAAACTCAAACTGACCAAAGGGAGATACTTCGGCTAAAGTCGAGTCGATAACAAATGGCTTGTACAGGAGAACATGGATTTCTATCCTTGTAGAAGCACATGATCTTTGCTCTACTATGCCACTCTATTTTTGCCCGTCTATTCATTATGGCAGTATAGTAAGTGAGATTGTGTTCTTATCAAAACGACTCCCTGAATAAGCACCTCGTTGTGCTTGTGAATAAAGAGTAAACTAGCTTGGATGAATATCATTGGCCAAGTTTGTATCCATAATGCCTTTATCCAAAAAAAGCTCTGACCGGAGTCTTAATGCAAAATAGATATTCCTCTTTCTCTCATTTTTTTCTTTATCTTTTTTTTTTAATTGTTCGTATCGATGACAGACAGAGACATGCCCTACATTACGCCTGAAAAACCCACAGTCTCAAAAAGTTCCGAACAAAAGACCCAAGTAGTCGATTTAGAAGATGGTCCACTCTTTCGAGCGACGATCAAAGAATACGAAAAACGTACCAGTGTCCTCAAAAGTTACCTTAAACGCATCCTCAAGACAGCCAGTGCCACACTCGAGGCCAAACAACATTTGCTGGAACAAGATAAACTGTTCATGGAAGCCTTACGTGAAGCGCCCTTTACAGAACCTTTGTTTTCACATTATTTAGACGAGACCTGGGATAAATTATACGAGCAACAAGAACGATTGGCTTTCTGTATGCAGAATTTGTTGATCATTCCACTTCAAAAACTGTACGATATGGACATCAAAGCAGTCGATGCGAAACGGCGTCAATTTGAAGATGTCAGTAAAGACTATTACTCGAATTTAAGCAAGTACCTGAGTATCAAGACACCCGGCATGATCCCAGACATCAAAGAAAAGCGCAAACAAAAGACTGAATTTGAATTCAAGGTCAAAAAGAGCGAGTTTGATCTGGTTCGATTTGACTATTACCAGTTCTTGACAGATCTACATGGAGGCAAAAAAGAACAGGAAATACTATACCATTTGCTGAACCATTATGAAAAAGAATATGCTTATCATCAAGCTGTCTCAAAGACACTCGAACCTCATAAACAAGGTCTGGATCAATTAGCGACGTTGATTGCAGAAGCATCCCGGGAACAAAAGATGGTCAATCAAGAACGAGACGAAAAGCGAAAATTGCTTGTGTCGAAATATACACCCAGTCAATCAACAGACGAATCAGAAAAGAGGAAATCGTTTCTATCGTCTTCACCCTCTGTCTTGTTGACTTCACCCATGATGGACATGGGATCACCGCCTCCACTTTCAGACGAAGACAAGATTGGATTAGGCATTCAACTCGAAAATAAATTCAAAGGCATTCGTGATCTAGAACCTCAAGACCAAGCATTCAAAGACAGCACAGGCAGGCGAAAAGAAGGATTCTTGTTTGCTACTTCAAAACCCTCCAAAAACCATCATAATACACCTACATTTGATATGTCGTCTGCTGTCAATTGGCACAAGTATTGGTGTGTCTTGAGTGGAGGTCAGTTGCATGAATATAGCAATTGGAAAAAGCAGCTCGAGAGCCATATTGAGCCTATCAATCTTCGGTTTGCCACCGTGAGAGAAGCACGCAACACAGACCGTCGGTTTTGTTTCGAGGTGATTACACCTCAATTTCGTCGTATGTATCAGGCTACATCCGATGAAGAGTTAGCGAGTTGGATAACGACCATCAACAATGCCATCAGTAGTCTCTTGAATGGCATGGGAAGTGCGGTGGATCTATCCAGTAGTCCAAGCACCAAGAAACCCAACGGACATTGGAAACACACACGATCCTTTAGTGGTGCCCTGAGTGGATTAGCAGCAGCCAAAGACAAGTATCTTAAAAAAAGACATTCAAGCCCTCAAAAGCCTCTTGTGATTTCATTACCTATGATAATACCTACACAAGAGGCAAAATCAGATCGTCTGTTGACTGAATTAAGAAAAGATCTATCCAACACAATCTGTGCAGACTGTTCAGCAAAGAACCCAGACTGGTGCTCACTTAACTTGGGTATTTTGATCTGTATAGGTAAGAAAGACAATACACAAAACATCGCCATTGATAAGGTGGGGGGTTTTTTTTTGGGTCTAGAATGCTCAGGTATTCATCGTAGTTTGGGTACACATATCTCCAAAGTCAGATCCTTGACATTGGACAGTGCCTCATTTACAGCAGACATCATTCAACTCTTACTTCAGATTGGAAATGCTAAATCAAACGAGATTTGGGAAGCAACACTAGCTGAGCATGGTACTAAACCTGTGCCGACAGACACACGCGAAGCCAAGCTGAAATACATTCAATCGAAATACATGGACAAAGCACTCGTCAAACAACTGGACATGAATCCGATGGACTTACTCTACACAGCCATTGAACAAGACGATATTCCTAAAGCACTGTATGCGATTGCACTTGGTGCAGATATCAATCAGCCCTTAGAACACACAGACAGTATTCCTCTGATGACTAAATCTAACCTTCAGTTGCCTATCTTGGACGTCAATGGCAATGAATACCTGGATCGCACCATGCAAGTCACTGTGCTGCCGGATGATCGGTTCATTGTACGCTATGCGATTCATTTTGCCTTGCTGACACAAGACACGCAGGACGCATCGCGTGTGTTTTCTATGGCTGAATTCTTATTTCAGAATGGCGCAGATGTGTTTATTGTGGACCAAGTGAATGGTAGGCTATTGGCGGATCTGATTGGTGTAGGTGAATTGGTGGATGATGAAGCGATTGACTATCTGAACATGAAGAACAGTCTCAGGGGCCAAGCAGCCATTTTAAGAAGACAGACCATACCTCCTCCTGTGCTTACATAGACAAGATTTATTGAATAAAAGATGTTTATTCCACAATTAAAGTAGCACTTGGCCATAAGCCTTTTTCGTCCTTTATCTTCTTACTGGGATCAGGATCATACACTTGTCTTGGAAAGGAAGAATGAATCGTAAAACTGTAGTGGTGTTCATAGTCTGGATCAGGCAATTCAGTCTCGGGCGGCGTATGCAAGTAAGGATAGGCTTCAATAAACTGATATAAAGAAGCCAATGTATCCTCTGCACTGAATTTACGGATCACACGCTCCCCATTGGCCAAGCGAAAACTGATCTTGGTAAAATGCTCGATGGGTTCTCCAGGTAATTGATTCACCAGTTGACTAATGTACAGTTGTCTGTTTCTGGCCTGTCTGGAAGCTGCTTGAGCTGCTTGGGCTGCGGATTCTCTTTCTTGACGTAGACGGTCTTGTTTCTCTTGATCTGCTCTCAGACTTTCTTGGTAAGCTCTGTCTTGTTCTTGGCGTAAACGACGCTCGGCTTCTCGTTGTTCTCTTTCTTGTCTTAGTTGATCCAGGGAGGGACCTACACGCTGCATCGCATGTTCAAATCGACGTATGATCATGCTGGGTGTGACAGGACCTTCAATGCGATCCACCACAGCCATCTTGGTGGATTGGAGTGCAATGATCGCCAAGAAGGGATACGTTGTTGCTTGTAATAAATGACTGACTTGAAATGCTTCTGTATATCTTGCATTACCACCCCATACCATCACTTGATGTTGATGAAGAAACTCCAGTAATTCAGGCCGAGTTAGTGTATCTCTGATCAAGTTGAGTAAAGTAAATCAAACATTGGAATTTTACCTGCAAAATGCTTCATGGTGATCATGTTCTTCACTCGTCAAAATGACCAACAGGTATTTCAGTTGATCTTTAGCGACTTGCAATGCTTTGGCATACCCACCCTCGTGAAAAAAGGGCGGGTGATGTGTACCGAAACAAGACTCAAATTCCCTCAAGAATCGGTCTGCTTCTGACCGTGGATCTCGTCGAGGCGCAGTGATACTGGGCCGATAGAACAAGCGAGCTGTGTACTGGATTGTATGCCAACAGAGTCGCCAGACCAAGTTGAATGGCCACATAAACAAGGATAAGATAAACCGCTTTTTGTTATGTGTTCGTGATGCACCTAATAAAGCTGAAGTGGTGTTGGGTATCTCCTCCTGAGGATAAGCTTGCCTTGATGTCGATGCATAATATCGATTCTGTATGGCGTTCTATAGATAGGTTAAAACAGAGTACCCCATCATTCACTTGCCTTGAGATCCCAGTGGTTGTCTTTAAGAACACGTATACACTCTGCTGTGTCTTCTATCTTGGTTTCTGACTATCATGAATAAGAAAGATAGTTCACTGTGGTCTTGTCTCTCTCCTTACCTGGTATTGTTCTAATATTCTCTTTTGTGTGTCATCCAGTGTGGCCATGGTGGAATACGAAAGAAAAAAAAAAAAAAAAGAGCATAAAGGATCGGACATGATCGGACTTTTTATGCTGGACCGGAACCAAGTTCAAGAGGTATAAATTGAAAGCACTCCTTGGCCCTCCTGATTGTTTTTTCTTGAGCGTTTCGTATCTCAAAGGAGTTAAATCGTTACTTACGCATATTATCAGGTAAGCATCCATATATGTGACATGGATGGATGGATGGATGATTGACACACATAACATGGATTAGACATGAAGTATCTCGCTGCCTATCTTCTTCTCAACGCCGGTGGTAAGGCCAACCCTGCTGCTGCTGACATCAAGACTCTTTTGGGTTCTGTTGGTATTGAAGCTGAAGAAGAACGTGTTTCTTCTTTGATCTCTGCTCTTGCTGAAAAGAACATTGCTGAAGTAAGTGATACATATTAGAGAAGATAGACTGACATGGACGTATAGCTCATTGAAGAGGGTAAGGAAAAGATGTCTTCTGTCCCTACTGGTGGTGCCGTTGCTGCTGCTTCTGGTGCTGCTGCTGCTGCTTCTGATGCTCCCGCTGCTGAAGCTGCTGTTGAAGAAAAGGAAGAATCTGATGACGATATGGGTTTCGGTCTCTTTGATTAAACACAATAAACAGCTTTTTCTTTGATAGTAACTTCAAAATTTTATTCTTGTTTATCTAAATATGATTATTTGATTGCCATTTTTCTCTTTGTTGTTGTTGTTGTTGATAATGTTGTCTGGGCATGTTGATCATGGATGACATTGGCATGATGTTAGCATCCATCATGGGCATGGGTTGAACTGTATGTCCGTTCTGTTGATGATAACGTAATCCATTCGCCGTACGATATGCTTTCTTACATCCTACCACTGAACATTGATATGGTTTTGCATTCGAATCTTCTGCTGTAACATTACCATGACCAGAAGATCCTTTGGCTTCTCTTAAATGGTACTGAAGACCATTGATGTTCTTGTATCGTTTAGGACAGTTAGGCATAGCACAACGATAAGGTTTATAGATCTCTTCCAGGTTAGGATGTGCTGATTTCATATGGTAAAACAAGCCATTGGAAGCAGAGAAACTAGCAAAGCAACCCATGACACCACAACCATAAGGTCCAATGTCACTATGGATACCTTCTTTGCGTTCTTCACGACTCTGCATGGGTGGATACTGCGCTAATACAGTAGGATCAGGCTGCTTTTCATTCGACCTAATTGTGTTTGTCAGCCAAACATAGTGTATCGATGACTTACCGATCATCAGGTATCCATCTTTCTCTTGGTCTGTTCAGTTGTGGAGATGTATTCAATGGTGGAAGTGTTGTGTTGTTATGATAGACCATATCCTGCATAAGAAGCGCGTTAATTACAAGTTAGGATCAATACAACCTACCGAATGAAATCCATTGTTGTATTGTATTGGTGAGTTCATGGGTGATGTATCTCTGTAGACAGGGCGGAAATGACTAGATGATTTCTCATTAGTTTCGTTATGCTTGTAGTTGAAATTAGGTAGATGAGTTGTTCGAGTAGATGGAGAATAAGGGTAAGCATGCTCTTCTGATGGTTGTTGACTATAGCCACTATAAGCAGGATACTATCATAGTCTAGGTAAGAAAAAAGAAGAAGAAGAAAAAAAAGAAAGAAAAAAAATATAAATAAACTTGCCATATTTTCTATATTTTTAATAAGATAAAAAAAAAAAAAAAAAAAAAAACTAATTCACAAAAAAAGCAGAATTTTTTTTTTTCTTTTCTCTTGTGTTTCTTTATCCAATCATATTCATTTATCATCTACCAATGAAATGACTTTCCTTGTTCTACATGATATCATTTGATCAAATATACGCTTATTTAGTATATTAAACAAGTATTCAAGTATATTGCTCAGCAGTAAATACCAGTAAAATCACTATAACACACATATTGACTTGGCTGCACAGAAAAAATAAAAATAAAAAAAAATAAAAAATTTAGCCCATCATGCCAAGATGATAAAAATAGAAATCTCCTTTTTTAAATAACGAATTCAAAACAATAAGCAATTCTTTTCCCTTTTTCTTTCTTTATAAAATGCAAAACAATAACAATCACCCTGATCCATATGCTGGACAATACCCTCTTCCTCCTCCTTTTGTGGGTGATCATCACTATTTCCCTGAAAATACACATTATGCTTATCCACCACAGACTCATGCTACAGCACCATCACCACCAGTGTCATTACCACCACCACAACAACAACTACCAGTATCATTACCACAGCCAGAAGTCTATGTACCTCCACCAGAAGTCTATGTACCTCCACCCCCTCCACCCCCTCCAGTAGCCAATGATTATTATCCTCATCATACAACACCACCACAAGAAGACTATCATGATCCTCAAGGACAGTCTTTAGATGCTTACTTGAGACAAGAAAGAGAAGAATATCTAAGACACCAAACGGAAGAACCGAGACCTACTGTGATACCTTTAGATTCATACAAGAACGAACAAGAAGAAGAAGCACCCATGGTAGAGAAACACGAATATCTCGGCAGAAAGGAAAGAAAACGATTAAAGAAACAACAAGCAATCGAAGCACAGTATGAACCTCATTTGGCTCGACCCACTTATGCACCTCTGAATGAAGCTGAAACGTATCGTTATCGACCTCAAGAAGACCGAGGCAGATCCCCTTGTTGCTGTTGTTATAATCCTGCTATTACCTGTTGTTCGTTCTTTATGTTGCTTGTGAGTTGTGCTTTCTTGGCGGCCGGTGTGGCTATGATGATTGGCTCAAAAGTAGTGCAGGATAAATGTAATAATGAATGCACCAATGTGTCAGATTCGATTGCCAATGCATGTTCGACTGTTTGTAACAAGGTGCTTCATGATGGTTTACTTTATGGTGGTGCTGTCGTGGCTGGATTAGCTGGTATTGCCATCATTTGGAAAATAGTCATGTGGACGTGTGCAGGTTATTCTCAACGAAGATAATAAAGTGCAGGGTCCAATTTCAATCTGAATTTTAAAATAAGCGTAGCAGTTAAAAAGTATCTATGCTGGAAACTATATATCATTGTCTATATTTATAGTTCTTACACAAAACCAATCAGAGAAATAAACTTGAATATTTCAGGTACGCAATAAAAATTAAAAAAAAAAAAAAAAAAAAAAAAAAAAAAAGTGTGGCGTTTGCGTGTTTTTGTGCGGTGATTGTATAAATAAATTGCTTTTTTTTTTCTCTTTTTTTTTTTTCTTTTTTCTTCTTCTATTTAAAACGACAATGCGAAGAACAAGCAGTACAGCTGGCATGGTAAGCCCTATTTGGTCTCCCTTTAAAGAAGTTCTCCTTGTATTCATGTTTAACATTAGTCGGGAGAAATTGAACAAGTCGTTACCAAGTTATTAAGAACAACCAAGGCTTTACTTGAAGCTTTGACTCAATGGTCTCTTATGCGTGCCTCTAATACTGAAATATTTGGTATTCATGACACACTCGAGAAACAATTCTTTCTTGTCTCTCAAGCCTTTGAAGAAGCCACAGTCGATATGAGGTAAACAAAACAATGATCATGGACTTGTATCTAACACGCCCATAGCGATTTGCAATGGATTCCTCGTCAACTACGAGAATCTGTTTCTGTCGCCATGTTAGAAACACCCTCTCCTGCCATTCTAGACCAATATCTCCCCCGTATTCGTGAGGTTATTGTTCATTTATTACATGGCTTGAAAGGAAAGCAAGCCTTGTTGCGAGAAAAGGAAAAAGAAAGAGATCAAACAAGAGAATCACGTGCATCCATCCGATCGACTGAATCATGGAACCGAGAAGTTCCCCTCGCAGCTCTAAACCGAGGCAGTGGGTCTCAGCGGATGATGATGTACCCACAACCTTCTTCGCCTCCTTTACCACCTTACCCTCCTGTTTCGCCTCGTATGACACCTTCAGGTGAATACGAGCCTTGGTCAGGTGGTATGCCTCGTCCTTCCATACCCACCAACGACTTATCGTCCCGTATCATGCCTCGTAACAACTCAGTCTCTTCACTTCGATCCAATTCACCCAAGATGCCACACCAACCTTTACCTACACGATCGACTTCTTCTGGAAGAAGTCATCCACCTCCACCACCTCCACCTGCTCCACCTGCTCCTCCTGCACCTACCCGTGTCGATTCACCCAAACCACCTCAGGTCGATGAAAGCGATCCAAATACAGCCAGTGCCTTAGCCGCTCTAAAACGCCAAGAAAATCTAGCCAGACGATCTTCAGTCCGTCGTGCTTCTATGTTTCGTGGCACAGGTGAGTATTATGGCGGTAGTCTGTCTCGAGGCAAAAACCAGTTTTATCCTTCAGAAGCACATGCGCCTCCAGTCCCTAGTTTACCTTCTCACCCATTGCCGACAACACAGGAAGAAGGCGTATCCACACGAACCACGGAGCCACACGCATTCAAAGAAGAAGCGCATCGTGAACAACAGCATGGTAAGGTTGCGTTTTTGTTTCCTCTATCTAATCTTTTTTTTTTTATAGAAATAGGCCTTACGTTATTTTTACAGATTGGCAAAGAAGTCAAAAAAGTACATTATCAGGGCGAATTAAGCATTTCTTCTCTCAACATGTTATTTCTCGAGAAATTCAGTTATTCCAATGGTCAAGATGATTTCCCCAAGATCTATATCCGTGATCCCACTGTGGGTGTGTCGTATGAATTGACGGATTTATCTGAAGTCAAGGATAAATCCGTACTTTCGTTTCATGTGCATGGTAAGATTGTATAGCTATTGAGTTGATCGACTCACAGTTTAATGTAGAAAAAGAAGAACAGCCTTCTCAATCCCTCTCAGAGATCACACAAGTATTCAACAAGGAAATTACAGAGACACGTCGTCTATTAGCAGAACAAATGGAAGAGATCAAGAAACAAATCGACTTATCCACCAAGGCAAATGAAGAAAAGGAACGTCAATGGATCGAACAACTGACATCCCACGTCTTGTCTCAACAAACAGCACCTGTAGAACAAACACCGGAACAGACAGACCAAGCACCACCTCAAACGTCTGAGCCCCACACCACCTCATTCACAAAAGAACAATATGAAGCACAACGTTCGGAAATCGAGACATTGCGTCGCGACTTGGCTGTCTTGCGCCAACTTGAGCGTGAAGTGAGAGAAGGCACGTCCAGCGTGATTGCTGACATGAAACAAAAAGCAGCCAGTTTCAAAGAAGCGGCTCATAAGGCCAAATCAGCCGAGATCCCTGTCTCAGCTGCTCGTGCCAGTCTTGAAGAAGGCAAGAAGACATTATTGGAGAAATCAGATAAAGTCACGACTCGCTTGGAAGATTTGCAAGACACGATTGATCAACTCAAGTTGGATGTCACTCAACGTAAATGCCGTCCTTCAGAAACACAGATGACACATTGTGCCGATGAACGCAAAGCACTTGCAGAAGAAATTGAAGAGTTTGGTCAGTTCATTGGTCAAGTCAAACCTCGCTGGAAAAAGACATGGGAACAAGAATTACAGACGATTGTGAAAGAACAACAGACACTAAAGGATCAAGAGTACTTGTTGTCTGATATGAAGGATGATTTAGATGCTCTTTTAGAAGTGTTTGAACAACTCGAGAAGATTTATGCCTATCAAGCCAATACGAAACCTCAACCTAGAGAATTCCGTGTGGCTCCTGCTGAAGAAGGATTTGAAGGCATGGCAAGTGTGATGAAGCAAGTAGCAACGATTGATGTTGATCATGAACGTCGTTTACGTGCTTTGGAACAAGCCGATAAAATGAGGCAGCGTGAATTGGCCAACCGTATTGATGATTTTGAAAAGGAGCTGGTTGGATTTGTAGAGACAAAGAAATTAAAAAAGACAGGAGGTGCACTTGAAATTGATCGTTTGCGTAAACAAAAGGAAGAGCAGATGTTAAAGGCCATGTTTACTGAAAAGAAAGCTGCTACATCCACACCTACTTCTGAAGAACAACCTGTATTGGAACAAGTAAAAGAAGAAGAAGAAGAAGAAGCAGCGGAATAATCCCCCCCCTTCCCTTTATAAAAAATTATATGCTTATTAATTCTATATACACATAATTCCCCTTCATTTTTTTTCTCTATAAACATATCTCACGTTAGATGAATCATTAAAAGTGCATTACCTGTATCATGCAAATATTCTCAACTTTTATTCTCAGGAAATCTATGAGAGTATGACAGCTCTAAACTTTAATTGTTGAACTGAGAACATTTTAAAGAGGCGACTCTCTGCGCATAATATGTTTATCATTGGACCCCTAATGATCACATATAGACTTGCAGTAATAGGAACGGAGTATTCTTTCAAATTATCCGTGCAATATGTGTGAAAAAAGTGTGTGTCATCTTAATTTATCTGGTTCTAAATGCACTTTGTCCTCCCCTTTTTTTTTCTTTTCTTTTTTTTTTCTATTTCTTCATGTCGAAACCTCTTTTATTAAGCCCACAAACAATTCCTTTAGCCAAGTCCATTTTAAAAGTGGAAACAGATGAAGAAGCATGTGAACCACATAATGTCCGTATTTTCTTTGATCATATGTCTGCTATGACGATAGCACCTGAAGTCGAGAAACAAGACATGGAAATCAATGCCAATGGCTATAAAATCCATATCTCGGTACTTCGACCTATTGGATCAAAAGATACTGTGTTGCCTGTCATTTTGTTCATGTAAGTTATCCATTTTAGCTTTTATTTCTAATCCACATGTAGACATGTAAGTTGTTTTCTGCATCGATGTGCCACTGATGATTCATGAAGGGAGGAGGCTGGATCTTTGGTTCTTATACGACACATCGTGTCTTGACCAATAATGTAGGTACCATCAGATGGTTGGACTTGATCTCATTTTTTTTTCTAGTTGGTCAACTTAATGCCTGCCTGTATTGTCTTTGTACACTACAGTCTTAGTCCCGAGGTAAAATACCCCACTGCACTTGAGGAGTGCTATGCTACTCTTTGTTGGGTTCAACAAAACGCAGCATCTATCCATGTTGATCCACACCGTCTTGTTGTCATGGGAGACTCTGCCGGTGGCAATCTCTCTACTTCTTTGACAAGTAAGTAATCAATCCATGGCCTATGGCTGATCCATATCCTCCTAGTCCTTGCTAAACAACGAGGTAACAAGGGCATCTCATACCAAGTCCTGTATTATCCTGCACTTGATATCAATTTTGAATCAGAATCCTATATTCAAAACCAACATAATTCATTTTTGCCTCGTTCTACCATGTTGGTCGTTTGGGACGCTTATCTGAATCATGCTAATGAACGTCATGTAGCTACAGCTGTGCCTATGTCTAGCCCGAAAGAAGTCTTGGAGGGTTTACCCCCCGCATTGATCATTACAGCTGAAGCGGATGTCTTAAGAACAGAAGGCGAGTTGTATGCCAACAAGCTGACGGAGGCAGGTGTGGAGACCATGTGTGTACGTTATTTGGGTGTTCGCCATGGATTCCTGAGTGCGCCTCAGCTTAGATCGCAGGCTCATGCGGCTATTGCACAAACCATTGATGTGTTAAAGAAGCATTGGAAAGAAGAATCTACCTCTAGACTTTAAGTGATGTATTTAAATAAACCAGAAGAGTGAATGAAAACACGACACACTTAATATCCCTTTGTGCCTTTTTCAAGCATTAAGCTTATGATACAATCTCAAATCATAGCTTCGACTTTCTTAAATAAGCTTCCAACATAAACCATCTTTCTTTCTTGAATAAAGTTGGCAAACAATCTATTAGCATAATAATAACACTAGCAGCGGATTGGTAGCCCACTACCGGCACGAGTGTTTTTTAAAATAAATTATAAAAGAACCTATTTATGCAGAAATATAGCAAGCTTTGAAAAAGTCAAAAAATTGTCATTTTGCCCTTATGATACCATTTGAAAATCTTATATTTTCACTATTTTGCGATTGGTGATCGGTAGAGACATTGTAGACATAACATGTCTTAGTACGAAATGTTTTTCTAGGACTATAAAATACACTCCAAGTGTTAGGTCTACAAAAATACTATAAAAAGTGTATGCTATAGCTAAGAAACAAGAAACATGTTTTTGAAGGATAGCTCACTATCTTGATACTCAACATATTGTGTTCTTTACATCATTCAATTCAATTTATTTACACCTACCAACTTTGTTAATACACTTTTCTGATAGCTCTTTGCTTTTAAACACTTTTAATCCATCACGTCTCTTTTTTTTTAAGTTATGTTTATTGATTGAGCCGCGTACACTAAGAGTAATGGTCAAAGTGAAGGGGTGGCTGCAATTGAGATAGTGTTAAAAACTGATATAAAATATAATAACTAAATAAAAGAAAACAATGTAGAGGTTATAGGAGTGAATGACATTGATCCTCTTCAATGGTCTGACGAGCATTGGATCGGATGCTTGCCAATATTGCTGTGGATACAATGGGGGAATTCGATATGGTTTGATTCCTTTCCTTTGGCAGTACCAGTTGTACCAGAAGTCTAGGGACAAAAGAATCTCTTTGATATCAGAGATGGATGTGGTAGGCCATAGGAACTCGAAAATTATTTCCTGCCATACCTTCTCTTTAGTTGGACAGCAGAATAACAAGTGGATGGTTGAGTCTTTTGAAGATATAAAAACTGGGCAAAGAGGGGAATCGAACACTTGAGGTATAATAAAATGCAAGAGCTTGCGATAAGGAATACACACCAAGATAAACCGGTATGTCACATTACGTTGAATAGAGGTAAATGGCAGGGACCAAAAGAATTTCTACTGTACCTCTGCAATAGTTTTCAAGGCCAACGGAACAATCACAGACGAGAGAACTGACTGACGAAATGTCTTAGCCGAAGCCTTGATATTGCCGAGCAATTGATTATCTTGGAACCGAAATTGGTTGATCAAGGGCGTAAATGAGACCGTCGAGTCTTCAAGTGGAGCAGGACTACAAGCAGAACTAGAAATGACTAAAGTTTCAAACTCCCAGAATCAAGACCTCTAAACACTGTTGTGGGTGTGCGCTTCCAGTCAAGTAAGGCTGGACCACGAGTATCTTTCCAGTGAACAAAATTAAGACGAGCATCATATTGAAAGACATCTGCTACCATCATTTTTTTTGACACGGAGGGGAATCATAAAGGACGAAGAAGGAGGAACGTAAAGCACAGCTTGTAGAGGTAGGGCCATAGTGGTAGCAGTATTATCACGTCTCTTGAATGTCTATACTTTTTTTAAAGTTTAGTCTTTGATATGAAATTACTAATTTAAACTCAGATTTTTCTAAGGAACACTCCACATATGCTAAGCTTTAGAGCATTAAAAATGAAATCCTATTTGACAATGCCCTCCATTCCTATCTAAATATTAAAGCATCTTTTAGAAATTAGTCATGATGAAATAAATTTAGTCAATAACAGCTTTGATGAAAGCATGATGGTTACAGGAACAAATCTTCTAAATCTGAATGAAGCTGTCTTTCATAAATTAGATAGCATACAATACAAGAAAAAATTCTTTGTTGTATCACATATGGGAATGAATACACTATTTGAAGACATGTATCAAGTGGGTTTTATGATTAGATATTATCATATGTGTGTCTGACATTGTTGAGTTTTTACTAAAAGGAAGCCAGTGTATTAGAAAAAGAAATATGGTAGTACTATCATTTTTACAATTGAATACAAGTTAATGCTTGAAAAGACCAATCAAAGAGCTTGGTAACAATCTGCTTACCCTGCAACAAGGCTGATATTCAATTTTGCATCATTTTATGAGAGAGTATTAAAAAGATCGTGAAACACACAATCACTTTCTGGGCTTTATTGAATAAAAAACAAATGAGCTGATCACTAAAAGAAAAAAAAAAAAAAAAAACTCAGAGTGATACGGAACTGCATATCAAACACTCGCTCTCTCCTGACATGAGCTTCTCCTCTTGTAAGGAGTTGTTTTATAGTTTGTGAAGAATCGTTTCTTTATAGAATAGAGTTTCATATTCTTTTTTTTTCTCTCTCTCTCCATGTCAATTAATCAATTATATCATCTCCGATTTAGTGTTTGCTTAACGTGGTTTGACTATCTTCTGCTTCTGGTATAGATGCCAGGTAACCAATGTTGGATAACTGGGGCGGTAGTGATAATTTACGTGTCCTTGGTTTCTTTTCTTGAGGATCTTCTTGAAACGTGATAGCAGACGCCGCTTGGATCTTTTCAGGAGTAGACCATCTTTTTGGCTGGTTATAAAGTGCGTTTGAGATACATTGAGTCAAGAGTTCTTCTTGCTTTTGTTGTTGTTCTCTATCAATCAAGACTGTCTTGTGTTTCTTTTTTATCCATTTCTTTTTAATGGAAGGAAATCGTTTTGTACTGGGTGGGTTGGGGTTTGTATCTGTATTATTTTTAGATTTTTTCAGGCTAAAAAATCGATCCAGTAAAACTTGCATTTGATGAAAAAAAAAAAAAAGTATGAAAGAGAGAAAGAATAGGAGAAAATTTAAATGTCAATAAAAAATACCATACAAAGTGGCTTATTTTTTCTTCTTCTAACCTTCTCTTTCAGTAATTTGATCAATAACTTTATTAAAATGAAAAATGAAATGACATGCTTGAAATGTTAAATGTGTATATATGAAATAAGAATCTATTATAGAATAAGAAATTAATAGGTGAAAAACAAGTAGGCGGCATAAATAAGTATATGTTATATACATCATTTTTTGTTGTTCATTAAATCCATTTTGGCCTTGTCTGACAATGCATTCAACAACAAGGCAGAAGCATCAGGTTCTTCTGTTTGGTTGATCACTTTATGAACAGTCAAGGATCCCAACTTGTGAGAAGAAAGTTTGTTTAAATAGGGTAAAAGACGAGGGCATAAAACACGATAACGACCTGGAAGTCCAGAGGTATCTAAAAGCCAATTGAGTAACAAGACACCATTTGCATTGGTCGTCAATAACACAGTATTCTGCACAATGGCTGCGGTAACATAGACCTAAACGTATGAGATCATATGTTGTGTACAATGTATCTTACCTGTTGTTCTTTAGTCGCAATAGGGTTTTCAAGAATGGAACGAACAGCGCGAGCACCAAATCGACCTTGTCCAATTTCCCAACATTTATCAACAATAGCATCAAAAATATACTGGTTGTGTTCACTTCCTTTGCGCAAACAGCATTGAACTACATAATTACCAAATTGATCCAACAACAACAAGGGTACATAAGGCGCAATATGTTGACGCACTAATTGAATCTGATATATCTATGTCAATACTCAAGCATCACAACTGCATCCATTTACCTGTTCAAATGTATTGGCATAGTCAATGATCTTTTGAGCAGCCCATGTACCATTCTTATGAACACCAATCGACGCAAGAAAAGGAGCAATCTTTTCCAGCATGCGCAACTTTGTTTCTTCTGTACAATGCTCAAATAGTTTTTGAATGACTGTATTGCCAATATAATCTGTTTTATGTTTGTGAGTACGTTTTTTTTTAAAAAAAAAAAGAAATCCATACCACTGCATAATTCAACAATTTCCTCTGTACATTCAGCAGCAATCAATTCCACTTCTTCCTGAGATTGATTTTCATCATTCTCTAGTCTCTTTCTCATCTCACGAAGACGAAGAGGCTCCAATCTTCTATCTGCACTAAGTTCAGGCACAGGAGGAATGACAGAACAATACGTCAAGGGCATACGATCTTCTTTGAGTCGATCAGAGGGTTCGTGGTTCAATTGTTGCATAATAAACTGTCTTTCAGAAGCAATGGCTGTATATAAGCTGGGTTGTGTTGTCTGCTGTTGACCCGACGCACTCATCATCATGTTGGTCATCATCATGGCTGTAGCCCATTGGGTAGCTTGATAGGCTTCAGGTGCTGTAGTGGGTGGCTTGACTGGTTTCTGAGGTACGGGTGTATCTTCCGTTTCGTCCGGATGATTCGACGGCACTTTGGCAAACCCAATACGGACAGCACCAGTACCAGGACCCAAAATCTCTTTGTTTTGAAGTGCTTTACGTGCACGAACTGCGTCTTCTTGATAATCAAAGTTGATGAATCCACAGTTCTTGTGTGATAAGACACGGACAGACTCAATCGCACCAAAAGCAGCAAAGATGTTGCGCAAAATAGCTGGGTTCATGTTGGCAGGAATATTGCCCACCCCTAATCATTGGTGAATACATACCTCTATTTTTTTTTGGGATGACTTACATAAAGCACGCGTGGGGCCTTGTGCGTTAGGACCTGCTTCGTTTGTCAATGCCATAGCCAGGTTGACATCGGCTTTGCCAAACCCAACACGGACAGGCGTACCGCCCAATTTGGATCCCAGTCGTGTCTCTAAATCTTCTTTAGCAGCCACAGCAGATTCCATGGTCATGAAATTCACAAACGCACATTCTTTGTCAGACAAGATACGAGCACTTTCCACTTGACCATAAGCAGAAAACAACTGGACAAGATCAGGGACACTAATGCTCGGATTAATGTTACCTAACCAGAGAGCACGAGAAGGTATCTGGGCTTGTGCAGATGAAGGTGAATCAGCACCGTCTGGCTGACCATAGTATTCCTAGCATGTCTAAGTTTAGTGTGATCATAGAGAACAATGGATCGCTTACTTGATCATCGTCTTCTTGTTCTTCATGCATGTCCAACAGATTACTGCTGCTGCGTGAGGATCGAAGAGGTGTTTCCTTTCTGGGCCGTGGCATGGTTGGCTGATTTCCTTCAAAAAGAGAAAACGAATCAGCCATGCCTAGACTGATGGCTCGAGGTCGATGCAATACACTTGACCGTGTCTGAGGTGAAAATGGACTAAAGGGTGCTAAATGGTTCAGTTGTCCTGCGACTGTATAGGACCGACCACGCGCAGATGTACGTTCAGCATCAAATGAATGATTGACTTCATCATCGAGGCCGAGTGAAGCTAAAGTAGAAGCAATCGTGTTGGAGGCATTCTCGTCAATAGGGCTGGAGGGGTCATAAGGACTAAATCCACTCTCGGGCTGAAAAGGAGTAGGTAGTGTCATTGAACCTGAACGGTGGCGTGTACTTGGTTCCATAGGTGGCATAGTTGGATTGACTAAATACATATCGGCTGCATATGGAAAAGCAGAAGACTGAGAAGGCATTGTATCTGCACGCGATCTTTTGAGTGGAGAAGTGCTGGAAGGAGACAACGCGGGCGTAAAAGAAACACGCGAACCAGGTTGACTTGTCATATCGCTTGGTAGTCTAAATGATGAACACATGACACTTCCCTTGAGTTGCTTACCTCGCTGAAGAGAGCGATAGATTGGGTGATTTTTGTAGTGGATTCGGATTTTTACGAGGATTTTGTCCGTCGTTTACCCAAGTAAAGTCCATGAATAAGAATAAAAATAAAGACAATAAAAGGGAAAAGAAAGAAAAAGAAAAAATGGTTTCGTCAGATATACAAAAAAAATGTGACAGCTGAACTGGAAAAGCATTTGCAAGCAAAGTCGTATTTTACCATTTGCTCAATGCAATACAACATGTAACTTGTACGTATGTATTCTCGATCCGGACTTACGGATAAGGAGTCGTCAAATAAAAAGTTCAGCTCAAGTCCGGTCTTAAAAAAGGGAGTTCATATGAGACCCTTTGTTAAATTCCCGATCAAACCAACCAATCAAATGCTCATGACGGCGTCTATTTTTGAATATCCCATTTGTCATAAGGATTTCCCATAATTTTCTTTTTTTCTCTTTTTATCATTTTATTTCCACTATGCCTTCACCTCCAAAGCCTTGGGAAGTGAACAATGCTAATACTACTGCTGTTGTTACTTCTCCTTCAGCAGCAGCCACAATCTCAACAAGTGCTCCTGATATTCCAGCTCGTACTACTACTAATACAACAACAATAGACTTAGCACCTGCAAGACCAACTTGTAAGTGACTCGTCCCATTACATCTTGTACTCATCCTTAATAGCTTATACCAATACAGGCTATGGTTCCATGGGAAACTATAGTTCCATGGGTTACAATTCAACCTATGGTAATGCTGGGTATGGTTTAGGTTCATCGTACAATCGATATGGCTCTGGCTATGGTTCTTATGGTGGCTATGGTGGTGGCTATGGTTCTTATGGCGGTGGTTATGGTTCTTATGGCGGTGGTTATGGTGGCATGAATCGATTTGGTCGCATGGGTGGCCCTGATGAAATGGGTCTCACGCAACGCATGGAAATGGGTACTCGTCCTGCTTTCGAAGTCGTTGAGAACATTGTAGGCTCCTTTGGCGGGTTTGCTCAAATGTTAGAATCGACCTTCATGGCTACACATTCCAGTTTTATGGCCATGGTAGGTGTTGCTGAGCAACTGGGCTTTCTGAAGAACTATCTAGGTCAAGTCTTTAGTGTCTTTGCCCTCTATCGTTTTGTCAAACGAGCCGTTCAGAAAATCACAGGCCGTATTCCCTCGGCTAAACCCATGGAAATGAACCTAATGGAATTTGAGAACTTTGATAAAGCACCTCATGGGCCCAAAATGTCTCGTAAACCCTTGATCATCTTCATGTTGATGGTCGTTGGTCTTCCTTACATGATGCATAAATTGATTCAACTAATCTCTGCTAATCAACAGAAACAGATGGCATTGCCCGTGAATCAACAAGCACCCATTGATCCTTCCAAATTAGAATTTGCTCGTGCCATGTATGATTTCAATGCAGAATCATCGATGGAACTCTCATTGAAGAAAGGTGACATTGTAGCCGTCATTTCTAAATCAGATCCCAACACAAATACGGTCAGCCAATGGTGGCGTGGAAGACTGAGAGATGGTACCATGGGCATGTTCCCTGCAAATCATGTCGAAATCATTCAAAAAGGAGGTCCTCAACATGCAGCACAAGAAGCGAAAGAGGTGTTGAAAGAAGAAGCACTGATAACAGCGCCAAATAGTCCTCAAGAGAAACTCGTCTAATTATTTATTTTTGTATATCCCCCCTCTTTTTTTGTAATATAAAAAAAAAACTATTTTGCATGATAATCTCAACCTTCTCTTTGTTGTGTGACTGCTTCCATGTTGAAAGTAAGTTATTGGTGTGCTTCTTTCCCCCCAGCTTATTTTTTTTCTGTCATTATATAAACAACTGATGGAAGAAACAAAGGTAGACAAAGTACACATATAACTAAAAACTCTAAGTCTTTTCTCAGCAGCCCTCTACTGAAGATCTCGAACGTCAACGCGAATTACAAGAAGAAGCTTCTCGACGTTTGTTTGCTTTGGTAAATGTGGATGCTTACATACACCCTTTTATTGACACATGTCTAGTTAGAAGGAGCAGCAAACCAAAAAGCCCATGTCAATGCTGTCACTATTCTTGGCATCAAAACAACTCGACCTCGCTTTCTTGAATCAGCAACCAAAGACATCATGGAAGCAAAGACCTATGCCGACGTGATCAACACTTCACAAAAGATTGCTCAGAAATTGCAACAGTTTGATATATTTGAAGAACCTGTTCAGGTCTTGCTTGATAACGCATCAGACAGTGATCCTTTAGCAGCTCCTGATTCTATCAATGTTGTACTTCAAGCTAAAGAAAAAAGCCGTGTGTTTATCAAGACAGGGACAGAAATTGGTAATAATGAAGGCAACATGGCAAGTAGAGTAGTTTGCAATAGCGCGTTCCTAATCTGTCTGTAGAATGGATCTGTCACAGTCAGAAACGTGTTTGGTGGCGCTGAATTATTAGAGACAGTCGCTTCATTCGGCACAAGAAACAGTTCTGCATTCCAGGTATGCTATGATGTTGTATTGTCATTGATCTCAACCCTATTTCTTTAGTTTACATTCTCAAAACCTGTGAAAGCTTCTCCTGACTCTCGACTTGAAGCCAATGCTCATAGAGTACTTTGTAACAACACATTGGCTTCTTCTTATGAAGAATTAGCAAGAGGTGTAGGACTTCGTTACAAGACAGTGTCTCGCTTTGGTTATCATGAATTAGGCTATGATTTGACATGGCGTTCAATTGATAGAGTTTCTCCTCATGCATCCTTAAGGTAAATCATCAAAGAAGTCACTTGTTTGTAACCTACTTGTAGCATTCGAAAAGAAGTAGGTGAATCATTAAAGTCTTCCATCCTACATACTTTTGTTCGAGAACGCCGTGATGACATGTTACTTCCTAGCCGTGGTCATTACCTTCGTCTTGCCAATGAACTCTCAGGCGTTCTCGGTATCGGCAATGCTCACTTTTTCAAAACAGAACTTGAGTCGCAATACTGCCACCAATTTGGCGGTGGAAGTCTTTTGGTAGACAAAGAGACAGATGCGTTGTTAGGTGTGCATCCAGGATATGTGTTGAGCACCACATTTAGAGCCGGCTGGCTGGCCAATTGGCAAGAGAAAGGGTCTACTGTCTCTGATCGGTTTATGCTGGGTGGGCCCTTATCGGTGCGTGGGTTCCGTACTGCAGGTATCGGTCCTCGTGACTATAAAGATGCTTTGGGTGGTCACATGTACTGGGCTGCTGGCCTCAGTGCCATTGCTCCTCTACCCAAGTTGGAATCCAAGCCCTTGAGAGCTCATGCATTTCTGAATGCAGGTACAAACGTGCCTTGGGCCATGGGAACATCCTTAGAGGCTACTCGACATATCCTAACACAATCACCCAGTGTCTCTGCTGGTCTTGGTCTTATTTATCGTCATAGTATTGCTCGTATTGAATTGAACTATTGTGTACCACTCACGGCTGCCAAAGGAGATCAAATCAAACGCGGCTTACAGCTGGGTATTGGTATCCACTTTTTATAAATATATTGTTTATTCCATATATACAAATCATCTTCTTTTGCCAAACAGTAATTGAAGGTCGTCTAACTTTCTATTCTTGGCTTCATCTCTAGACATGTAAAGTTCATTCACAAGGACATGCTTTCTATCTTGAATATCTAAAATACGCTCTTCTACAGAATTTGTCATGATGAACCGAGTCACTATCACTTCTTTCAATTGACCTAGTCGATGTACTCGGTCAATGGCTTGTGATTCAATAGCGAAATTCCACCAAGGATCCATCATGATAATTCGATTGGCACACGTCAGATTTAACCCCACACCACCTGCTCTTAAACTGATCAACAGTACATTGGTATCGCCAAGCTGAGCAAATTCAGCCAACACTTTCTCTCGTTGTGTCTGTGCCTGTGTGCCATCTAACCGAGTATACCGGATAGTCTCATAGTCTAATGCTTCCCCAATTAAATCCAAGAAACCAGTGAACTGCGAAAACACCACGGTCTTGTTGTTCTCTTTTTGGTTTTGTCTCAAGTGTTTGATCAGCGCATTCATTTTGGTGGATGGCTTAAACCCACCAATGGCTTTGCGAATATTGTAGCGTACAGATTGTTCTTTGTGTTGAGCGAACTCGAGTAATTGAGTCTGAAGGATAGGTCCATGTCGACAGACAGGACACTCACCTGCTGTTCCTTCCTCTTCTTTTTTCTAGTGTAGATGTTGAGTACATCACTCTTTTGTTTGAGTGTCCTTACTTGAAAGTAGTCCAATACACAAGGTCGACAAGCCATATGCATACATGGCATCACAATCATACTATCGACTGTCTCAAAGCAAATAGGACATTCCTCAGCCATAGGCGGTGCAAGTGTTTCTTGAGGATTGGGCGCGGATTGTTGGTGTGCCAACATGTTTTGTAGTACGTTCATTTCATAACTGCTGCTGGTATCAGATGCTTGAGATTCCGTGTTATTCTTATGGGCAATTAATTCCTCTAATGTCAAGGACTCTTTGCCTCCTAATCCTTTGATGGTCTCCTTGGCCGCTTCTTTACTCTGTAAGGCAAGATAAGGATGACAACAGATTTGACGTAGTCGTGTCAAGAGTTGAAAGATAGACGCATAGTTCTTGCCTAGTTTACCTGCTTCACAGAAATAAGAAAACTTGATTTGAGAATCATTGTAGATGGCGTCATAGATATCTTGCTCTTCAGGCGAGAAAGACAAGTATTCAATATGGATATGTTTCGGCGGTAAGGGAACCATCGGCTGACCCTTTCCATCCCGCATGGCCTTGGTACGACGCAAGACAATGGGCTCCAAGACGGTCTGAACAGCACCCAGTGCGCGTGCATCTTGTTTCTCAAAGGGCAGGGTGATAAATGTTCGCCAAAAGGTATGATTGGCCCATGGTTCATGGCGCAAGAACCGAACCAGCGAGTACAGATCATCCAGCTTGTTTTGAATGGGTGTGCCAGTCACTGCCCATCGACGCTTGGCTTCCAGGTCACGACACGCATGGGATGTCTTTGTTAAGCGGTTTTTGATCTGATGGGCTTCGTCCAAGACCACACGCCAGAATTCAGTGCGGAACAGACGCGAAGGTGTGCCAGATTGGGCTGATGTCCATTCAGCCATCACAACGCCATAGGTTGTCACCAACACATCAGGTGCATTCCCTTCCCAACAATACAGATTGGCCAGAGACGATGCTGAACGTTCATCACCATAATAGACACTGACAGAGATCGTGTCTGGCTTAGACCCTCGGATGATTTCATCACGCCATTGAGCAAGTAAAGACATGGGACAGACAATCAATGTGGTAGGTGATGGCTTGATATGAATGCCTGTTGAAAATGGCTTCTTTTTGTTGGGTGTGTATCGATTGGTATGGATCAGACTGAGTATTTCGATCGTTTTACCCAACCCCATTTCTATCAACAGAAGCGTGAGTTATCCATGCTTCTTGATGGAGCTTACCATCCGCCAAGATGCCTCCTTTCTCTTGCTTATTGGCTTCAGGGAATTCAAGGCTGAGATCACCACTATAAGGATTAAAATAAAAGAAGCGATGCTCATCACACAATGGACTAGGAAACCCATACTCTTCCCATAAAGGATGCATGGACCTCATGTCCATATCACCCTCTTCATGTTCATAGGATTCTTTGGCTATCATCCATGCAAGAGCCTATGACAAGAATCAGACCGTGTATATCAGGGCTAGACTTACTCTTTGTTGGTATTCTTTTAATTCGAGTGTCATTGTACTCGGTTGATCCATGGGCTTAATTTGAGCATCAAACACTTGAGCCTTTTCATAGATTGTATCCAACTGTCCATCAGTCACTTCCTTTTCATCCTCCTGCTCTGCGTCCTGTTCTTTGTCTGTAGGGGGTGTGGCTACTGACTGGATCAACATGTCCCATGTATCGCTCTGCATATGCTGAACAGCCGAACGTATAGGCTTCAGTCCTAACTGACGAAACATGTGCAACAAGGCTATTTTACGCAACACAGGCAATTCCTGTCGCTTCTTCTCATTCTTTTTCGCATGAGGCATGGTATGGGACATGAATGAGTTCATGTACAGTGCTGCTGGCAACAAGTAACATTGGATGGTCAAGATCATATCTTCGCCTGTCTTGAGTAGTGGGGGACACCAGACGATCGAGCCTTCAAAACAACAGAGCCGCTGGTCCAACAAGACTGCCATATAGTCTGCTGCTTCTCGAGGAAACCGACCGATTTCTCGACCATTGTGTGCAAATCGAACAATGCGGTTGACAGCATGGTGTTTGACAGCCGTGACTTTGTCTCTGACGATGGTGATCGCATCGCCTTCTTTTACGGGTGAAGCACCTTTGATCAATGACCAACCTAGCTTGATGGATCAGTCATTGGCATGCCAAGTTTGACTCACCTGTCAATACAAGATCGCCAATATAATACTTTTTGCCCATGGGCTGAGTTGGAGGTGGTTCTGTAAAATAAAGGTTGATGGCTGCTTCTACATTGTTGTTTGAACGGTAGAGTAAGTTATCTAGTGTTTCTAAAGGAACTTGTTGGCCGAGAATAGATTGTAAAGAAGCAATCGAGGCTTCGTCTCTTGACCTTTTTGACATGACAAAGAGAAAAAAAAAGGAGAAAGGAACTACGGCCAAAAGCAAAAAAAAAAAAAAAAAAGTTAGACGCGTTCCAAATCCAGAAAAGACGCGTATTGTTTCACAACGTATTAAATCTCAGTTGATCTTGGTTGATTAGCGTATATATACAGAGGATATAGAAATACGAAAGCATATATACTTTTGCTTTGATAGTATGAAAGGTAATGTCCTTAAATGGAAATCAACATACATACATACACACACACAAAAAAAAAACGCGATGTCATACGTTGTAATTCAGATGTCATCATATACCATATATTACCTAGTTTGAAAAAATAATATAAATTCAGGTTTATCTTTGACGTATTTTATTTTATTTAACTTGTTTAACTCTTGAATCAAACGGCACACAAAGTAGAGCGTCTACAGAGTATAAAATAAAATAAAAAAAAAGATCAGCCTATAAAATAAGTTTTCAATGGCCGTGGTTGACTTGTACACATTCATGGTTTTTTTTTTTTTTTTTTTTTTTTGTATTGTTCTTTATCATGCTCAAATCACTGTGTTTCAAAAATAATGAACAGGATATTTTTTTTGTGAAAAAAAAAAGCCCGTCGCATAAAAAGATGGTTTGTTTATTTTTCTTCTTCTCTTCTTTTTTCTTAAACAAAAATAACGATGGCCAGTAAAAGTCCTCAAGCATATGAAGTAAAGAAACTCGGTGGCACTCCTGAGCAACAAGCTTACATGAATGACATAATTGATCAATTCACAACGGATGCAGCCAGTCTTCATCGAATCAAAGAACATTTCAAGAAGGAAATGGATAAGGGTTTAGAAAAAGAAGGTGCTACTGTAGCCATGATTCCTTCTTATGTTGAAGGTCGTTTGACAGGTAAGCAGAGACACACGCTGATGCATGTTATTCAACCTGTCTCTAGGCAAAGAAGAAGGCCATTTCCTTGCTCTTGACTTGGGTGGTACTAACTTACGTGTTGTGCTTGTCACGTTACTGGGTGAAGGCAAGTACAAGACTGTTTCCTCTAAATCCAGAGTATCTGATGAATTGAAACTGGGTCCTATGCGTAACTTGTGTGGTAATGTCATATCAGATGAAACACTTTGAACTCCGAACTAATTGGATCGGATAGATTATATTGCCGAATGTGTCGATACTTTTCTGACTGAACAAAACCTGGAAGATCAAGAGACTGAGCTTAATTTAGGCTATACTTTCTCATTCCCTGTCCTTCAGTCAAAGGTATTTTCAACATGTTTAACAACATATACAGGACCACTCATATATATATATATATCATATATAGATTAACCGAGGTATTTTATCTACCTGGACAAAGGGTTTTGCTTGTTCGGGTGCTGTGGGTAAAGACCCTGTTTTGATGTTACAAGATGCTCTTTTGAGAAAACATGTACCTGTTCGTGTCTCGGCCCTTGTGAATGATACTGTCGGTACTCTGTTATCCAACGCGTACAATAAGCCTGCCACATTAGCTGGTCTAATTTTAGGTACTGGTGCCAATGGTGCCTATATTGAAAAGATGGACAAGATTCGTAAATGGAAGGGCGGTAAAACAACAGCTGATGAAATGATTATCAATATGGAATTCGGTGCCTTTGATAACGAACGCCACATTTTACCACTCACTCGCTTTGACAACAAACTCGACCGTCAGTCGATTAACCCACACGCTCAAATCTATGAAAAGATGATTTCTGGTATGTACCTTGGTGAAATCACACGTAATGTCCTGACCGACATGATTGACCGTGAGTTACTGTTGAAGCGTGAGACAAACACATCACTTGCCTGGTCTAAAGATATTACAAAGCATTGGTCATTTGAGACTGCTTTTATGTCAAATATTGAGGCTGATGATTCAAACGATTTTGCCAACACGAAGGAAATCCTGGATACCAATTTGAATTTTCACGATGTGACTACAGACGAAGCTGGCTTTATCAAAAAGATCTGTGAATTAGTAGGTAAGCGTGCTGCTCGTTTGGCTGCTGCTGCTATTGCTGCTATTGTTGAACACTGTGATATTGGTCCTGAAGGGTGTGATATTGGTATTGATGGTTCCTTGTATGAATTCTATCCTTCTTTTGAAGAGAGAATGTACCAAGCACTTGAGGAAATGATGCCTGATCTTCCTGACCTTCGTAAGCAGATTCGTCTTGGTCTTGCCAGAGATGGTAGTGGTGTTGGTGCTGCTCTCACGGCTTGTGTTGCTGCTCGTATGGAAAATCAACGTAAAGCATAAGTAGATTAGAAGAAAAAAAAAAAGAATAAGGATTGTAATATGTTTATATATATATATACATAATAAAACATTAAAGTTCAAATACACTGCTTGTTGAAGTAATACCATTAAAAACACACGTATTATGGATAGGTATATATTGATGGGTGATTAATTTGATGGCTTCTTGTGCCACTAAGCCACCCAACAAAGCAGCTAGATTTGGAGCTTCTAAATTACCAAAACGTACACTATTATAGTATGGTCAACCAAGAGATGAATGAAGTTGACTTACTAGTTGATGATGGCTTTGTCCATACTATCACTTGCTAGAATCTCTTCAGTGTCTTCAGTAGCTACATTCCTTTCTTCCATCAACCATTGGACTTTGGCCTTCAAGGGTTCAATATCATCTTCAGAAGCTAATATATGTCAGTAAAGAAGATTGTTGGCACTTGTCTTACTTAGCAAACGACCATAGTCTAGTTCAAAATAGTCACTAGCTTCAAATACAAAATGATAGTTGAAGTTTTCATCATTTTTTAACAATTGAGCTAAACAAGGCTATGTTAGCGTACAGGATCCACAAATACCAAATTACCTAATTTAGTTCCTTGGAGATGGTTTTCAGATAAGACCTTGTATGAAATCACACGGATACTGGCAGCATTCTTACAGAAGGTCTCAATCGTTTCTTCTGGAATACTGACATCAGTACCTTCTATTAAGCCATAGACACGCTGCTTAATAGCATTGAGATCAGATAAAGCCTTTTCTCGATATACATTCTGTAACCGAATATAATTTAACGTGTCTGATTTCATGTCGGGTAGTTTTCCAGATAATGGAAGATGACCAGCACCTTCATGATCAACAAAATCACGTACTGCTCGAGCCAAGATCCAAAAATAAGGTGACTTTATATATGTGAGAGTCGTGTTTACTTTTAGATGTATGACTTACTTGGCCATTGGCATGTTGACAAGAAGGGTCTTCAAAAATACGACGCACTTCAGAAGAAATCTATAGAGAATAAGTGATTGCGAGTGGTAACATGGTACTTGCAGTAGAAGATGAAGCCAGTCGCCATACATTGGCAATGGCTTCTTCAAAGTTTTCTTGATCGGGTGTTCTCATATCAGCACGTAACATCTTTATCAACTCTTGTCGTTGTTGATATGATTGAGGCACTTGACCTTCATGCGTTTCTTTATAAGCCTTAACATAGTTCAACAAGATGACAACAAAAGGAACATGACTGTGATCTGTTTGGTCGAGTTTGTCTAAATCAAATGTGTCTACATAATCCATCAATTGTTGAAAAGGACAAGATAATCGAAGATCAATGGCATTTTCAGGATGTGTCTCAATCACTAGATAGGATGAGCTGGATACTTTGTTTGTATGTATATACCTGTGTGCTCAGGAGCTTGAATGGTAAATGTGCCTACAAGACCTTTACATTTGACAGCAATAAGCGTTTTACCTGTACATTGACAGAGAGAAGCAAGTTTTGAGAGATGATGAATAGGCATATTTACAGCTAAGATCATGGTAAATGGATCAAAAAAATCAGGTTGATGTTCTATCAACTCTTGGGCATGCTAAAAAAGAAAGGTAAGGGTCAACTAAAGCGATGCCAATAGAACGTACCCTCTCGATAAATTTGACAGTGGCATCTTCATTCAGTTCTTGAAGTAATTCTGCTGCAGACTTTGCTTTTGGTTGGCCAGTGCTATCGGCATCTAAAAAGAAGTTGCTTTTGATGTCTTCGTTGGTTACTTTGGAACCGTCAACAATAGTAACATGACCAACACCTAATATGAAAAGTAAGAAAAAGGTCCATGGTCTATCGATGTTTACCTGGAAGCACAAGATTCTTAATGATTTCACAGCCTGTTGAATTGGCATTGAGTAAACAAACATTGGCATGTTCTAACGCTTGTTGTCCAGTGGCTGCCCATAGTCTACCATGTGGCATGAGCTTGATAGCTTATAGTTTAGTTTTTTTTCACCTTAATTGTCTATCATATTTCTGTGTCTTCAAGTCGATGGTGGTCATGGTATTTACGAAAAAAAAAGAAGGCGTTTACATAAATAGACGCGTTTGACGAATTTGGAAGTTGAGTTTCAAAATTATACGTCACCTGCTTACAAACCTGAGCGACAATTAAATGATTAAGTACTTCACCTGAAGGATATCGTATTCAAAGTTGCTTTCTTTGAACTCAAACATACCAAGTATTTTAGTATGCTTTACTCGTCTATATTTTGTGAATTGAATGGTGAAAAGATTACTGCCAGTCTAATAAGTGATATATGTTGAAATGGACTTCTTTTCTATTACTCACAGTGTACAATGAATTTTGAACGCATTTTTGAGGACAATGCTCAAATGGAGTCGACTTTTTCATCTTAGTAAGCTCGCTTTCTTTTCATCAAAAGTGCCCAGAAATACACTTTTCGCAATCCTTTTGGAATATTTCTGGATTTGCCGTCCTGAGGTCTCAGCCCTCCATGGGTCAAAAAAATAAATTTCGTTCAAGTGCTAAACCAATGGCACTAACCAACTGTTGGGCTCGAAACAACATGTCTCAAATCAAAAAACAAGCTGTTTTGATAGTCTGGTTGTCGAGCAATGGCACATCAAAGAATGTTGCATTTAAGCCCTGTTCTGAGCGTTTTTGCTCAAAATAGCACATAATTTGATAGCTACGGACTCTTGCAAAGGATAAAATGTTATTGGGAGTGCCAAGAATCACAAAGACAGTCAAAAGATGATCTATTTGCAATGCAAATATGGAACAAATGAACAGAAAGAAGTTGTGTTTGATGATATTGTCAGTTTTTGTCAAGCTCTCGCAGGCGATATTCAAAGTATTTCTTTCCCTTTTCTTATGTTCCTGTGTACACCATGCTCGCTATCTCTTTGATTTTGAGTGGTTTTGGTGTGCTAAAGTGATCAAGAGGTATTATACCAATGAAAAGAGACAAAAAAGTTACAAAGCTTCACAATGATCTCTATTCAATAAAGTTCACTTCTGAAATATGACTTGTTTCTCATATATTCTGGTTTTATTGCTAGCGAGGCTACTACAGTTGTGGTTTTATTGACTACTCTAACATGATGGAATACAGAGGGTATTTTAGGAAGAGTCATCATCACCATCTTCATCTGTAAATGAGTTGTATGCTTCCTCTAGTTTACATTCTTCACAGAACCATTTACCTGCTGGTGGTTGAACTAGACCTACACAAGCATAATGAAACCATTCACGTTCACACTAAAACGATAAGCGTAAATTCAAAAGCAATAGATACTTACATTCTCTCCGTCGCAAGCAATCATATCACCAAACGAAACTTGTTTACAGTAGCAATACGTAGGTTCATTACTGTCAATATCAAACTCATGATGACTCATGCTTGAGGGATTAGGGCGATTTGAATGATGTATTCTATGTGTTCTATGAGCCTATCTATGTGTGTATTCTATTATTACCTTTTACGAGTAGAAGGCATCCCATCCACTGGCATGGCCCTTTTTCGATTGCCTATTATTTCCTAAGGCATTATGCATAAATAAATAAAATAAATACCTGGCAAAAGATGAGGACCCTTTCGTGTTCTTTGATGAATCCAATCTGATTCATGAATGCCACTCTTGGCTACTTGAAAGTCAAGACGTTCAATATGGCGTGACACAAGATCGTACATGCGCATCGCCAATTCAATTTTCTGGTCTTGCTTTTGCATAGCTGTCTTGTAGTCCTTTTCAATTTGGAGGCGAGTGGTAACTAGTGCACTTGTATTGGCAGGAGAATTACGGCATATTTTAGTGTATGCACGTCTGTTTTTTGAATAGCCTTCTTTAAACTCTGTTGTTTTAACGCGTCAACGAGCGTCGAGTGTAGTTCACTTACTATAGAGATCATCATCCATACGCCTCAGCTCATGCATGTTTTGATCTATCTCAGATGGCAAGTTTTGTAGGCCTAATGACACATTAAACAATTGTTCTGGTTTATTCGTTTATTTACTTTCAAGATAATCATCATAAATATCTGCTACAGAAGAACTCATTTTAAGGAAAAAGAGAAGGAAAGAGAGGTGTTACACATGATTATTCTAAAAGTCTTCTTCGTCACTTTCACTTTCACTATCACTTTCACTTTCACTGTCGTCTTCTTCTTCGACTACTTCTTGTATTTTGACTGTCTTTTTGTTCTTTTTCTTCTTTTCTTCAATTGCTTCTTGTTTAGCTAAAAACTTTTTGATCATCAATCCTTTAGTAGCACCAAATGACTTTTCCCATTCATCCTTGACTGCCTTGTACAACTGAATAGTGAATCGAGCATCTTCAACAGAGGAGTGACTACCTGATTGAATAGTAATACCCAAAATTTCCTTGACCAGCATCTTGAGACCAGGTGTTCTTCCTTTGGCAAGTTTTCTAAAAGGCTTGTAACGAGATGTATCACGGATCAACAAGGCTGGATGAGACAAGATCAGAGCTTGCAAATCGTTATGAACGGCATGACCCACTAAAATACGATTACGAATAATGGCTTCCACTTTATATTGTGCTTCTTTTAATGTCAAAGCTTCATCGGATGCCAAATGATGAGGTTCAATACCACTCACATGCGTACGATAGTCTGTTACTTTCTCTTGGGGTTTGACATGACAATCCAACAAGACAGCACCATTGTAGTTAACAATAGAGACACGAGCCAAAGCTGAGTCTTTACCATCAGGTCCTACACCCACCATTTCACAATCGATAGCCACGTATTTACCCAACTTGGCTGCTTCTCCAGAAACTGAATTCATTTGAGCCACCAATTGCTTCTTTTTTGTGCGTCCATCTTGAGCTGTTTCTTTTTGATAGACCGATTTGAGTATAGCTTGATCGACATCATCTGCAAACCATAATTCGTCTTTGCTGGGTATCTTGGTTTCTGTGATTGGTTTAGGTCTAGATGCCTCAAATGAAGCTTTCATTTTTCTATCTTTTATCAGTACAAGCTGTTTTATAGTACAAATGACTTACTCGATACGTTGTTTCTTGTTGAAACATTTGTAGTTGGGACTGATTTCAAATTCATCTGTCTTTCTCTTCTTTTTTTCTGTTGATTTAGGTGCCACTGTCTATTTTCAAGTTAGATCTTGGTTTCTTATATATTAATTAGACTTACAGGCAAGATCTTTTTCCAATTAGAAGAAGGTTGAGGTCTTTTTGAAGTCTTTGTACCTTTTGCCATGATCTAAAAAAGACAAACAAGGAAACGAGTGGCTTACCAGGCCCCGTCAGAAACTTTGCTCGGGTCAGCGGAACTTGAATCTATACAATTCACACTATCACATTTATGCGTGTTCAAATGACATGCAGCGGCATATCAATGCATAAATAACGCTGATGTCTTTTCTCTCCTTTCCTCTTTATGTTGACATACTATTTTCTGGCTCTCGTATTATTACTACACACTTGTAAAAGTGATGTTATTATCACCACAGACCCTCCTAATATTCATGACTGGATAACAAGACAACAAAAAACAAGTTTTGCTGTTATCCAACATAACATCAATCCTCCCAACACCACAAGAGGGTTCTTTGCTGCTTCTCTCTCTACTTCTTATCCTGACTACTTCTATACCTGGACACGTGATGCTTCGCTTGTTGCTCTTGTATTGACAGGACTGGAAGAAACAAACGAAACCTTATTAAGGGATTATGTTGATTTTCAAGTTCATACGCAAGATATACCCACTGTATGCAACTGTCTAGGTGAACCCAAGTTTAACAAGGACGGTTCTAGCTTTACAGGATCCTGGGGAAGGTAACCCATAGCATAGGGTAGTCAGATGCTGATATCAATCATAGACCTCAGAATGATGGCCCTGCAGAAAGAGCCATTGCATTTATGGCTATTGCCAAGCGACTTGACCAAGACAGTCTATTTCTCAAAGATACACTCTATCCTGCACTTTTGAAAGACTTGGACTATATTATACAAGTATGGCAAGAACCTTGCTTTGATCTCTGGGAAGAAGTAAATGGCGTCCATTTCTATACACTGATGGTGATGCGCCGTGCACTTTTAGAGGCTGTTGATGTTTTGCAAGATACAAGATATGCATCAGTCGCTCAGCAGATTGAACAGCGTATTGAAACATTCTGGTCTCAAGAAAAGGGTTATATTATCACAGCACAAGATTTTCAGAATGGTGTAGATAAACAGTTAGACGTGTCTGTCTTGTTAGCAGCCAATTTAGTAGCTAATAGAAACGATGGCTTCTTTACGCCTGGATCAGATAAAATACTCGCTACAGCTGTTACTCTTGAAGAAGCCTTTAAAGCAGAATATCCTCTAAATCAAAATTTAGATCCTCATTTGGGTGTTTCTATTGGTAGATATCCCCATGATCTTTATGATGGCTATGGTCTTTCAGCAGGTAACCCATGGTTCATTAGTACAGCAGCTTATGCTGAATTGTATTATTTGGCTATTCAAGAATGGCGAACCACAGGCCTTACAATCAATGCTATCAACCGACGCTTTTTTGAGCATGTTTACCCTGATGGTTGTCCCTCTCAAGTGTATTTTGGACCTGGTACAATGGAACTAGAGCAACTGGTATCTCATGTGAGTGCCGAAGCAGATAAATTTCTGGCTACGATACAATATCACCAGGCTCGCAATGGTAGCATGTCTGAACAATTTAGTCGCTATAATGGTTATATGGCAGGTGCTCGTGATTTAACATGGTCTCATGCTGCTTTTATTTCTGCAGTGCAAGCTAAAAAAAAATAAACATTTAAGGTTCGTCAATAGGCTGAGTAGCACTTGGAATCTTTCTTCTGCCTAGTAAAGTGGCATTGTTCATATTGAGTTCAAATAGACCACCGTCTTTGTTGGATTTGTTACGAGGTTTAGGTGTCTGATCGCCTTCTACTTGAACCACTTCCAATTTGTTCCTTAAGGCTTCTAATTCTTCGTCTTCTTGTGTGGAGGAAGCTGTTGTGCTGTCATCTTCAGTGATATGATCATCCACATCGTCATCCATATCATTCACTGCACTCATGAACAAAGACCGGTGATTAGGCTCTGGTTGTTGTTTCAATTGTTTTCGTCTCTGCTTTTCTTCAGTCATGCGATGAACTGCATAAGAAATATCAAACATTTCCTTCATTGAAGACACGCCACTAAATAAGTCTCGGCGGGCGTAGTGGCACCTGAAGTGATAGAAGGTGCGCGGGAAGCGGCACGTGAATTGGCACGCGAATTGATCACACTGGAAGATACGGTGGGACAGCGGCTTCAAGTTCTTCTTGATCGCGGTTACGTTCTTGAATCATTCGCTTAAATGCTTCTGCTTCTGTCTCGGTGTTTGTTTCTGTTGCGGTAAACATAGGCACTGTGGTTAAATCAATAGGTGGTTTCTTCTAATACGTGGTCAATGATATATATATTTTCTTTCGCCCAAATTTACCTCTTGTTTCATCCATGGATGATCCAAAAACTCTAGAATAGTGAATCGCTTTTCAGGATCTACATGCAATAAGTTTTCAACCAAATCTTTGGCTTCTTCTGAAATCGTATCCCACCAGGGGCTCAAGAATGTATATTGCCCTTGGCCACTTTTTCCGTCAAAACCTTAATTGATTCATCATAAAAGGGAGGAAATCCACATAACAAGGTATACAAGACGCAGCCCAAGGCCCACATGTCTACTGATTTTGAGTAACGCTGGTCTTTTACAATTTCAGGAGCAGTATAGCCTACTGTGCCACAAGGTGTCATGGTCTGTTGATCCCATACCACTTTAGAAAGACCAAAATCAGCTATTTTGACTGCACCAATACCACCACCACCTACACCTGGTGTAAATTCACCTTCGTCTTCTTTAGGTTCATCAAATTCTGAAGGTGGTAAAGGTGTGGATCTCTCTTTAAATGGAATAGGTACAAATAACAGATTTTCTGGTTTGATATCTCTACAAAAAGAATGAGTTCTATGCGTTTGTATGATGCTTGCATACCTATGTACAATGCCCTTTTCTTCATGTAAATAACGAATACCTTCAGCTACTTGTCGAATACAATGACGAGAAAGGTCTTCACTAAAGTAAGTAAGACGTACAATCTGATGAAAGATTTCTCCGCCTTCACATAACTCAAGCACTAAAAAGTAATACTATAGAAAGTATCATTATCCTTGTCTTATCTACCACTTTTTTTTTTACCTCTTTTGTCTCTATAAAATCATACATGTCAATAATAGAAGGATGGTCTAATGTCTTCATAATTTGCGCTTCTTTTAGTACACTTGCTTTCTATGATGTTGATCAATTAAATGAATTATACAAACATTATTTACCTGTTGATTGCTTAGTTCATGCTTGCTTACTATTTTAATAGCCACTTTTTCATTTGTGTCTAATTTAAGCGCTTTATAAACTTTAGAGAAAGCACCACTGGACTTATTAGAAAAGAAACTGGTATAGTATAACTTACTCTCCAAGTTTGTTTTTTAATTGATAGTTTTCTAGTCCTGGATAACTTGGCATAGTCTGTTTAGCCAGGTTTTCTTCTTCTACCATACGGGCAGCTTGTTCGTATTTTTGTGTAGAGCTGCGAGAAAGAGATTGTTCACTTTTTCCACTTTTAATAAAGTTTTTGATTTGACTAAAGACTGCCATACTATATATATATTTGTACTGAAATAAAAGAGAAAAAAAGATATATTTTTTTCTGCTTTTGATTATTTATCTGGTCCATTTTAAAGGCCGCCTACAGTCGCTGTTGCCAGGCACACCAGCAGAGTCGGGTACATGAACATACGAGAAATGAAATCATAGACTGACAAAACCAACTTGCATAAACATAATCATAATGGAACATGATATCATAGTATCACTTCAGCACCCTATTGTTACTGCTCTGTAAAAATTGTGTCTATTGTCACTACGGCTTTTATTTTTATTTTTATTTTTGCAAGTGATGTAATTTTTCTAGCAAATAAGACTATGGCATTGATTTGTTATGTTTCTTTAGATTTACCTATTGAGCGGAATTGGTTGTGTAACACTAGGTGAATTCGTTTATTTCCTTAATTTTTGTTTACAACTCCACTCTTTATTTTATAATTTTTTCTACTTTTTTTGTTAGTTCATGCTTCGAAAAAAGCCCTGTCAATGTAATAAACCATTGTATTGTGTCTTCTATTTAATAACGCTCTATAGATTGTAAACTCAGGAGGAGGAAATGTGAAAAGCCCTCAGATACAGGGCCCTGTAAACTTTGTTTTAGACTGAAAAAGAAATGTATACCATCAGAAGAAACAGTTCCAGAGGAATATAGTCATGAACAACAACTCGTAAACCAAAAATACGAAAAACTCTACTTTCAATCTAAATATCTCGAGAAACAGCTTGCCGATCTCGACACTGAGATCGAGAAAGAAAAGGCATTGACCAAAGAAGAAAAACAGTGGCAGCTTGAATTCAGACATGGAAAGCTACACCTAATATCGAGAATTAATGATTTTCAGGACTTGATGCAGTTTAGCGAATCTTCCATTCGCTTCTTGTCGCCGTTTGGCAATACATTTTATCCGGATAAGCTGGATTTTCGATTGACGAAGTCTGGTGTAGTGGATAGATTATTCAGTATGATTGTACAAAACTACAATGAGTTACCAATGTCTTCGTCTTCCCCTCAAATGATCAAGCATCGTTTTGCCACTGGACTTGTGCAGTACATTGACCCAGGAACATTTGTGCCTCAATTGATTGACAACTACTTTACATGTAACTATAATGCTGTACCACTCCTACATGAATCAACGTATCGAGCACACCTCAAAACATTAAAAAACCCTCTTACTGATATAGTCACCATGAGTATATGTACAGTAGCTTCCATAAGCTTCTGCACCAAGCACAGCATATTTGAGATTGATGAACGTCGTTTTATGTCCGAAATATATTACGATTTGTGTATGGATCAATTATTGCAGACCTTCGACGATCAGGAACGAGCATTAGAATGTTTGGTTTCTATCAATTTACTTCAGAGCTTTATGATGATAACAATGCGATTTGGCGAAAGCTATAAATGGAACGCTATTGCGGCAACCCTAACTGCCAATCTTCAATCCGAATACTCGGACTTTTTGAAAGGCAAAGACCAACAAGACCTCAAGACACGTATTCGTTATGCTTTAGTGCATCGCAATGTGGCTCATATGCAGAATGCCATGGACTTTGATGGAGTGATTAGGATGCATAAAGGCAAAGAACTAAATCTATCAGACTATCTTTATTATGACATTTTACCAGACGACTCGGAGAGATGCAAACGCATGTTAGTGGCAACAAATCATTGGCTCAATCTGTGCTATCTTCCTGGATTTAGGCGTATTGTAGAGTTAGAAATGCAGTGTTATCGAGGCGAAAAGGTTGTGTTCAGATTTGAAGAATTGGTTCAGTTTGAGCAGACAGTGGCTCAATGGTGGAACGCACTATCGAACGATTTAAAGATATCTCAAGCACCTTATGGTCTTACCAAAGACGCAGTTCAATCCTGTCATGATATCACCAAATTATTAATGGCAATGGAGCTCTATACCAAACTAATGAGCTTTCAAAGTTGCTTGTTGTTTCCTGGCTCTATCAAAGGTTTGCATGACATTTACAGTATTGTCAAAGACAGAGCTACCTATTTGTGTCTACATATTGCAGAGATATGCTTGGTTATTGTCAAAAGAATTGATGACCTTGAGACAGTCTGCCTTGGTAAGTTAGTATTATGACAGTAGCCTGTTAACCGCTTTCATATAGACCCATTCACATACGTCTTACGGGTCATAGATATTTTGATCAAGCTGATACAAATAGTAGATAAAGAGATGAAAGAAAAGCTACGGCACGTTTTACGCAGCTACTATGATAGAGTCTATCGTCAGAATATCCCCAAGTTTGACCTGACATCAAATCATACGCCTTATGCTGTATTGTCCGCTATACCTGTTGAATCGCTCACATTGCCACTTGCTGAATTATACAAAGAATACCCGCTACCAGGGCCTGCCATGATGTATGATGTGTTGCACCATTCCCTGGTTAAGATAATCAAAGCACCTTAATTTATATATTTTTCATTGATAGATCATTTTCAGCACTGTAATAAATTCATTCCCTTTTCTTTTTCTTATTTATGTCAGAAGTAGATATACATTGTAATGCCATACGTTGTAGAAAGCCACTTTCATTAGAAAAGCAGGCAAATAGAAACACATCGATAAAAGTTTACTCATTGTCCCTTTGTCTAGGCTTGTGTGACATCTTGTTCTCGTAAATGGAGAATAGCATTGAACCATACTTAATACTATAGGATAGACATCTTTTGTGTTGACTGTTCAAACCATGTCTTTTCAAAAGCACTTGTATGCCCTGCTTGTAATGCTAGTCTTGGTCAAAAGTAAGCATAATGGATTTTATATTGATGCTCAACTCTGTTTATACTAGTGACGACATTATTTTGACTGACATGAATCCTTCAGAAGATTATAAATCGGTATAATATAGTGTATAAACTCTGTGAAATATTAAATTATTGTCCAGTCTGTATTAGCAGGTCTTAAGCCTGAAGTTATTTTGGATATCTGCTCAAGAGCTATTGCATTCTATGAATATCAGACATCGCAAGAGCTTCTTTACAAGTCTATGATGCAAAAGAATGTTGAAGACAAGTATCATGCATTAAAGGACAAGTTTCAGATGATTACAAGAGACTTGAACCATGTCATCAAGAGTAAGTTTGAAAAACAAAGCTTTTATGGCTAATATATTTTCTAGGCGAAAAGGAAAAGAATACAGGTAAGTAACAAGATAGAACTGTGTATGTAATCGTGTATAGCACTCTGGAAAGACTTTGAGCAGGAAAAGGCAAAATATCAACAAGCACTGACTCGATTAGACGAGAAATCAAAGCAGTTTCAAAGACTACAGACGATTTATGAGAAGCTCAAGCGAAAGACAAACACTTCAAACATGCAAGAAAACCTTCTCTCTCCTCCTCCAGCTACGACACCTTATCGTACAAACAACTTAGTTGCAATAAACCCTCAACAGCAACAAGTACCTCAACAGCAACAAGTATTTCAACAGCAACAGCAACAACAAACCATTATCTTGGATGAAAGTGATGTCATTTCAAGAATAGGTAGAGTTTCAACAGTTGCAGGACCGCGTTCCATTTACCATCATCAACAAGGTAGACCATCTCGTATTCCTTCACCTATTAAGACAGCTGCATTTCATACGAGAAAATGCCATCATTCTCCGAGTAGAACAGATCAAAGAAGAGGCTCTCACAGCAGATATCATTAAACGTTATGACTAAATGTAAAAAATTTATTTCAATAAATATAATACAAAAGTAAAGTTACTTAAGGCTTCAAGACGACCTTTAGACCAGTGCCTGCTAAAAAGACCTTCCACGCTTCATCAAATTCATTGAGTTTAAAGGTATGAGAAATCAGATTGTTCCAGTTGACTTTGCCCTCAGCCAAGATTTTGACAGCACGGTTAATACCATAGGGGTTTGTGTAAGTTGATGTGATAGTGAGCTCTCTTCTATAGATATCAAAGGGAGAAATAGACACGCGG